TCTGGGTCACCCTCAAGGACTAGCAGCATGGAGCAGAGATGAGGAGTGGTCTCGGACAGGAAAGTGAGCTCGTACAGCCGGTCTTCCAGGACGTCACTTGCAAGGGCAGGAGCACTCCCGACGGAGGGAAGATGGGCAGGGTCAGAGACCAGAGCGGTAATGTAACCAGGGTGGTGGGTAGAGGCAAAGTCAGCAACGGCAGCGACAAGAGCAGAGAGACTAGAGACAGGAACAGACGGGTCGGTAACTGCAGAGGGAAGGACCCGAGGAACAAGATGACTAGTGGCATACAGGAAGTTAGACAGAGGAGGCGGAGCGACAATTTGCGACGACGGAGGAGGTGATAGGAGGAGGGGAGGACGAGACGCGTGGGCACAAAGCAACATAGTGTGAGAACGTGGAGAAGGAGAGACAGGATGAGCACGAGAGGCACGACGAGGCCACCACTGGGAGGGTGGGGTCGGGTCAAGAGACAAGGGTGGAGAAACCGGAGGAGAACAAGGGGGGAAACGAGTCGGAGTCGAGTCTGGCGGAGGAAACACAAGGCCGTAGACTGGCAGGGGAGGTGGCGGCGGGCAAGGCGTAGGCAGGTGGTCAGGGGAGGAAACACCTAGGAGGCGAAGGGTGGACACCGGCGGAGACTGCTGCAGCAGCTGTTGCTCCCGCCAACACCAGAACCTCCAACTGCACTACGACTACCTCCGGGATGCTCCACGCAAACACCCCCAGAACGATAACCCTCTCCAGCACGGGTGCCACCCACAGGACCGCCGGGACGAGCCACGTCAGTAACCTCAGAACTAGCAACCTCCTCAGCGCCCGCACCCCTAGAGCTCGCGGTACCCTGCGCCAGCGATGACTGCGGCTGCTGCTACGGGTGCGGCGGTGGCGACGACAGCTGCTGCTGCGGCGGCGATGGCAGCGCCTGCTGCGATGGCAGAGGAGGAGACACTGGGGCAGATACAGGTAGTGAGAACGGAGCCGCAAGTCCCCCACTGTTAGCCGACTCCTCTATCGGGACAACCGACAGGAGGCGAGTGACGTGAGTCACACCAGACCGGGCAGGACGGGGAGGGAGAGGAGCAAGGGCTATCGGGGGAGTGGGAATCAGGAACAGGGGTGGGGTAACCGGGAGACCTCGGTGGGAAAAGCGGGTATAGAAGGAGATAGACTCGTCAAAATTGACGTTACGAGAGTGAAAGAAACGGTGATACGGCGGGTGGTTAAAGTGTCAGTCAGACGCGTCCAAGGGGAAACCAAGGAAGACACAAGAGATAGTGTAGGCAGTAAGCTTGTCCGTGCCAGAGGCACGAACGTGAGCAAGACAGCCCTAAACGTGGAATGCAGACGCGTCACCAGGGGACCCGGTCCAGAGGAGGGTCAGTGAAACCTACGGCCGCTAGGAGTGTGGCCACAAATTAAACTGGTGAGCGGCGTAGCGATCAGCGGACAGCTTCAGAAAATAGGGTTCACCGGCATGGATCATGGATGTATGAGCACCTCCATGACCAAACCGATGCGTCGCTCAGCAACCCCATTCAGCTGCGGGGAGTCCGGCAGGGTGTACAACTGGTTGATACCCACCGCACGACAGAACTGGCCAAGGCGACCGGAGGCAAACTCGCCACCACGGTTGGAGTGGAGACAGAGCATGGGAAGGCCGCAGTGGACTCGCGCAGCTACGACCCACGGGATAAGAACGCCAGGCACGTTGGCCTGACGCTCCAGGGGAAACACCGTGGTGTAGCGCGTGTATTCGTCGACAAGCACTAGAAAGTAGCGCTCTCGTCGCGGCCCAGGGACGGGGGCTGGGCCCCAGGCATCCTGGTGCAGGGGTCTGGAGTGGTGTAGTGGTAGGGGGGAGTGATGAGGAGTGAGGAGCAGGGCGCAATCGGCCCTCGACGCAGGGCGTGCATGGTGCAGGCGAGGGAGGGAGGGCAAGGAGCAACGCAGGGAGACCTAAGAGAAGACCGTGATGTGACATGTGATGCAGACGGAGGAGTGTGGGGTGACCTAAGCGGTGGTGCCACAGCAACGACGGGTGGGTGAGTGACCGGCGCGAGCAAGCCGCAACAACCTCGGAGGGCACGATGACCTGGGGGGGCGCTCCCACCGAGGGGGACGCGGTGTCTAGGGTGAACAGGCCAGACACCAGGTCCCGGGGGAATGTGGTGAGAGGGGCACCATTGGCGGCCTCGGTACAGACTGCGTACCGCTCGTGTCCAGGAAATAGAGTGGTGACGCCGAGGTCCTGAAGACAGCTGCCACCAACTAGGTTTCTGGAGAACGAGGGGATGTGCAAGCCTGTAAGAGAGCCCGAGGGAACCGCTGGACAGGGAAGGGTCAGCAAGCGCGACAACAGCATGGGCGGCAAGCGGTGTAAGCGCAGTGTGGTCGCGGAAGAGGCAGGCAGACGCACCAGAGTCTAGCGTGAAAGAGAGCGCAGCAGTAGTGGCTGCAGGCGGAGGAGCTACAGTGGAGCCGAGGCTAAACAAGGCAAGTGATCCTACGCCTAATGCAGCAGGGGAACCTAGGCTACACACAGGGGACACACCTACGCTAGGTTACACGGAGTAATATGGTTCAGTCACACTAAAGTCATCAGCATACATGACATACATCTGACCTAATCTCATCCATGTCAAGCTCAAAGACAGGCACACGGCGACGCACCAGGCTGTACCAGTCGGGGGGGTCCGACGTGGGGCCGAAGTGGAGAAGGAAGAGGTCGTCGAGGCGGCGGTATGACCGGGATGGTCGCAGATGGTGCTGCGGCGGGGGCCGGACTGAAGCTGGTACTGGCTGGTGACCACACTGGAGCCACCACCCGACACCGAGCTGCGTGGCCTACCACCACGACCACCACCACCAGTGCCGCCAGGCCACAACGGCGACGGGGGTCTCCACGGCGGCTGCTCCTGCTGCTGGTCATCAACCCCGGTCCCCTCGTCTGCACCACCGTCTCCGCCCCCACCTCCGCCACCTCCGCCACCCCCACCACCCCCGCTAACCTTCCCTCCGCCACGCCCCCCTTTGGTGTGGTGGCCCTTACCCTGACGCGGCTGCGCTGAGGCCGTGGCGGCGGTCTCAGCAGCAGGGGTTGTCTTAGCGACAGCGGTAGAAAAGTATGAGTAAGTGCACTGGGAGGGAGCACAACCTTGGAAGATATGGACTACCGCAGCACCGCTAGACTGACCAATAGTGCGATGACGGGTCTCTATCGCGGACAGGGCGGTGACAAAGGCGGTAAGGGTGAGGTCATCGGGGTGCTGACTAAAGAAGTGGTCGCGGGTAGCGGCAAGGCGGTCAGGAAGGCGTGTGGCAATGTGGTAAAGGGTAGCGCAAAGCAGTGGCGGGAATGCAATGAGCTGTGCCTCGGTGCTAGTAGCGCGGTAGCTAGTCTCAAGTGCGCGGAGATGAGTGGCAAGGTCAGCGACAGTGGGGAAGGAATCAAGATGAGGGAATAGCATTGAGAGGATCAGACGGCCGGCAGAGGCGGAGGAGGGAGTGGAATAGCATACAATGACTGCATCGAAGTATTCCTTCGCATTTGCTACAGCGGTAAAGCGGGGACGCTCAGACAGAAGGAGAGCGTGACTAATCGCAAGCTCTACCACTTCGTCGCGTGACTCCTAGACAGCGTGGGCAAGCTCAGCAGTGGCAAAGGCCTCACGCTCAGTAGACGTGGGGCGCCAGGGAGGGCAGCAGGCGCGTCGGGGCAGGGGAGCTTACCGTCGACATGGACGGCGAGGGAATGGTCGTCCTGGCGCTGACTTGTCAGCTGGCGGCAGAGGTCGACGAGCCACGCCTCAAAGTCAACCGCCCGACCCTCCGCGTCCAGGCGGAGCACAGAGTCCGCCATCACCACAGCTGCAGCGACTGACTGCCGCTGTAAGGGGGGAGGAAAGCTGCGGAGCGGTGGAGAGCGGTGGAGAGCAGTAGAGAGTGGTGGAGTGCGGTGGAGAGTGGTGGAGTGCGGTGGAGAGTGGTGGAGTGCGGTGGAGGGCGGTGGAGACAGCCGGCGGGAGCGCCGACGCAAAGGGGAGCCAAGGCCGGAGCGGCTCGGCGGCTCAGCGACACAGTTACACGGCGACACTGCGACTCGGAGGCTCCGCGCCTTGGCGGCACGGCGGCGCGGCTCGGCGGGAGGTAGGGCCGGTCGAAACTACGGCCGGCACGGCGGCGTGGGCTGGGACCGGTGGAGCTGGGGCCGGCGCAGCTGGGGCCGGCGCAGCTGGGGCCGGCGCAGTTGGGGCTGGCGGAGCTGGGGTCGGAGGAGCTGGGGCCGGCGAAGCAGGGGCCGGCGTAGCAGGGGGCCGGTGAGCGCGGGGCCGGCGAGCTGGGGGGCGGCAAGCAGGGGGACGGCGAGCGCGGGGCCAGCGAGCTATGGGCAGGCGAGCAAGGGGCCGACACGCTAGGGCCGACGAGCTAGGGGCGGCAAGCAGCGGGTCGACGGGCGAGCGCGGGCCGGCGAGCTAGGGTCGACGGGCGCGGGGTTACGGGCGGCTGGCAGCTATGGGCGGCTGGCAGCTACGGGCGGCCAGCGGTTACAGGCGGCTGGCGGCTACGGGTGGCACGAGGCGACTGGCGGCCAGCGGCAGTGAGCAGCGACGGCTGGCGGCTACGGTGCCCAGCGGCGACGAGCGGCTGGCGGCTACGGGTGGCCAGCAGCTATAGGCGGCTGGCGGCTACGGGTGACACGAAGCGACGTGCGGTCAGCGGCGGTGAGCGGCGAGCAGCTAGCGGGGGCGGCTAGCGACGGGCGGGTAGCGACGGGGGGGTAGCGATGGGCGGCTAGAACTAGGACTAGGACTAGTGCGGAAGCGCGGGTGGGCGGGGAGGACCTAACCTAGCGCGATACCATCTCAGAGTAATGAAGTAGCAAGAATGAGTGATACTCGGTGGTTTTGTCATAGGGTGCTGTACTTTCTATGAGCATGCACCTATCTAGCTTATAACATATGTGTTGACCCATGGTACGAACATTAAAAAAATACAGTAAAAAGGAGCATATACAACAAGAAGGAGATAGGAGAAAATTACACCAATAAAATAGGGCTAAATACCCCACGAATACATTGTCTCCCACTCCAGAGCAGCCCCCCACATAGGGAAGCTTTCTGCTTATAAAGAGGACCCGGATTTCAGCTGCCAAAAACGCAGCACCTGTTCTCATACTATCTACTACTATCTAGCACCACCGTTGTAGTAGCTGGTAGCTGGAAGCTAGCAGCTAGAAGCTAACTACTCTAGGTGCAGAGTTAATGTACAAGGCGCTGTTGCATGCTGAACCCCTTTACAACTGTTGAGGATTCGGTTGCCTCCACACAAGACCACCCTCTCCTGCTACTGCCTCCGCCCCACGCCGCTAGAAGCGTGCCAGCTGCCACTGGACCGGCAGAAGCAGCAGCTGCAGCAGCAGCAGAAGGTGGAGGCAACAGCCTCTATGTGGTTGCCTCCACTCAAGACGACCCTCTCCTGCTGCGACATCTGCCCCACGCCTTTGTCAGCTGCCACTGGGATTGGTTGAAGAAGCACCAGCAGCAAGCAGCAGCAGCAGCACGAGCAGAAGCACCAGCGGCAGCAGCGGCAGCAACAGCAGCAGCAGCAGCAGCAGCAGCAGCGGCGGCAGCAGCAGCAACAGCAAGCAGCAAGTAGCAGACCGACTTGGAAGCAGCAGCAGAAGAAGCCGCACCAGCAGAAGTAGCCACACCAGCAGAAGCAGCAGCAGCAGCAGCAGCAGCAGTTACGGCAGCGGCAGAGGTGACGTCAGCAGCAGCAGCAGAAGCAGTAGCGACCACTAGCGCGAAGTGAAAGGTAGAAATGCTTCCTTTGGCGAACGGCCCTATGTACACAATATGAGGGCTTGTAGCTGCCCTCGAGTAGCAGCTGCCGTCTTCACAGCAGCGAGTAGTAGTCGAGGTCTAAGGGCGGCAGCAGCGCGTCAGTAACCATGGCTGGTAACCAACCGGTGCGCTAACGGGATGGGTCTTCTGACGCAGAGAAACGCATTTTACAGGAGAGAGTAGTAGTCGAGGTCTAAGGGCGGCAGCAGCGCGTCGGTAACCATAACTGGTAACCGGTGCACAAAGAGGAAGATTCGCCGGAGGTTGTCGCGAGTGATCTTCCGCATGTCTTCTGACTCATCCTCCCCCACCACCACCCACAGGTCGCTCTCCTGCACTTTACCCAACTCGTCCCGGCAAAACGGGCAGGAGCGCGAGCGAGAGCTCCTGAGAATAAGCAAAGGGGGAAGAGGGGGGGGGTATGAACAGGAGGGAGGGAAAGAGGGGAGGTTGGAAGAAAATTGTGATTTTCCGCAAGTCCTCTGCCTCCCCCCCGACCATCATCACCAACAGAACCTCTCCTGCACCTTTCCGAATCGTCTGGGCAGAACGGGCAGGAGCCAGACGGAGAGATACAGAAAGGAAGGGGGGTTGGGGAGGGGGAAGGGGGGAGGGAAAGGGGGAGGGGGAAAGGGGGAGGGGGAAGGGGGGAGGGAAAACACATCTGATTCAAAGAAGGACCCACAGCGAGAAGGAGAGGTAGGAGGAACAAGCTGGGAGTATTTTGAGTCGACTCAAAATACACCTGAAAAACACATCTGATTCAAAAGAAGGGGTACCCACAGAGCGAAGGTGAGGTAGAAGGGGCAAGCTCACCAGTCCTTGAAGCAGCGGGAGCACATGGAGTGCGCGCAGCTGGGAATCGCCACGCGATCGCAGCCGTCGGATCGAATCTCCTCGAGGCAGATCCCGCACTCGCCCTCCCGCTCTCTATCCCTCGCCCTCTCCTTCTCCCGCTCCATCCCTCCCATCAACTCAATCTCCTCATCCTCGTTATAAGACGAGCAGGAGGAGGAGGAGGAGGAGGCGGGGGAGGGCCAAGAGGAAGAGGAGGAGATGGGGGAGGCGGTGGAGGAGGAAGAGGGTGGTCTTGATAAGTCTGCAAGGGGAGAGGGAACGGAGGTGATACGGAGAAGGAAGAGCAGATGAAAGACTTTAGAAAGGGGTGAGGGAGGGCCGAGAGGAGGGAGGGCCGAGAGGAAGAGGAGGAGATTGGGGAGGCAGTGGAGGAGGAAGGCAGTGGTCTTGATAGGTCTGCAAGGGCAGACGGAATGCAGTGGGCAGAAAATGGAACAGCAGATTCAAGGCATGAGTTGCAGGCGAAGAGGGCCAAGAGGAGGAGGAGGAGACGGGGGAGAGGCAGTGGAGGAAGAAGGCAGTGGTCTTGATAGCTCTGTAAAGAAAGATGGAAAAGGGGGTTGAGTGGGCAGGGAGGACGTGAGGAAGGGCAGGGGGGTCTCAAGATTGAAGCAGCCCAGATGAAGTAAGTTAAAATTGAGGCGTCTCAGAACTAACCTACGTAACCACGGCAGGGGGTTGAGATAAGCAGCACATGTAGGACGACGATGCATGAGGAGTCTATTTTTGAGGCGCCTGAAAAATAGACACAGCACATGCAGAACGACGAGGAGGATGCAGGGAGGGGGGGATGGGGGAGGCAGTGGAAGAGGAAGGCAGTGGTCTTGATAGGCCTGCAAGGAAAGATGGAAGGGGGGTTTGAGTGGGCAGGGAGGACATGGGAAAAGGAAGGGGGGTGAGATAAGCAGCACATGCAGGACGACGAGGACGAGGCAGGGGAGGGCCACGAGGTTTAGGAGGAGATGGGGGAGGCAGTGGAGGAGGGAGGCTGTGGTCTTGAAAGGTCTGCAAGGGGAGAGGGGACGTGGTGATGAGAAAAACGAAACAGAAAATAAAAAGGCATGAGATGCAGGCGAAGAGGGCCAAGAGGAAGAGGAGGAGATGGGGGAGGCAGTGGTCTTGATAGGTCTGCAAGGGGAGAGGGAAGAAAGGAGGGGTGGTGGTGAGTTCTCATCCGCGTTATAAGACGAGCAGGAGGAGGAAGGCAGTGGTCTTGATAGATCTGCGAGGGGAGATGGAGTGCAGTGAGGAGGAAAGGGAAGAGCAGACGAAAGACGTTAGTAAGGGGTGAGGGAGGGCCGAGAGGAGGGAGGGCCGAGAGGAGGGAGGGCCGAGAGGAGGTGGAGGAGATGGGGGGGCGGTGGAGGAGTAAGGCAGTGGTCTTGATAGGCCTGCAAGGGGAGAGGGAATGGAGGTGATGAGAAAAACGAAACAGAAAAGAAACGGCATGAGATGCAGGGGAAGAGGGCCAGGAGGACGAGAAGGAGATTGGGGAGGCAGTGGAGGAGGAAGGCAGTGGTCTTGATAGGCCTGCAAGGGAAGAGGGAAAAAAAAGGGGTGGTGGTGAGTTCTCGTCCTCGTTATAAGACGAGGCGGGGGGGAGGGCCAAGAGGAAGAGGAGGATGGTTTTGATAGACCTGCAAGGGGAGAAGAAAAGGCCGGCAGACAGCAGATGAGCGAGACAAATGGGCGGCAAAGAGCAGACAAGCGAGCAGAATGGGCGGGCGGAAAAGAGTCTGAAAGGTTGCAGAATGGGCCACTCATGGGAGCTCATGCTCGTACAAACATCTGTGATCGCTCTCCTTGATTTTGCAGGGTATTTTTTAGAATTCTCAAAAACACCCTGCAAGAGCACACACACTCCTACCTGCCTTTGAGGCGCCTCAAAAGCAGTCTCAGCTCATGCTCGTGCTTGCATCTGCGATCACACTCCTACCTGCATCCATGCGCGGCCACAAGTAGTGCTCGTTGCATCTCCTCTGCTGCTTTGCGTGCTCCACGTCAGATATGCCGGGATAGAGCTGAAGCAGTGAGGGGTAGAGGAAGCCTGCAGCAGGGGTTCGAGGGAAGAAGATAATAACGAGGATGAGATAAGAGCCCGTTTGCTTTGCGTGTTCCCCGTCAGATATGCCGGGGTAGAGCTGACGCAATGAAGGGTAGAGGGAGCCTGCAGCAGGGGATAGGGTGGAGAAGGCAATAACGAGGATGAGGGCATGTTGCTTGGCATGTTCCATGTCAGATAGGCCGGGATAGAGCCGAAGAAGTGAGGGGTTAAGGAACCCTGCAATGCAATTGAGGGGGAGGAAAGGAAGTGGAGATAGAGGACGAGCAAGAGGACGAGAAAGAGGACGAGCAAGAGGACGAGAAAGAGGACGAGCAAGAGGACGAGCAAGAGGACGAGAACGAGGACGAGCAAGAGGACGAGCAAGAGGACGAGCAAGAGGACGAGCAAGAGGACGAGCAAGAGGACGAGCAAGAGGACGAGCAAGAGGACGAGCAAGAGGACGAGCAAGAGGACGAGCAAGAGGACGAGCAAGAGGACGAGAAAGAGGACGAGCAAGAGGACGAGCAAGAGGACGAGAAAGAGGACGAGCAAGAGGACGAGCAAGAGGACGAGCAAGAGGACGAGCAAGAGGACGAGCAAGAGGAAGGGCGAATTGAAGCTGATTTGCTTGGCATGCCCCTCCAGGTCCGATGTGCCTGTGCCAGGCGGATAAAGATGCATCGTCCCCGTTATAAGGCTCCTAATTACAAGCCTTCCTCACGGAAAAACTCACTAAGGGAAGTGGATTTCTCGTGCCCTGCAGCAGTGCTCCGCCCGTTCGTGTGCAGTTTGAAAAAAGGCACTCCCAGCAGCCCTGTATCCTCGTTTTAAGGCGCAACATAATGAGACTTGCCGCAAAACATCACTCACCAATAAATTCATTCATGGCCCCTTTCTCTCGCGCCTAGCGGTAGTGGCCGGGTGGTGCTCCGGTAATGGTCCGGCAGTGGTCCGGTAGTGGTCCGGCAGTGGTCCGGCCGTTCTTATGCACTTTGAACACCAGAACTCGCAGCAGCCCCATATCCCCGTTATAAGGCGCTCACCATAGAATTCATTCAGCAACACCTTTCTCTCGTGCCTGGCAGCTGCGGTCCGTCCGTTCTTGTGCACTTTGAACACCAGCACCCGCAGCAGCCCCAGCGCCCCTGCGAGGCTGCAAACGGCCCAGGAGACCCTTGAGTTGGTTGGTTCTTCGCTTCTCATACGAAACCCACACTCACCATACAACTCATTGAGCGAAGCCTTCCTCTCGTGCCTGGCCGCGGTGGTCCGTCCGTTCTTGTGCACTTTGAACACCAGCACCCGCAGCAGCCCCAGCGCCCCCGCCAGACTGCAGTCGGTCCACATGATTCCTGAGTTGATGTGCCTTTTTTACACTCACCATAGAACTCATTGAGCGAAGCTTTCCTCTCGTGCCTGGCCGCGGTTGTCCGTCCGTTCTTGTGCACTTTGAACACCAGCACCCGCAGCAGCCCCAGCGCCCCCGCCAGGCTGCAGTCGGTCCAGCGCACGAGGAAGAGGACAAGCGGCGCCAGTGGGCTGAAGCCTAACCTCATCTGCAGGTAGGCGCCGTCATAGTCTCGCATCATGTCACCCGCCCTGTAAAAAATGTAAAAAATGTAGAAAGGAGGAATTAGAAAGGGTGGTGCAGGGAGTAGGAGAGAGACGAGGAAGAGGGCAAGCGGCGCCAGTGGGCTGAACCCCGGGTTTTTTTGGAGGTACGCCCCGTCATAGTCGCGCATCATGTCACCCGCCCTGCGATTAGGGAGGCAGAGAGGGAGGGACTAAGACAGGGTGGTGCAGGGAGTAGGGGACAGATGAGGAGGAGGACAAGCGGCGCCAGTGGGCTGAACCCCAGGCTTATTTGGAGGCAGGCCCCGTCATAGTCACGCATCATGTCACCCGCCCTGTGATTAGGAGGGTAGAGAGAAAGTGGGGAAGAGGGATTGGCGCAGAGAATTAGCGGGGGAATAAGGGGGGGAAAAGGGGGGGAAAAGGGGGGGAAAAGGGGGGGAAAAGGGGGAATAAGGGGGGAATAAGGGGGGAATAAGGGGGGAATAAGGGGGGAATGAGGGGGGAATAAGGGGGAATGAGGGGGGAATAAGGGGGGAATAAGGGGGGAATAAAGGGGGAATAAGGGGGGAATAAGGGGGGAATAAGGGGGGAATTAGGGGGGAATTAGGGGGGAATTAGGGGGGAATTAGGGGGGAATAAGGGGGAATAAGGGGGGAATAAGGGGGGAATAAGGGGGGAATAAGGGGGGAATTAGGGGGGAATAAGGGGGGAATAAGGGGGGAATTAGGGGGGAATAAGGGGGGAATGAGGAAGAGGACACGCGGCGCCAGTGGCTGAACTGAACCCCAGCCTCATCTGCAGGTAAGCGCCTTAAAGCCCGCAGTCCGGATTGTCCAAGAAGGGGGGTTTGTTAAACACTTGAAGCGGTGTAGCGAACTTTTTACTAGGGGCGCGGAGGTTGGCGAAATTTAGTTGGGGTTCGCTATCCAACCAAATTTCCCCCCCCCCTGTTCAACTGCTTGACTTTTGGACAATCCGGACCCAGGGCTTTAACGTGTCTCCTTGTAAATACTTACCACCGCATCTTGTACTCGTCATAAGCTGGCTAAGCTGCACTCACATTCAAGCGCCCGAATCCGTCTTTCAACGTGTCTCGTTTCGGGTACTCCCCCGACCCGCATATCGGCACCAACACCTTGTGCTCGCTACAACTACACTCACATTAGCGTGTTGGCCAGTTGAATATCCGCTTCAAGCGCCGTAAGTGACTCCTTGACCATGTCTCGTTGAGGGTACTCCTCGAACCCGCATATCGGCTCCACTACAGCATATACTCGTTATAAGCATGTTCGACAGCACTCACATTAGCGTGTTCGCGTGTTGAATATCCGCCTCCAGCGCTTTTAGCGACTCCTTGAACGTGTCTCGTTGCGGGTACTCCCCGAACCCGCATATCGGCACCACCACACACATGGCCGCTGCTGCTGCTGCTGCCGCTTGTACTTTTAAATCCGGGCCGCTGAAATGCAAAAATATATTGCACTTGCCGAGGCTGCTGCTCCTCTCGCTTCGTATTCTGCTGCTGCCGCTGCTAAGAGGTGACACTAAGCGTATTCTGCTGCTGCCGCTGCTAAGAGGTGACACTAAGCTTATTCTGCTGCTGCTGCCTAGCCCTCAAGCATAGGCCTAGCGTGCGTAGCGCTGCTAAGAGGTGACACTATGCTTGAGGAGTCTATTTTTGAGGCGCCTCAAAAAAGGTGACACTATGCTTGAGGGCGAGGCCGCGCGCTACGCACGCTAGGCGGGCTTCGTCGATACGCCAAAACTACACGGACTGGCGGTCCCTTGTCTTGCTCCGCTGCGCGCCGAAGGAACTGGGAGGTCCAGGAGGTGAAGAGGCGGCGGGAATTCAAGAGAGCGCGATGAGGGAATCCTAGAGGTGGGGTTGCTGGCTCGCTGTGAGTGAGCTGACTTTTGAGTCGACTCAAAAGTCCAGGAGGTGAGGCGGCGGAGGGAATTCCAGAAAGCGCGATGAGGGAATCCAGGAGGTGGGGTTGCTGGCTCGCTGTGAGTGAGACGGTTGGCTCGCTGCTTCTAGTATGCCACCGCGTAAGCTACTTTTTGAAAACACCCCAAGAAACAGCTACTATGCCACTGTGTCGCAAATACTACGGTCTACTACGGTACGTGTGCAACTAGTAGTAGTAGTACTGTTCCCCGCGTAAGCTGGTGAACGAGCCTCACATGATATCGCGCGGGGTGGAGCGAAGTCGAGCGAACGCAATCTTCGTCAACACCCGGGATGCTAGGGGTTGAACGCCTGCAAAGGCCGGTAGATGTCGCGAGGTCGCTAATAGTAGTACCAACACCAGCGTGTGACACGTCGCCAGTAGCGTGTGACGCTGACAGGTGAGACGGGTGGTGGTGGGGTGACTCGTTTTGAGGTGCCTCAAATAGTGACTCGCGATGGTGTAGAGACACGTCACCACGTGAGGTTCGAAGCGCCTTTACTTCGACTCAAAAGTCGACGTGAGGTTCGAAGCGTCGGAAAGTGAAGGACGGGAGATGATGAGCTTCTTGGACGAGCCGGAAATTCTTCGCGGCGTGCGAACGCCGGGGCTGGGTGCGCTACGGCTAACAGAATTTGGATAAGAAGGAGGAGAGCGGCAAGTGCTTGAACACCGATAAGAAGCGGTCGAGGTTCAGGCCTTGAAGGAGGCTTCTCTCACAAACCAGGGACGGAAGAATGGGAGCTCGAGAAAGCGACGTGATTATTCTCAGTCAGTCATATGAGGCTGACAAGAAGCGTGGGGTGGGCATGTAAAAAGGGGAACCTGGGAGGAGGTGGATTGTGCTGCAAGGCATGACAGGGCGTGGTGCCACATGAGAGGAAAGGAACCGCCACGGGGGCGTGAAAGTCGGGGAAATTCAAGGAGGCTCACAGCAACTCGGGTTTCAAGGGTGGACGCAAAGGTGTTTAGGGGATTGCCACCACCCGAGGGTCTCGCCGACAGGCCAGCTGGAACCTGGGGGGACTCGTTTGCGAGACCGAGAATTTGGAGTGTTCGTACGTAACACAATAGCTAAAGTGCCGTTACGGGGTAGGAAACACGCCTTACCTTCCAAGGAGAATGGGGAGGAGAGCCTTGTGAGCCAAGGAACGATCGGATTGGTGGCCATCTTTCGAGTTGCCTAGGGCCTAACGCGCGCATGAGGGTGGCGGAAAATTCAACCTGGGCGAGGGGAGCGTTGCGGGGATTGCGCGGTTAGCGCAATTGGCGGCTTCGGTTCCAGGCGAAAGGACAAGCGCGTCTCCCGGTGGTTGCGAAATTTCATATTTTTAACGAAGGATGTTAGGATTCGCCCGCGGGCTTTTTGGTTGGGTGCCGAACCACGAACAATCCAGTTACCACTTCAGGAACTGTTTGAGCTAACCTGAGGCAAAAGCACATGGCTTTGATGTGTTCAAATTGACACGTCATTACCACGTGTAATGACTACCTAGGTTGTTGATGTGGGAAGCAAGCACTGGCTGAGATGGCAAGGGAGCATGACAACCCCACTCCAAATCGAATCTTGTCCCTCCATCATCCACGATTTGGTTGTCAAAATCAGCCAATGAGTACCCAATCACACGACATGCATACGACCGAGAAATCTCGTCCACGTTCTCAGACTCCCTTCATGACGTGGCAGACCTACCCAGCCACCTGAGTGGCGGCTTTTTGACCAGCCTAGTTTCTTGATTCTGTACAAGTAGTGTAGCACATCCCCATCTACGCGTTTGATCCGGACAAGCGTCCTTCATAAGACCTTTTCAACTTTCATGGCTAAGCTTGTGCGGTACAGTTTGATGTTTCAGTTGAAATTATGGTGTGCATCAAACGAGAGTCCAGTACACAAACGAGAAGGAAACGAGACTCGCAAATCTCGCACGATCCCAAATCAGCAAATCGCCAGCCACAGGCAACACCAACACTGATCCACCGCCACCACCAATTACGACATAGCGGCTGTGTTCTACAGGCATTTGACGTCGACGTCGACGTCGACATTGAGGAAGCTCCTCAAGCGACTTCTAGAGCACTGGTTACCACTCAAACCAGGTGCACTTTCCAAACCTCTCTTGGAAGCAACGCGCCAAACTGTGGAAAGCGCGAGCGAAAGGAGAGAGGAGCCAAATTGAGGCTGATGTAACACCACACGCAAGGTGAACTCCGCGATTTAGCGAACGTCAGCATTGCGTCACCTTTGCGTCAAATTTGCCAGGGAGGGAAGCGAGGGGGGTGTTTCCCTGACGTAGATGTCATCTGTACATGGACCTGTTCTGCAGGCATGTTGATGTAACTAGGTTCGGGTACCTTGTGCCAGGTTTGGACGAGATTTTGCGGGCTGACCCTCGATCCGAAGCAGAAAATAAGGCTTTCGGAATGTGCTCTGATGTAATCTGCACTTTCCTTTTCTGCCTGCAGAACGCAGCCAGCGTGTCAGACATTGTCTTGTCAGCTAGGTAATTCCCCGAAGCCCGCCGCTTAGTCATAAGTCGGCGTGAACCCGCCTCCCCTCGTCAGTCACAGGAAATCCCGCGGAATTTGTGACCTCGATTACCGCGTTCATGCGTACACCCGCGGAATTCGTGTTCTCGATTCATCACACCAGCGATCCCACTGCTTCCTTTCCAACACATCCGTTTCATCAGCGGCATTCTCGCAGCGAATCGCCTTCTGACACAGGATCCTAAGCCTCTCGAGGCCTTCGCAACTCCGGTTATCGAGCAGCGGAAATAGTCGCGTAGTTAGACTTAGCTAGTCGCGCATGGCTTCGGCTACGCTTGTCCTTCGAGCGGGGCTTCCCATCCCTAGTACCCACGCGATTCCGTCGAAGCCAGCGTGTGTCCCTGCGCCTGGGAATTTGCCACGTGTCGCTGTTTCCAGATCCCATCTGTTCCAGCACAGCGACCGTCGCCTAGCAAAAGGGAATCACTTAGCTTTCGAGCAGCAACGCGTTTCTGAAACCTTTAGAAGGCATGGCTGTCCTGTCTTCGCACCACTGTCCTGTCTTTGCCCGTCAACGAGTCAACGACAAGTCGGCTCAGAGATTCGTCGGCGCGGGCTTGTCGTCGTCCGGGCTGTCAGCAGTAGTAACGGTGAAACGCCAAATGAAGCCTCGAGATTGCCGAGGTCGCCGTTTACCTCCACGCCTCCGCTTGCAACGAATGCTGTTCCGGTCGCACAAGCAGCCATTCCCGCACAACCACGGACACCCGCACACCCAGTCCACGTCCCGGCAGCGACATTCTTAAAACAACCCAACCTATGGCTTCTGGAGTTTTCCCTATTCTTAGCGACACTGAGGTCCGTAACGCTCGGCGCGCTCGCGACCGTACTCGCTCCTCTCCGCTCCGTCACCCTCCCGTCCCCACGCGCCGTCAAGCCCGCGTTTCTCACCCTCGCCGTCTGCCTCCTGCTCGCCGCGTCGCTCCCCAGCGTCGCTCACGCCGCGAAATCTGGCGGACGCGTCGGCGGATTCTCCTCCTCCTCATCCTCCTCCTCTTCGCGCTCCCGCTCGCAATCGCGCTCCGGCCCGTCGCAGTCTTATTCCTATTCTAATCCTTCCTCCTCTTCCGCTTCCCGTTCCCGCCATTATTCCGCCAACCCCTCGCGCAACTTCTTCTTTGCGCCATCCGCGCCGTTCTTTGCGCCTTCCCCCTTCTTCGGGGGGTGGGGGAGCGGATGGGGCGGGGGGTGGTCCCCGTTCGCCCCGCGCCCCGCTGTGACGATCAACGTGGGCGGAAGGGGAACCGGAGGGGGCGGGTTTGGGACGGTGGTTAATCTCCTGGTGTTTGGAATGGTGACGTACGCTTTAGTGCAAACGGTTCGGGGGTTTCTGGGGCAGTGGGAGGAGGACAGGGAGTTGGAGGATGCAGAGCGGTGCAGTGTGGTGCAGCTACAGGTGGGTGGGTGGATGTCTGGTTGTTGTTCGTCCATGCGTCTATTGGGTGTCTGCATGTGTGTGTGGGGAAGGGGAGTGGGCTGGGGGAGGGGGGGAGAGGGGCTTGGGGGGGGGGGGTGGGGGGTGGGGAGGGGTTTGGGCTACGTGTGTTTCGGAGGAGAGAGGAGGGTGTGGATGTGTGCGGCGTGCGCATGCCCGCCCGCACGTGCGTTATGTGCTTGTGAGGCCACTCAAGTGCGTTCGCGTGTGCCATTGAGCAAGTTACATTGACCAGAAGCCATCGTGCTTCCTCACAGTAGTCGGAATTATTGAATAACACACTCATTAAACTTAATTCTCTGTTTCTTCTATTATCTGTGTGACACGTGGCAGGTTGGGTTGCTGGGGTCAGCAAGGAGACTTCAAGCTGATCTGGAGAGAATAGCAGACAGGGCGGATGTGACTACACCAGATGGGCTGCACTATTTGCTGCAAGGTACGATTAGTGTAGAAAAGCATATACATGTATATGAATGATAAATTGGAGAGAATAGCAGAGCGGTCAGATGTGACGATGCCAGACGGGCTGCACTATTTGCTGCAAAGTATGAATGTAGATATGTAGACATAAAAAGTGGACGGATGTGTACATGTAGATAAATGCTGATCTGGAGAAAATAGCAGAAAGGGCGGATGTCGTGAAACCAGATAACACCATTATATGGGCTGCAATTGTTTGTCCTAGGTAACACCATTTGCTGGTAAGTCTGTGTGCTGTAAGTGTTAAACTATCTGCTTCAACGTAACACTACTTGCACGAAAATACTTGGCGGTTCTCCACCACACCACACCTTGACTCCCTTTCTCTCTCTTTTGTGTGACCCATCCAACCATCACCAGAGACCATCCTTGCTCTACTGCGCCATCCAGACTACTGCGTCTACGGCTTCTCCTCTGTACGCTTGCCTCCTCCAGCCTCTATTCCTTCCCCCGTTTCTAACCTTGTCCTGGCTTGGCCCGCCCCACTCAATCATGCTGCCACTTTGCTAGGCGAATTTGCGAACTGCAAAATGCGCTGCTGATCTCTGCAGGGTGATTCTGAGAATCCTACAAAACACCCTGCAAAGTCTGCGAATTGCAAAGTCTGCGAATTGCTAAATCTACGAATTGCAAAATGCGCTGCTGATCTCTTGAGACACCTCGTTTTCGTTCCCCTTCTTTCAATTGCCGTTCCGTTCGCCTCCGTTTCCCTTCATTTCCCATGAACATTAAATGGGTTCGACCCGCAGCAAGCCACGGAGTAGTCTCTTAGATCGATACTAAGCTAGGCTAAGAAGCAAGAAAGGTAACGCGAAATCGTAACTAGTAAGGAAACCCAAACAATTAGTCCGGATGCGCGTGTACGCGTTTCGGCAAAAGAGCCGTTTGCCTCTGTTTCCCTTCAATCCCCCCTACCATTCTAGTCCGCTGCCTACCGTGATGCTAATGCTGGCAAGACGGCATTCAACCGAGCGAGCTTAGAGGAGAGGAGAAAATCCCTCACTTTTTCCCTCTCCTCTGACCCCCCCCCCCTCTCCACCCCTCACCCCCACCCGCCCACCATTCAAGTCCGCTGCGTACCCTGATGCCAACGCTGGCGAGACGGCATTCAACCGAGCGAGCATGGAGGAGAGGAGAAAGTTCCAGGAAGAAACGGTGGTCAACGTGGGGGGGAGGGTGGCGAGGAGAAGGAGAGGCAACCACATGGTGCAGCAGGAAGGGAGCTCCACGGAATACATTGTGGTGAGTGTGGCCATCTGGCCTTCAGGTGGGGCTGACCTGGGTGAGTCTGGCTCTAGTGTGAGTGTGGCTTTAAGGTGATTTTAGTTTTTTGGACAATGGGGAGGAGGAGGAGAGGCAACCGCATGGTGCAGTAGGAAGGGAGCTCCACGGAATACATTGTGGTGAGTGTGGCCATCTGGCCTTCAGGTGGGGCTGACCTGGGTGAGTCTGGCTCTAGTGTGAGTGTGGCTTTAAGGTGATTTTAGTTTTTTGGGCAATGGGGAGGAGGAGGAGAGGCAACCGCATGGTGCAGTAGGAAGGGAGCTCCACGGAATACATTGTGGTGAGTGTGGCCATCTGGCCTTCAGGTGGGGCTGACCTGGGTGAGTCTGGCTCTAGTGTGAGTGTGCCTTTAAGGTGATTTTAGTTTTTTGGACAATGGGGAGGAGGAGGAGAGGCAACCGCATGGTGCAGTAGGAAGGGAGCTCCACGGAATACATTGTGGTGAGTGTAGCCATCTGGCCTTCAGGTGGGGCTGACCTGGGTGAGTCTGGCTCTAGTGTGAGTGTGGCTTTAAGGTGATTTTAGTTTTTTGGACAATGGGGAGGAGGAGGAGAGGCAACCGTATGGTGCAGTAGGAAGGGAGCTCCATGGAATACATTGTGGTGAGTGTGGCCATCTGGCCTTCAGGTGGGGCTGACCTGGGTGAGTCTGGCTCTAGTGTGAGTGTGGCTTTAAGGTGAGTTTAGTTTTTTGGACAATGGGGAGGAGGAGGAGAGGCAACCGCATGGTGCAGCAGGAAGGGAGCTTCACGGAATTGAATACATCGTGGTGAGTGTGTAATTTCCTCTTTGATATGAGTCGGGCTTCATCGTGAGTCAGAATTAGGAGAGGGTGGGCAAAAATGGGAGGAGGAGGAGCGGCAACCGCATGGTGCAGCAGGAAGGAAGCTTCACTGAAGCTTCCTTCCTGCTGCATCCTTGTGAGTCTTGGCGTGACCCCCACACCCCCCCGCACTCCCACCTCCCCCCCCCCCCCCCCCCCTCCCCAATCACCCAAGTACTTGAAAATTTCCATACCAGCAATTCCAGCCCCTCATCTTCCCTAGCTCCCAAGAATTATTTCCCCATAATCCCTTCCCTTGGTTTTTTTTTTCCCTTTGTTTTTTACGTTCGGGCAGGTGACCATTACAGCAGCGTGTGAGGGAACCTTTAATCTGCCTGAAGTAAAATCTGCAGCTTCCTTGAAAGACGCTCTAGCAAAGCTGGGTTCAATCCCCATCGACGAGCTACAGGTGAGGAGGGGAGGCGGGTGAGGAGGGGAGGCAGGTGAGATGGGAGGCAGTCGAGATGTGGGGCAGGTGAGATGTGGGGCAGGTGGGATCGAGTGAGGTTGAGGGGGGGGGCAGGTGGGGTTGAGTGCAGGGGGTTGAGTCGACTCAGAAGTGTATAATCCATGTGATAAATCATTTCGTTTCGAGTCCATTTCCAACTGCCTTGCATTCGTCTGCTGCAGGGGGTAGAGGTGCTCTGGACGCCCCAGGACCCATCGGATTCTTTGGCAGCTGATGACATTCTGAGGGACTATCCTACCATGCACACCCTCTAGTTATGTCCAACCCTGCCATTTTACGGTACGCTTCAAGGCATCTCTAGCAACTGGAGAAGGGGGATGAAGTGCTCTGGACGCCCCAGGAGGACCCATCTGATTCTTTGACAGCTGATTATATTCGGAGGGACTATCCCACCATGCGCACCCTCTAGTAATGTATAACCCTGCCCTTTTACGCTTCAAGGCATCTCTAGTAACCCGAGCAGGGGGGTGAATGAAAGTGCTCTGGACGCCTCAGGACCCGTCGGATTCTTTGACAGCTGATGACATTCTGAGGGACTACCCTGCCATGCGCATGCTGTAGCTTGCAGTCTTTGCATATACACGATTGCTTAGGCGCTTTAGAATCATGTGTGTGCTTTATCGTGCACTCCTCATTTGTAGAGCATCAACATCACTACAAATGGGCTGATCAACATCATTTTGTTGATCATCAAAATCAACGGCCCATCCACATCGCTTAATGTTGTTATTGCTAAAATCAGACATGGCGTATGTTATCATATATTCATACAGAGTGGGATCAGACAAAGTTGGACCAGACTCGAGCGGTACACTGCAGTGCAAGCGCTGAAATGTGCGCTTCAATGAGGTTCAGTTCGGTAATGCACGGGCCCGATCTAACTTTGGTCAGGGTCCAGGGGCATAGGTTGTAAATTATAGCGGCGGTGGTAATACATCACTGTAGCCGACGTCCACAAGGCACAGCCCAGCAGCAGGAGCAGGAGGGGCAGTGGATCGTCTCTCCCCTGTCGCTGCCAGCCTCAGCAGGCAGTCAACACCTCCCCCAGCTGCTGCCTCCCTCACAGCCGTAGCCACCAGCACTCGCACCATCTGCTTGACATGGGAGCACAGGAGGGAGCGATTTCACTGATAAGGGAGACCTGGGGGAGGTAGACCACAGGAGATGACTTCTGAGTCGACTCAAAAACCATCTGCTTGATTAGGGAACACAGGAGGGAGCAATTCACTGATAAGGGAGATCTGGGGGAGGTAGATCACAGGAGCTAGAGCAAGAGGGGCAGTGGATCGTCTCTCCCCTGTTGCTGCCAGTCTTAGCAGGCAGTCATCACCTCCCCCTGCTGCAGCCTCCCTCACCACTGTAGCCACCAGCATCGCACGCAAGGGAGGGGTTCAGATAAATTAGGGGGCATGGGGAGGGGTTCCAGATAAATTAAAGGGCATGGGGGAGGGGTTTCAGCGCACACACGCCGAAACACCCGAGGATTACAGTAGAGCGTTCTTTGCTTCACTCACCCGGCGCAGAGGTGGCTTTTGAGTAAACTCAAAAGTCACCTAGTTAAGAGGCACAGGAGGGAGGGGTTTCAGAGCAGAGCACAAACACGCCGAAACACCTGAGGATTACAGCAGAGCTTCCTTTGCTTCACTCTACCGGTGCTGAGGTGGCTTTTAAGTCGACTCACAAGTCACCTAATTAGGGGGCACGGGGGAGGGGTTTCAGCGCACACACGCCTGAACACCTAGGGATTACAGTAGAGCATTCTTTGCTTCACTCGCCCGCCGCAGGAATCTGTCTCCCACCAGCTCCACACACAGGAGACGTGTGGATCCTGCTGGGCTGATGGGAGAGCGAAAAGTATCACATGCACCTGAAGCATTACGGAGGAGCGTTCACGGACATACCCGGCGCAGGAATCTGTCTCCCACCAGCTCCACACATAGCACCCCTGTGGATGCTGCTGCGGCTGCTTTTGATGTTCCCGCTGCTCCTGCTGCTGCTGCTGCTGCTGCTGCTGCTGCTGCTGCTGCTGCTGCTGCTATTCCTGCGGCTCCTGTTGCCATGTGTGGTGAGGCTCCGTCTTGTGCCTCTCCCGCTGCTGCTGCTGCTGCTGTTGCTGCTGTTTCTGAAGCTCGTTCTGCCACTCCTGGAAGTGTGTGCCCTGATGCAGTTCCCCTTGCATGTGCCGACCGTGTTGCAACCGGTAAGCAGGCTTCAAACGCCCTTGCTCGGAGAATGTTGCACACTGTAGCGGATCCGCTGTTTGGGAGGACAGCCGAGGAGTGAATACGCAACACGGGAGGAAAATACTGGTCTTGTGCTTGTGGGTGGATCTGTTAACACGCCTCACGAGGTGAAACAACCTGAAAGAGAGACTCAGTCTTGTCTAGGGCGAATCAGCTGAAAAAGGGTTGGATTCGATCCGCAGCAAGCCTTCTGAGAGTAGATCTAAAGCTAAGACTGAACTGAGAGACTCAGGGTAAAACAACCTGAAAGAGAGACTCAGTCGTGTTGAGGGCGAATGGTCAGGAGCAAGTGCCTGTAAGAGTGTGATTTTATAAACCACTTTTTCTTCAAACCCGCATGTCACGAAGTTCAACGGTGGGAAAGTTGGTTGGGCGTGAGGACGGGATTGGCTGCCAGGTAAAACTCCTAGGGAACTCCGTGAGGATGGGATTGGCTCAGGTAAAACTCCTAGGGAACTCCGTGAGGACGGGATAGGCTGTCAGGTAAAACTCCTAGGGAACTCCGAACCAAAGGTAGGAAGGTCGAGGCAACTTTGGGACATATGGCACACATGTTTTTAAGCGCCTAAAAAATGACTTTTTTTTAGGCGCCTAAAAAATTGTCAGAATCAAGTTCCTGTAAAGGGTGTGATACTATGCTATCAGCCAGCCACCCCCTCCCCACCTCTCCCTTCTTCACCTGCCCCTGCCAGCAGCAGTGTTGTGGGCGAATGCTCGGAAGCAAGATCGGCCATGGGCACGTGTATGGGTCTCCAGTGCATGCAGCATGATGTGCACCCAAACCCCTCCTACCCCAAACTCCAAACCCTAAACCCAAATTCCCAAAACCCCAGACCCCACCTTCCACCCCCTTCCTTACCTGCCTCTGCCAGCTGGAGTGTCTCGGGCGAACGCTCGGTAGCAAGTGAGGCCATGGGAGCGGGCATGGGTCTCCAGTGCATGCAGCATGGCGTGTACGCGAGGCACATGCATGCATGCCGGCTTCCATGCAGCACCACATGTGCCTTGAGAAGGAGTGCACCCATCATGGGGATCCGGCAGCGATTGAGGCGCCTCAAGAGGATCAGGACCCGGCATGCCATCCGAATCCTTTCCCTCTGGGATCATGCTGTGGGTGTCCATCCTTCGGTCAACACACCCACTACCATCCTTATCGCTATCATAATTTTCCATCACACGTGCATCGTCCCTTTGGACACCGACATCACCATTCCGGCTGGACACGACATGCTGATGACAGCCTCCTCCCCCCTCCTCCCTTCTACCTCCTCCGTTCCTATCTCCCCCCCCATCAGCATCCGCTTCCCCTGGGCCCATATCAGCCTCCTCTGCAAGTCTCCCTCCGACCGTCACTAGAGGTGAATCGCAAGGCAATGTAGGCACCCCCTCTGCAAATGTCGAATCAAACGGATCTCGTATCACCGTACACGCCTTCTCACGACATGCAGAAAGGCTGCACCCACTCCCAGAAAACATCCTTCCTCTCTCCGCCACTCCTCCACACGCCATCCCCCCTTTTTCCCCCATCCCCCCACACACCATCCCCCCATTCTCAACAGAAGGTGTTGTTGTCCCATAAACCACATGGACCAGCGGCCCCAAACATTGTGCAGATTTCCCCCCCTTGCGGGATGGAGGTTGACCCGATTCCCCGCAATCTCCTGGTAGCCTTGCCTTGAAGCTCAAGGTGTGCCTCACTTCTGAGCAACCTCCTTCCCACTCCAGCAGGGGCAGCAGGTAGAGATATCGCCGCCAGCGAGCAGAGAATTGCGGGTGAAAGGAGCGGGGGACCTGCAAGTGCCAAGAGGAGTGGGGGAGATAGGGGCGAGGAGAGGAGAAAGAGAGAGGTGAGTGGGGGGAGCAGAGCAGGAGGAGCAATAGCAGCGGCAGCAGGTAGAGATAGTGGCGGCTGGAAGGGGGGAAGGAGCAGAGGATTGTGGGTGGAAGGAGCAGAGGATTGTGGGTGGAAGGAGCAGAGGATTGTGGGTGGAAGGAGCAGAGGATTGTGGGGGGAAGGAGCAGAGGATTGTGGGTGGAAGGAGCAGAGGATTGTGGGGGGAAGGAGCAGAGGATTGTGGGTGGAAGGAGCAGAGGATTGTGGGGGGAAGGAGCAGAGGATTGTGGGTGGAAGGAGCAGAGGATTAAGGGGGGAAGGAGCAGAGGATTGTGGGGGGAAGGAGCAGAGGATTGTGGGTGGAAGGAGCAGAGGATTGTGGGTGGAAGGAGCAGAGGATTGTGGGTGAAAGGAGCAGAGGATTGTGGGTGGAAGGAGCAGAGGATTGTGGGTGGAAGGAGCAGAGGATTGTGGGGGGAAGGAGCAGAGGATTGTGGGTGGAAGGAGCAGAGGATTGTGGGGGGAAGGAGCGTGAAGCCTGCATGTAAGGGGGGAGTGGAGGATGGAAGAGAGCTGACAGTCTCAAGTGTGTTTTGAGTCGACTCAAAACACACCTGGAGCCTGCATGTAAGCGTGGATAAGGAGATGGAGGAGAGCTGAAAGGATCAAGCAGGCAAGGCAGGGTACAGATAGCGCTGCCAGCGGGCCGAGAATTGAGGGTGGAATGAGATGGCAACCAGCATGTGCCAAGGGGAGTGGGGGTAATAATGGGGAGTGAGGAGTCTATTTTTGAAAGAAGAAAGAAGAACCTTTGAAATGCTGATGACTCTCAGGCTGCCCTCCCTTGATGCAGCTGTATCTACGGCTGCAGCTACAGCTGTCAGATCGAGGGGGTCCATCCACGTGTCTGGTGAGGTGGTGGGAGACGGAGGGAGGGAGGGAAGGAGAGAGAGGAGAGTCAGAAGGTACACGAGACAGCTGTAGTGTCCATGTGCCTGGTGCCTGGTGGCGAGCAGCAAACACTGCTGTCAAATCGACGGGGTGCATCCATGTGTCTGGTGGTGTGGAGCGTGGAGGGAGACGGAGGAAGAGAGATGGTCGAATGGAGAGAAGAAAATGGTAACCGGCTGCAACTAATAGTGTTCGATCCAAGGGGGGGTCCACGTGTCTTGTGGATTGGTAGGAGACGGAGGGGGAGAGGGAGAAATTCATGTTTTGACAGATAGCGAAGGAAATCAGGGAAGGCCAAAAAAGGGGAAACCACCCACACAAAATGCGAGCACAAAGAGGCTTAGGGAAGAAATAGGAACTCACGGAAGGCGCACACTTGCCCTGCAGCATGCACGCCCTTGTCGGTCCTCCCTGCCACCACCACCGCTGCCCTCGGCACCCCACCACTCTCTGTTGACTGGCTCTCTTCCCCCTTACGCTGCTCCCTCTCACTCCCTCCCTGCCCTGATACATGCACGCCCTTGTCTGCCCTCCCCGCCACCACCACCGCCGCCCTCTTAACCTCCATCCCCTCCTCCTCTCCACACGTCTCGCGCTCTACCTCTACCTTTTCCTTCCCCTCTCCCCTTTCTCCGTCTCTTCCCCCTTCCCTTCCCCCTTCCCTTCCCCCTTCCCTTCCCCCTTCCCTTCCCCTTCCCTTCCCCCTTCCCTTCCCCCTTCCCTCCCCCCTTCCCTTCCCCCTTCCCTTCCCCCTTCCCTTCCCCCTTCTCTTGCCCCTTCTCTTGTCCCTCCTCCTCCCCCGTCCCCTCCAGCTCTCATTTCGCCCTTTCCCCCAGCTTTTCCTGTCCACTTTTGCCCAGCCTTTCGCCCACTTTCCACTGTCCTTAAGTCTGCCTTTCCCCTCCTCTCGTTCTCCACGCCTTCGTGGCTCCCTGCCCTTTCTTCTCCCTCCTGTTCTCCTCCCTCCTCGTCCCCCCTTGCTCCTGTTCCCTTCCCTGCTCCCGTTTGCCCTGCTCTCCGCAGTTCAGCCGTGTCCCTTCTCTCCTTCCAAGCCTTCGTGCCTCCCTTCCCCTTCTCCCTCGCCTTCTCCTTCTTCGGGTGGCGGGCGCAGAAAGGGGCCAAGGCGGACTCCAAAGTACTGGTGAGGGGAGGGGAGGGGCGGAAGGGGGGGGAGGAGGGGGGGAGGGGTGATGGTACGTGCTTTCTGGCTGCAAAATGGTGCTCGTAGAAAGGGGCCAAGCCAAGGCAGACTCCAAAGTATGGGTCAAGGGAGGAGAGGGAAAGGGGATGGACGGAGACTGTTGAGTGTTTTGAGCCTGCCTTGACTCAAAAGGCGCTCAGAGAAAGGGGCTAAGGCGGGCTCCAAAGTACTGGTGAGGGGAGGAGAGGGGCGGAAGGGGGGGAAGGAGGTGGGGAGGGGTGAGGATAGGTGCTGTCTGGGTGCAAAGTGGTGCTGTCTGGCTGCAAAGTGGTGCTGTCTGGCTGCAAAGTGGAGCTGTCTGGCTGCAAAGTGGTGCTGTCTGGCTGCAAAGTGGTGCTGTCTGGCTGCAAAGTGGTTCTTGACGGAAGGTGATTTTTTTAGTCGACTCAAAAATCACCATAGGTGCTCTCTGGCTGCAAAGTGGTGCTCGACGGAAGGGGCTACGCTAATCCATAACTTTAATCTGTCTTGTATAGCACTGCTGACCAAAACTAGCCTCAAAACTAGTCGCAGTTCACGCGCTCTCGATGGAAGGGGCTTAGCTGAGTTATGCCTTTGGGCTGTCACGATGAGTATAGCGCTGCTGACCATACCTCTGCTCTGCACGGTCACTATTTTTGAGGCGCCTAAAAAAAAGTGGTGCTCGATGAAAGGGGCTGAGCTGAGCTGAGCCATAACTTTGGGCTGTCATGTATTGCACTTACTGACCATGCCTCTGCATGGTGGTGACTTATGAGTCGACTCAAAAGTCACCATCTGATGATAAGGTCCGTCCTTAGATACCTTCGCTGTAACGACGTGACTTTTGAGTCGACTCATAAGTCACGCTGTCATGTATAGCACTTACTGACCATGCCTCTGCATGGTGGTGACTGCTCCCTACTGGCTCTGATACCCGTGGAACGTCCCGCCATCGTACGCCACAGCCAGCTGAACGCTCATGTCTATGCACTCACTGTTAGGCACACCAGTGCCCGCCATACCTCTGCACGGTGACTGCTCCCTGCTGGCTCTGATACCCGTGGAACGCCCCCCCATCGTACGCCAGCACCAGCCGAACGGTGCTGCGACCCTCCCATTCTCCATCCTTCCGCCCTTTTGCTATCTTCTTCCCACCAGCAGCATCGGAAGCAGCAGCAGCAGAAGTAGCAGCAGCGGTAGCAGCACCAGAAGCAGCACTACCAGCAACGCCATCACTAGTAACCGAAGTAGCAGGTGCACTTTCCTTTTCAGCTACTACCCGCTCATCAGCAGGCCTCCTGCTGGACAAATCAGAAAGTGCCACGTGTCCAGCTGCCAGGCTGGCATAGAACGCGTGCACTGCATGCCATGGGCGATTCTCCAGGTGATTCACAGTCAGCCTGGGGGGAAGGGTAGGGGGAGGGAAAGGGGGAAGGGCAGGGGGAGGGAAAGGGGGAAGAGAAAAGAGAGTCTACATGGAAAAAAGAGAGTCTGCTTACCACGGGCGATTCTCCAGGTGATTCACAGTCAACCTGAAGCGAAGGGTGGGGGGGGGGGGGGTGAGAGGGGGAAGGGGGGGGAATCTATTTTTGAGGCGCCTCAAAAATAGATTCACAGTCAGCCTGAAGCGAAGGGTGAGGGGGGGGAAGGAGGGGGGGGAGAGAAAGGGGAGCGTTCGTTTGTGCCGCCTTAACAGGTAATTCACAGTCAAGCAGGGGGGAACGCGGGGAAGGCGGGGAAGAGGGGGGAAGGGAGACGCGCAGGGCGGGGGAGGGGGGGGGGGGAGGGGGGAAGCTAGAGAGAGAAGGGTCTGCTCTTGTGCAGAGATGTCCATCCGTTTTGAGGCGCCTCAAAACTGTTCATCCGTTAACAGATGTTGTACACAGAGGCTGAAGGGAAGGTTTGAGGCGCCTAAAAACTTGTGCAGAGATGTTGTACACAGAGGCTGAAGGGAAGGTTTGAGGCGCCTCAAAACTTGTGCAGAGATGTTGTACACAGAGGCTGAAGGGAAAGGAGGGAGAGGAGGCGGGAGAGGGGCTGGGGCTGGGTGGGGACTCGTACATTTCTGCTGCTGTTTTTTTAGAATTCTCAAAAACCAATTCAACTCATGTATGTCTGCTGCTGGAGGTTGGAATACTCAAAACATTGGAAAGGCACAACAAAATGCCTGAAAGATGCATTCGCTGCTGCTGTGGCCTGATGGGCCACTCTTGGGGGATCTAGCGGCGCAAGAGCAAGCTGCACCCGGGGGGAACTAGCGGCACAACTGAGAAGGGACGAGCGTACCTGGGGGACCAGCGGAAGGGCGCAATGGAAGAAGGGGGCGAGGGGGGGGGGGGGGTGGGGGGAGGGAGGGGAGAGGGGGGGAAGGGGGGAGGGAGAGCGCAAAGCGCACCTGGAGGACCAGCGGAACGGCGCAAGCTCGTCCGTGTGGCGGAGCATCTCCTTCCCGCGGCTGTCATTCCCCAACTCGTACGCGCTGGGCGCGATGCGCGCAGGGGGATCATCCGCGGGCTCTACAGTAGGCGCAAGCGGAACGTCCGCGACCGGCAGCATTTTCAAAGCCAACGTGGCAAGCTGACGTGGCAATCTTGGTTACCACTGTAACTCAAGACAACTCCACTCGAAGCGCGATATTAGACGATCTCGTTTTCTGGCCGTGGAGAGTAGCAAGAGCCTCCTTGTAGCAAGAGCCTCCTATTAGCAGGAGCGTCCTATAAGCAAGAGCCTACCCCTAGAGTTTAACAACTCGTATTCTGGGCTCCGGCACGTTGGAGCGGTGAAGCGTAGTACGTATCTGTACTCCTGAACCCCGTGCTCTACTGAGAACGTTCCTATTCCTACTACTTCAATCCCGTTGTAACGAACCTTGTACCGCATCTGAAATAATCTCCGGGCGGAACGATCCCAGTGATCCGCAAAGCACCTTCAGCTGTAAATGACCTCAAGTAGCGAACATATTGGGAAGATAACTGCCGCGGACTGTCCACGAAATCGTTCATACTTCCGTGGACACGCCCTACTTTCTAAACTTCCGCGGACTGTCCACGAAAACGTTCATAACTGCCGCGGACTGTCTAAATACGTCTTTTAGCTGCAATTCTGCATGTGTGCATGGAAGTATGCCCGCTGTCCACGAAAGTATGGAGTCCACAGGAGAAGCAAAAGTTTGATGTCGTGTCCATGAAAGTAGGGCGTGTCCACGAAATTATGAACAGTTTCGTGGACGGTTCGCGGCAGTAATTTTCCCGAACATATATATGAAACACGTGTATTACAAACGGGTAACTTTAATATCTATCAGCTGATCCTGCACTAACACCCCACCTTTCTATCTGGCCACGACAGGGCTACAACTACCGCTGTGAATTTCTGTTGGAAATAATTATGAATTGTTTTTCTGGATTGCGATTGGCTGACGCAACAAGCTGTCTCGGCGAAACATTCAGTGCGACGCTTCTGACGCGCTCGCGAGTCGAGCGACTTGCGCGTCTGAAGGAGTCATGTGTGCAATTATTTGCCCCAGGGGCCCAACTCGATTTTCGAGTTGGGCCCAGATTTGCTTCACAAGGGTGCCAGAAATATTGCAACACCTCGCCTCGCCATCTGAACGACGAGTAAAATCGTCGCCATAGAAACATGAACTGAACATTCTGGTCAAAAGTCGATAATTTTCATGCACACACAGCTTCCGAGTCCATTTCGTACACAGCCAGCTGCCCAAATAAAAAACTCCACCTCTTCTCACCAAGCCTCTTTTCTAGTCCAAGCTGCGCCAAACTTTGTAGTGGGTTTGCTATTTCAGCTTGGGGCTTTAACGGTGTTGAACAATAAACTTTGCCTCAATTCTATCATATTCTGCAACGCATGTAGCCCGCCTAACCACTAACAAAATCACTTAATATTGCCTTGCCCACACTAGTATGTCTTGAATAATTGACAAGCGCTAGAGGTCCCTCCCCGGGTTTGAACCCCTAACCTAAGCGCTTTCCCATGCTTAGGTAGTACCGGTACTGGCATGCAGATCGAAAGCAGGGGAGTGAGGGAAAAGGGGAAATAGGAGACCAATCAAAAGGGGGAAAGGGGAAAGTAGAGATAATGTGAAAGATCAAGGAGTGCACTACGCTATGTAATGCAAGTACCCTACACCAAACATGAAAGGGGAGCCATACATGGTACTCGCACATGCACTGCAGCATACCTTGCACGCTGGGGTGTGCTAGTTTGAAGAGTTGAGGGCATAAGTGTCATAGAGGTATTTGACAATGGCGGCACTCTCAAACATCTTCACTCCCGTGTTTGGGTCTTCAAGATATGGAGCCTGCGAAGTGCCAGGCGGTACAAGAGAGGAAGAAATGAACGCGATGGCAACTAGAAAAGCGGGGAAACGCAATGAAGCCTCACCTCTCCACGGTTCCATATCGTTTGTGCATAGGTCATCTACTCACGAAAAGGTCATTCACAGTATAGGCCATGGACTCCTCTATCCTCACATATCACGCCTGCATCTACACCATTACTCACCTAAATGGAACCCACGAGGCTTTTAATAAGCAGAACAATGGCGCTCACCTGGAAGCGGCCAATCCTCTTCTTGAGCGCCTCTCTCTTGGGACTGCCTCTCGGTGTGCTGTGAGCAGGGGACATTTAGGCAGGCACAAGGACAGGCAGGCGAGGGCCATATGAAGTGTGAAGTTTAAGCTGACATCAAAAGCTGACTGGCTCTGGATGCGCTGCACCGCCCGGAGAAAGGGAGCAGCCAGGATAAAGAGACATTGAACAGATGCGTGATATGGGAAAGAAGAATGATTTGTTAGTCGACCCAAAAATCACCGGGAAAGAACAATGACGTGCTTTGCGATGCGCGTAGCGGTTCCAGTGGCAAGTACGAAACATAATACAAAAACCAGTAAGATTCTGGCTGCAATAGTAGCGGCAACATTTATATGTGTAATCATTATAAGCATACATGGCACGAGTTGTCTTACGCATGATAGACGTGGGGTAGCTCCAGCTCACACAGGGCTTCTCGCACCAGCTTGCAGAAGGGGGAGGGCTGCAGGGATGGTAGAGAGAGTGGAGTGAAGGGAAAAGGTGATGGAAACAGCACGAGGGGGGGGAGGGAGAACGAGTGCGTGGTCAGGATAGCAAGCACGTGAATGCAGCGAAAACAATGTGAACAAGGCAGATCAAAAGGTGCAGGCGGGTGCAGGAGAAAGCAGAAACTTGAAGTCTAAGGTTAGGCCTCGAGCAACATTCGCACACTCCATCATCCCGGCCCTCCGGCCCTCCACCCCCCTCCCTCCCCCCCCCCCGCCCCCCTTCCCCCCTCGCCACCCTCACCTCATACGGCCACACTGATTTTTGAGTCGACTCAAACATCTCCCCACCCTCACCTCATACGGCCACACTGATTTTTGAGTCGACTCAAACATCTCCCCACCCTCACTTCATACGGCCACACTGATTTTTGAGTCGACTCAAACATCTCCCCACCCTCACCTCATACGGCCACACTGATTTTTGAGTCGACTCAAACATCTCCCCACCCTCACCTCATACGGCCACACTGATTTTTGAGTCGACTCAAAAATCTCCCCACCCTCACCTCATACGGCCACACTGATTTTTGAGTCGACTCAAACATCTCCCCACCCTCACCTCATACGGCCACACTGATTTTTGAGTCGACTCAAACATCTCCCCACCCTCACCTCATACGGCCACACTGATTTTTGAGTCGACTCAAACATCTCCCCACCCTCACCTCATACGGCCACACTGATTTTTGAGTCGACTCAAACATCTCCCCACCCTCACCTCATACGGCCACACTGATTTTTGAGTCGACTCAAACATCTCCCCACCCTCACCTCATACGGCCACACTGATTTTTGAGTCGACTCAAACATCTCCCCACCCTCACCTCATATGGCCACACTGATTTTTGAGTCGACTCAAACATCTCCCCACCCTCACCTCATACGGCCACACTGATTTTTGAGTCGACTCAAACATCTCCCCACCCTCACCTCATATGGCCACACTGATTTTTGAGTCGACTCAAACATCTCCCCACCCTCACTTCATACGGCCACACTGATTTTTGAGTCGACTCAAACATCTCCCCACCCTCACCTCATACGGCCACACTGATTTTTGAGTCGACTCAAACATCTCCCCACCCTCACCTCATACGCCCACACTTCCAATGGCTGGGGCGGCATCTTAGCTGGCACATAGCGGCTGCCCTGAGGACGAGAAAGGAGGACGGAGAGGACGTCGATAAAATTAAATATAGCTGGAGGAATGGAGCTGAGATCAGTAAAAGGAGGGAAATAACAGGTCTTTGAGAATTCTCTCGAACCCATGGTACTATGTCAACGGCAAGGAAGGGAGGTGAATGTTAGATGGATGGATCTGGTTCTTGGGTTTTGGATCATGGGTTTCGGTTCATGAATCATGCAGAGAGTAAGTCGTTTACCTTCATCATGCGGCCAATGCCAGCCAGGCCCGCAGTGATGGACTGGAGGAATGGGTGAGACGAGAATGGGGCGGGGTGAGGTGGGATGTGGTGAGAGAAGAATGGGGTGAGAGGGAATGGGGCGAGGAGAGGTAGGGTGGGGTGGTGAAAATGATTGAGAAATGGATGGGATGAGAGAGAAAACAGGCATTGGATGGTCGAGCTGGAGCTGCACACACTTGGGTAAGTACCAGAGTATAGGTAAGTTGAATCATTTTACAGAGTGCGCGTGTACTGAATCCGCACGAAGGGATGTTAAGTGTCCAATGATAGGAGAAGACGATGCATGAAAAGAGAGTCAAGTGACATCATTCCTCTACAAATGTACTCACAGTGATGGCCCCGGATGCGTGATGGTTACATGTCTACAATAGTGAACACACCATCACATTCACTCAAAGTGATGAGCCCAAGCCTCGGCATGGGAGGATCGGATCCATTGCCTACTGTGGAGTTATTAAAGGGAATTCAAAAAGACTGGAGTCATTTTTCCAAAATGCATTCACTCACAGTGATGGGCCCAAGCTTCAGCATGAGAGGAACGGAACCATTGCCTGTACGTACAGTAGGGGTACATGAGAGGAGAGGAAGAAAACATAGGACAATGCACATTTTTCTTATCAGGAAAATGCGCGCTAACATACCCCAAGACATCTCTTTTGAAAAGGCACCTCAGTACTAGCTTCTCGTTATAAGCAACCTTTGAGAACATCCCACAAGGCGTGTACTGTACGTGTTGTCAGGAAACTTTGATTTCTCTACCATTTTCACTACCACACTCCGAGGCACATACCATAAGTTTTGGCGAGGTATTCAATGATTGCGTCCGACTCATACATGCTCACTCCTGTGTTGGGGTCAACCTGGATTGGATCGAGGAGGGGCAGTTGTCGAGCGACAGAATAAGAGGAAAGAGAAGGAAGGGTGATATGGATTGTTTCATCTGACTCATGCGTGCTCACTCCTGTGTTGGGGTCAACCTGGATTGGTTGACATGTACACGTTGCCGGTAGAGGGAGGGGAAGAAAAGGGAGGGGAAGAAAAGGGAGGGGAAGAAAAGGGAGGGGAAGAAAGGGAGGGGAAGCATGGTTTTGTGGCAAAGGGAGGATAAGACAGTGGGGCACTCTGCTAGTCTAGCCGCATGATGGTAAAAACCACCATGTGTGACACCACCATGTAGTAAGACCTCTCTGCACATTGTGCACGCAGCTCACCATGCAGGGAAACTGCCTTTTGAGAGAGTTGTGAAAATTATAAAAAACATCTCACAAACACCATCATGTGTGAAACCACCATGTAGTAAGACCTCTCTGCACATTGTGCACGCAGCTCACCATGTAGGGAAACTGCCTTTTGCCACCCTCGGCAATGGCCTTGGGTCGAAATGTGGGCCTCGGTGTAAAACACCGTATCATTGCATATCGTGAAAAGGATGCATCATTTACAGGACTTACCATATAAGGAAACTGCCTTTTGCCACCCTCGGCTATGGCCTTGGGTCGGAATGTGGGTCCGTCCACAGGGCACGGGTAGAAGAGCACGTCTAGGTCCAGCACTGACACCATCTCGCGGACCTGAAGGGAGGACAGGCAGAAGCAGAGAGGAGGGAGGGATGTCCTTGGGTGGGAATGTGGGGCTATCGGCAGGGCACGGGTAGAAGAGCACGTCTAGGTCCAGCACAGATACCATCTTGCAGATTTGTGGGGTTAGGTAGAGAAGGAGGGGGGAGAAGAAAGGACATCTAGAGGGAGGGGAAGGGGCACACGAGAGTGGATGGTGGTACTGCTTTTGAGTCAACTCAAAAGCAGGATCACATTAGACGCAATGAAGGGCGTATGACAGGCTTGCAGGGGCAAATGATGTATACGTCACAGGCATGTAGCATGGGATGGGGCATCGGTAGCGGAAAGAGACAGGAGGTTAGACGAGGTGGAAAGAGGTTAAAGTGGCAGGAGGTTAAATGGAGTGGCAGGAGGTTAAATGGAGTGGCAGGAGGTTAAATGGAGTGACAGGAGATTAGGTGGAGTGGCAGGAGGTTAGGTGTTGTACCTTGCGACAGAAAGGGCAGCTGCACGGGAGAAAGATGGATGCGCCGTGCATATGGAGCGATCGGAGAAATGAACGGGAAGCGTTAAAGGCCAACAAGCCGTGGCCGTGGAACGCAGGCGCAAGCCAGCAGCGCAAAAGAGCATGTTAAGAAGGGACAGAAGGGACAGAAGGGACAAGAGAGACAGAAGGGAGAGAAGGGACAGAAGAAACAGAAGGGAGAGACGGTTGAGCACATATATAGACAAGCGGATACACACGACAGTGGGAAAGCACATGCCAGGGTGAAGGGAAAGAGCACAGAGGAAAAGAAAAGAGCATTAACGGCTCCTCCAAAAACATACCCACACATGCACATGCACACGCACATGCACATGCACATGCACCCGCACCCGCCCCCCCAGACGCAGATGCAGACGCAGAAGCAGAAGTAGACGCGGACGCAGAAGCAGACGCAGACGCAGACGCAGACGCACTCACATGCTCAGAGCATTTGCGTCTGCGTCTGCGTCTGCGTCTGCTTCCCAACGGGTGCATCTCATCACATGCTCAGAGCTTGCCGTTAAGAGGAGATGCACCCGTTGGGATGCTAGCATGGCTTCGTGCTATACTTTTTAAAACTCTACAAAACGAGCTGGCCCCATGCAATCAAGGCACCTCACCCTTCAAACTCGTAAATCTCGATGGGCTTGGTTGCCGGTTTCACCTCCCCAGTGGTGGTTTCCACCAGCTTGTACCCTGCAGGGAAAAACATGGTCAAAAGAACGAATTCGTGATACATGGTCTCGAAAGGGAAACCCAGAGAACGGTTATCGAAAGCACAAACTACCCAGTGGTGGTTTCCACCAGCTTGTACGCTGCAGGAGGCAGGATGAGCCACGGTCATAAGTTCTTCACACGACAATTGCGAAAGCAGAGGAAAATGCAGGAGTGCGTTGAGTCGCCTTAAAACAAGCAGCACCACTCACCCATGACTGGCACCCAACGTGTAGTCCTCGTCTTTCACCGCGGATGATTAATCCGCTTTGCCCTATTCAGGATTCACTTATGACCGTTCAACTACCCCTTGCCTGTCAGCAGTGACCCATTCCCATCGACCCCATTGCATCACTCACCCATGACGGGTCCCAGCACATGATCGTCGTCCGCTGATAATTCTCGTCAGCATCGGCCCATGATTCCCACCGACCAACCCACCCACCCACCACTCACCCATGACGGGTCCCATCGCATAATCCTCGTCCTTAACCGCTGATGATGATTCCACCTTGGCCTTGTACCTGCATGCAGGCAGGCGGGGAGATGGGAATTGATAAAAAAGCTATTGGGTCGACCTACTATCGGAGTTAACCGCTGACGATGACTCCACCTTGGGCTTGTACCTGCACGCAGGCAGAGAGAAAGTGACGGGTTTCTGTTGACTTCACAGCTTTGAGTGGGCAGACCATAAGCTACTATAGCACACATCGCAGAAGACGATGACGGGAAAAAAAGGGTGCCTGCTTACCTTTCACTGAACACGCCGGTTCCGAGGCGGAAGAGGATGCTTATTTCTAGAGAATTCTGAAAGAGTGAAGTGACCAGTAACCCAGAACGTGAACCGAACTGTTTACTCACCCCTCACTGAACACGCCCGTGCCGAGGCGGAAGAGGATCGGCAGCGATGCACCAATCACGGCCCCCAGCTGCCCGCTCGCCACTGAGAACGGCTTAGGCTCGGGGGGCACAAAGTTTTCAGGTGCCCGGATGCCGCTCGACGACGACTCGGCCACCTGAGCGAAAACGCGGGGTTTGTTTAGTGAGATAATTAATTATTGAACGTCGCAAAAACATACTCAATCCCCTTTCAGAAACGCATTGTGAATGGTTAATTATGAGGATAGAGACACGCGGTGCCAATCATTACCCCCCCCCCCTCCCCCCTCCCCGAGATAAACGATATCTTACCAATGGAGTGACAGTATAGCACATGGTAACGTAACAACCAGTCACTTAGTGCTCAACTGAACACCCGAAGGTTGATCACCTCTTCACATCTCTGCACAAACGGCTTGTCGGATTCCCCTGCTCGTCTCCGCCTCACCAATATGAATACCTTCTCCGTTTCAAAATAACGGAGACGTAGACGCTAACGGAGCTCACCTGCGAGCTCGACAGCTGTTCACCTCCTCCCATCTCGGCACGAACAGCGTGTCGGATCCCCCTGCTCGTCCCCTTCCCGCTATCCTGACTATCTTCGTTGATAAATAAATAGTAAAAAAATACAGGGAAGAAGAAGGTAATGGTACTCACCTGCGAGCTCGACGGTTGTTCTCCTCCTCCCATCTCGGCAAGAACAGCGTGTCGGATCCCCCTGCTCGTCCCCGCTACGCGACCACCCTTCAGCTGCAGACTACTTCCAGAAACCCCAGAGAGAGATGCGAGGCTGGAGGAAGGAAGCCGTGTCGCGGCCAGGGAAAACGCTGCCATGGAAATACTAGGGTAGGGTAGCTGACAGGGCGGTGCAAGAATGAGCCGGAGAGATTCTTCTGACAGACCTCGAGATTGCCAAGACTGGGTGGAGCAAGAAGCAGTGAGCAAGATCATTCGAAAATTCCAATTCGCGAGATTCCTCCCCGACAAGGCAAATTCCTTCTTCTAGTGCGATGTCGCACTTCGTAAAGACTGTCACGCACGACTTGCGAACCTCTCGCACACCCGAACCGGAGAAGCGATTGGCAGACGAGGCCTGTTACGGATCTGGACGATTAATGTGGGTTTGCCTCTCATGGTGGTGGTGGTGAGTCGAACAAGGCTAACACGTGGGAGTTCTAGCGATCGCCACGTTGATCAATTCCACAATACCAGGAGAAACGCCAGGTTGCAAATCGTCACATAACGGTACACGGTTCCCAGTGCACTCCTTTTTTATTTATTTCCAGAATTATCCAAACCAAGAATGTTCAACGAGGCTACACAATTCTTGCAGTCCTACATGACCCACCCCCAAAACTTGGTGAATTCGCAAGTTTGCCAGAGTATGTCACTCGAAAATGTGGCAAGAAGGAAAAACCTTGTCCATGTGCATCATCCATGGATGGTTGCAGTTGGTATTCGGAAGGGTGGACTAGAGAGAGCCTTGTTTATGAGATAAATTACAAATCCTTGCGGTGTGAGTAGACCTGAGGAACATAAAATACGAACAAAAGGAAACAAATGACAAGACTTGAGAGCAGAAGGGAGAGAGCATCTGCTAACCATTTCTCATAAAACGACCAGCTACTATACCCTCAACAGCTCTCCTGGGGAAGAGTGCGCAACGTAACAGAGAGACGAGGCTGGATATAAACATCGTGCTACATCAGCAATGCTCGCACTCAACACATTAGGCTACTCACCTTTGACCCACTGTCGCCGTTGAACCCTAACTCGTCTTCATTTCCTTGTCATGTCAGAGAAAACCCCCTAAAACTTACTTTCACCAATTTCTCGCTCTTTTCTTGTGCAGTTTTTACCCAGGTTGTGCTCATCATTCACCCAAACTTACTGGAAGTCACTCGTGTGCCTCTCCCCCTCACACTCACCCCACTGCTGCTGCCACCTTTGCTGAACTCCTCCCCAGCGCCCGGCACCACGAGCACATCAAGCATCTCCACCACCACCGCTGCTGTCGGCCGCACCTCGGGGTCCGGCAGCAGGCAGCGCAAACCCTGAAACCGCATTATCACCCATGTCTTTCTCATTTCTAACTCAAATCTTGCTCAAACTTCACACATTGCTCGTGTCTCTCCCCTCACACTCACCCCACTGCTGCTGCCATTGCTGAACTCCTCCCCAGCGCCCGGCACCACGAGCGCATCGAGCGTCTCCACCACCACCGCTGCGGTCGGCCGCACCTCGGGGTCCGGCAGCAGGCAGCGCGAGGCCAGATTCACCATCTCCACCAGGGCCGGCAGGGCGAACCTCCCCTGCAGCTTCGGATCCACCATCTTCTCCACCTGAGCCCTGTCGATGAGCTTTGGCTTGGCCTGAGGGGACGGGAGGCAGCCGGGAGCACAAGGGGAGGGGGAAGTGAGGGATGATGCGCTGAAGCAAGACTCAGATGGCTCGGTCAGGCTCGGTTTGGAGGTGCCTAAAAAAATCTGCCCATCGCACATAGGACACAGACGCACCCACCCACCATGGCCTGTGGTCATTGCCCAAGAAACCAAGAAACCAAGAAACCAAGAAACCACGAAACCACGAAACCACGAAACCACAAAACCACGAAACCAAGAAACCAAGAAACCAAGAAACCAAGTCACCAAGAAACCAACAAACCACGAAACCACGAAACCACGAAACCACGAAACCACGAAACCACGAAACCAAGAAACCAAGAAACCAAGAAACCAAGTCACCAAGAAACCAAGAAACCAAGAAACCACGACTCACCCAGTGCACGAGGGACTGCTCGTTGGGCGGCCGAGTAAGATCAGTGGCCTCCTGCCAGCGGTGAGCTCCAGCAGCAGCACCCCCATGGCGTACATGTCAGTGCGGGCCGTGTATATGCACACACACACGGAGCACAGGCTCTAGCCCGAGGCACTCACCCAGCGCACGAGCGACTGCTCGTTGGGCGGAAGGGAGGGGTCGAGCGGCCTCCTCCCGGTTATCAGCTCCAGCAGCAGCACCCCCATGGCGTACATGTCAGTGCGCGCCGTGCTCTCATGCACCCACGCCAGCTCCGGTGCTACAGCCCCCGCTGCCAGAGCCTGCGAGTGCGTGAGTAGTAGGCAGGGAGAGGAGAGGCAGCAGAGAGGGGGGAGTGGGCAGGGAGGGGAGAGGATGCAGGGAAGGGGGGGAAGGGATTGAACATCAAGCAGCAGCAACCCCATGGCATACATGTCGGTGCGCGCCGTGCTCTCATGCACCCATGCCAGCTCTGGGGCAATCGACACTGCTGCTAATGCCTGTGAGTGAGTGAGTGAGTGAGTGAGTGAGTGGGTGTGTGAGTGAGTGAGTGTGTGAGCGTGAGTGTGTGAGTGGTTGGCAGGGAGGGAAGAGGGGAAGGAATTGAACATCGGCCAGCAGCAGCACCCCCGTGGCGTACATGTTGGTGCGGGCCGTGCTCTCTCATGCACCCACGCCAGCTCCGGGGCAACCGACCCTGCTGCTAGCGCCTGAGGGATGGGGGAGAGGGGGATAATTCTACAGCAGCAGCAGCAGCACCCCCATGGCGGCGTACATGTCAGTCAGTGCGCGCCGTGCTCTCATGCACCCACGCCAGCTCTGGGGCAGCCGCACCCGCTGCTAGCGCCTGAGAGGGATGGGGGGGAAAGGAGGCAGGGAATGCGGGTGGGGGGAGAGGGAGGGGAGAGGAGGCAGGGAGGGGGAGAAAGGTATGACACCTCCAGCAGCCACAGGTAAAAACGGGGATGGAGCTCGAGAGAATGCAGGCAGTAGTCAGAGAGATTAGCTTTAACAACGGCATAGAGTTGCCACAGAGGCAGCCTGGATGTTACACATGGGTGGGCTTACCACGGATGAAGCAGGCATGGCAGACGGCTTGGATGCGAGGAGCTCGAGGGAGTGCAGGCAGTAGTCGGAGAGATAGGCGGATGAGTCTTGCGCCACCACCACTGACGTGGATGTGAGGTCCTGATGGGACATCTGATGATGGTGACGTGGCGACACATGATGAAACAGAGAAACAAGGGAATGCCTTTTGAGGCGCCTCAAAGGTCGCCACCACCACTGACGTGGATGTGAGGTCCTGATGGGTCATCCGATGGTTACGTGGCGACACGTGATGAACCAGAGAAACAAGGAAACGCGGGGGTCTAGTTTTGAGGCAACTCAAAATTGCGTGATAGAAGCCTAGTTTTGAGGCGCCTCAAAATTGCGTGATAGAAGTCTAGTTTTGAGGCGCCTCAAAACTGAACCAGAGAAACAAGGAAATGCACGGGGATAGGCAGGAATCAGAGAGATAGGCAATCCTGTGCGTGCGACTACCACAGATGTTGAGGTGAGGTGAGGCCCCTGGGGGATTACTGGTTTCAATGTGTTGCATGGGAGGGAGGGATAGAGGGGAGGGACGAGAGCACGAGGTGAAGGAACTAGCTTGGAAGAGAAAATATTGAATTGAGTAGGGAGCCAAGAGGCTCTTTTGTACAAAACAAGGAGCAAGGAAGAGTTGGAAGGGAAGCTCTCCTATTGGCCATAAAGTGGACCAATGGGAGAGGTTGCTTGTAGGGCAAGCAACCACAAAGTGTTGTGCTCTCCGATTGGCCACAATGTGGACCAATGAGAGAGATTGCTTGGAAGGCAAGCAACCACAAAGTGTGGTGCTTGGTGATTGGTTGGGTCCTAGGACCAAGGACCATTTGGTTGGAATAGTGCCAACCAAATGTCTAGGACCAAATCCAATCTTGACCAACCCAAATGTGGGGTTGGTCAACCCAACCAACAAACAACCCCCCAATAATTATAATGACTACACCTCCTAATCTAGGCATGCATGTTGTATAGATATATATTTTACAACACGAGGTACTCGTCAGGAAGGGAAGTGATGAGTCCTGATGAGACAGGCTGATGAGTCCTGCGCTATCACCAACCACCACACCCCTAGCACGAATTTTGAGGCGCCTCAAAGGTATTAGTAAGGAAGGGGAGTGAGAGGAAGCAGAGACAGGCTGATGAGCCCTGTGCTACCACCAACCACCACACCCCTAGCACGACTTTTGAGGCGCCTCAAAGGTATTAGTAAGGAAGGGGAGTGAGAGGAAGCAGAGACAGGCTGATGAGCCCTGTGCTACCACCAACCACCACACCCCTAGCACGACTTTTGAGGCGCCTCAAAAGTATTAGTAAGGAAGGGGAGTGAGAGGAAGCAGAGACAGGCTGATGAGCCCTGTGCTACCACCAACCACCACACCCCTAGCACGACTTTTGAGGCGCCTCAAAGGTATTAGTAAGGAAGGGGAGTGAGAGGAAGCAGAGACAGGGTGATCAGTCCTGTGCTATCACCAACCACCACACCCTTAGCACAGTCCACAGTAACACACCATGGATTGCGTGATAGGAGTCTAGTTTTGAGGCGCCTCACAACTAGACTCCTATCACGTGTGCCACCACCACACCCCTAGCACGGTCCACAGTAACACACGATGGATTGAGGGTTTGAGGAAACAGAAAGGATCTCACCTGGGGGTTGAGGGAGTGCAGGAAGTGCAAGCCCTCCGCCACATCTCTAGCGATGGCCACACGCACGTTCCATGGCAGCACGCGGTCCAGTGTGTCTGGGAATGGCAATGAGGAGGGGGGGGGGGGGGGGGAGGAGAGGAGGGGGGTTCCTGTTTAGTTTTGAGGCGCCTCAAAACTACGTTCCATGGCAGCACGCGGTCCAGTGTCTCTGGAATGGCAATGAGGGGAGAAGGAGAGGGGGGGAGAGGAGGGGGATTTTTTAGGCGTGTAAAAGCACGTGCGCGTTCCGTGGCAGCACGCGTTCCAGTGTCTCTGGGAATGGCAATGAGGAGAGGGGGGGAGGAGAGGAGGGGGATTCCTGAGGCGTGTAAAAGCACGTGCACGTTCCATGGCAGCACGCGGTCCAGTGTCTCTGGAAATGGCAATGAGGAGGGGGGGGGAGGAGAGGAGGGGGATTCCTGAGGAGCGTAAAAGCACACACACGACTGCCCCGTCAATCAGAGATAATCCGGACAGAAGCCCAACGCCTTCAGCAGTCAAGCCCGGCACGTCCTACTGCCACCATCCTCACCATCCTACTGCCCAAGAACACAACACCACCGCTGGTCACCGCTACTCACCGTGCAAGTACGTCTCCAGGGTGGCAGCGCCAGGCGGCAGCGAGTACACGATCATGCGACTGCCTCTCAGGTAGTCCGGGCAGAACCCCAGCACTTTCAGCAGCATGCTTCCAGCAGCACCACCGCTACCGCCGACTCCCCCGCCCCCTGCCGCTCCCGCTGCCTGCATGCGGCCAAACACGTCCAGCGCCGCTGCAAAGGTCTCCTTGGGCTCTGAGCTGAGCACGTCCACCTGGGAGACAGCGATGAAGCTCTGATCTGGGAGCACGCCCCTGGGGAATGGAAAAGATGTTGGGAAGGGGTGGAGGATTTGCAGGGGATTCAGGGACGGGCAGGATATGACTCCTTGGGCTCTGAGCTGAGCACGTCCACCTGGGAGACAGCGATGAAGCTCTGATCTGGGAGCGGAGATGAAGGGAAACGGAGCACGCCCCTGGGGAATGCGGAGATGAAGGGAAACGGAGGAAGGGAGGGGAATGGGGGGAGTAGGGAGGGGCGGAGGAAGGGGGAGGGGCGGAGGAAGGGGGAGGGGCGGAGGAAGGGGGAGGGGCGGAGGAAGGGGGAGGGGCGGAGGAAGGAGGGGGGGGGGGGGGGAAAGAAGGAGAAGGGGGCAGGAAGGAGGGGGGAGGAGGAAGTGGGGGAGGAAGGAAGGGGGGAGGAAGGAGGGGGGAAGAAGGAGGGGGGAAGGAAGTTAGGAGAGGGGGGATGGGGGGGTGGTTGGGGTGGACTAAACCCAAGGATGTAACTGAACCCAACACGGCAACATGCTGGGAAGACACAGTGATGATAACCAACGTGCATGCATGTGTGTGAGGAGGCTTTGCTCGAGCTGGGCTGGGCCAAGAAGCTCTCTGGGGAGAAAGCGCCTGTGTGTGTGTGGAGTTACCCTTTTTGAGCTCTCAGAAACTGTGATAGGTTTTTGAGAGTTTCTCAGAAACTGCATGTGTGTGATCAGAATGAGAGGAGTGTGCTTGTGGTTCTGAGGTAAACGCAGTGCTCCTGCATGTTAAGTTGTGACGGGACTATAACCAACGTGCCTGTAGGTGAGCAGACTGTGCTCTCTCTGGGCCAAGATGTTTTCTGGGGAGAAGTTGCCTGTGGCGAGCTGCAGCTCCTCAAGCGAGAACGGCTTGAGAGTGAGCGATTGACCGACGCCTGCGAGGGACGAAGGAAGGAAGAGAAGACAGCAGGGGGTGCGTGTTGGTTGTGAGTCTGGGGGAGAGGAGAGGTGACGAGTTGCCTGTGGAGAGCTGAAGCTCCTCCAGAGAGAACGGCTTGAGGGTGAGCGATTGAACGACGCCTAAGAGAGAAGAAGAAAGGAGGGAGAGAAGACAACTGAGAGCAGGGGGGGCAATTTGTGAGAGAGGGGGAGTGCTTTTGAGGCGCCTCAAAAGACAGCAGGGGGTGGCGAGTTGTGAGTGCGGGGGAGCAGTGGCGAGCTGCAGCTCCTCCAGAGAGAGCGGCTTGAGGGTGAGCGATTGACTGACGCCTGCAAGACAAGGGAGAGAACAAGCGGTGAGGTGAGGCGAGGTGAGGTGAGGTGAGGTGAGTGAGGAGGGTAAATATGCCAAGTGACAAGGCACTCACTCATGAAACAAATTAAATTCCGTGGCACAGGACTAAGGCAGCAGATGGCAGGGGAGGGGAAGTTTGGAAGAGCAAGTGGGAAAGGAAAAGAGAAAAAGAGCCACTCAGCAGCCACTCACTCATGGAGCAAATATCATGGCGAAGGCAATGGCAGCAGAGGGCGAGGGGGAGGCAGAGGGTCATAGCAATTGAAAGAAAATGAGAGGGGTAGAAAGACAATTACGCAAAAAGGAAGACGGCATTCACTCATGGAGCGCCCAAACTTCATGGCAAACGCCATGGCAGCAGAGGGCGAGGGGGAGGCGTGAGGGAGAGAAACAGAGAGGAGGGATAGGGAGCGAGAGGGCAAACGCGGAAGACACTCACTCATGGATCGCCCAAACTTCATGGCAAAGGCCATAGCAGCAGAGGGGGAGGGGGAGGAGGCGGGAGGGAGAGGAACAGAGAGGAGAGATAGGGAGCGAGAGGAATGGAGAGAGCAAAAGCGTAAAAGAAAAAGAAAAAAACACTCACTCATGGAGCGCCCAAACTTCATGGCAAACGCCATGGCAGCAGAGGGCGAGGGGGAGGAGGCGGGAGAGATGCCAGAGGAGGCAGCAGCAGCTGCAGTGGAGGCAGGGTGCACCCCTGCTGCCACGTTGTAGGCATCGTCGGGGTCTAGCGCCTGGGAGAATGTGCTGGTGGTGGGCATCGACAGGTGCTGGTAGGCCCTGAGAGGTGTGGGGAACCGGGGGAGGGAGGGAGGGTGAGCGGAGCAGTGTTGGGTGAGGGGAGGCAGGACTGCAACAGCAGGGAGGACAGAGGGGGCAGTCACAGCTGTGGCGGACGCAGGGTGCGCCCCTGCTGCCATGTTTTCATGCATCGTCGGGGTGTAGGAACTGGGAGAATGTGCAATTAGTTGCCAACCCACCTGGCCTTGCTGGTGGCGCCCCAGCCCCACCCCCCTGTCTGCCCGGTCTTCTTCTGGTGCATGCGGTTGCGGATGCACCAGACACACGATACGAAGAGAGCAGTGAGCATAATAGCACCCAGGAGAGAGAGAGCCACTATCCAGGCGGGGGAGAGGTCATCATCTCCCTGTGCGTCAAAATGCTCTGGGGAAGAGCGACAGGAAAGAAGGCGAGAGGTAGGGGAGACAGTCAGAGTGACACGAGGAGAGCAGTGAGCATGCTGGCGCACAAGAGAGAGAGCCACTATCCAGGCGGGGGGGAGGTCGTCATCCCCCTGTGCGTCAAAGCGCTCTGGGGAAGGGAGGGAGGCAAGCAGAAAGAAGTACACAGGAAGGAGAGGAATACACAGAGAGGAGAGCAGTGAGCATGATGGTGCTGAGGAGAGAGAGGGCCACTATCCAGGCGGGCAAGAGGTTGTCGTCACCCTGTGCGTCAAAATGCTTTGGCTTAGCGGGAGAGAGGGAAGGTGAGGCAGGGGAGAAGATGCGGGGAAGGGAAGGCAGGGGAGCAGCCCACCCTAACGCTTAATGGCTACAAGGCAGGGGAGCAGGTGACATGGGCCGTTATCAGTGGCACAGCTTCACCTGCCCCGACGCACACGGCTTGCCGCGGCCAGTAGCAGCAGCAGGACGCTACACTCACCATGAGATCCCATCCCAGCCTCAACCAAGCAAGCACTCACGTTCTCTGCACTGGCAAGGAGTGTATCCCTCTCCCGGAAGGCACACGCTTTCCCCCGGCCGCCCGTTGTCGCAGTGGCACAGCTGCACCTGCCCCACATGCCCCTGCGGCACATGCATGCGCACATCACTCAACAGACACACTCACGTTCTCGGCACTGACAGGGCGCATATCCCTCCCCAGGCAGGCACACGCTCTCCCCCGGCCACCCGTTGGCGCAGTGGCACAGCTGCACGTGCCCCACCGCGCATCCCTCACAAGCCCTGCCCAACTCACCAGCCGTATTTTGAGTCGACTCAAAATACAACTCACCAGCCTATTCACACTCGAGGTGTATTTTGAGTCGACTCAAAATACACATGCCCTGCCCAACTCACCAGCCTATTCACACTCGAGGTGTATTTTGAGTCGACTCAAAATACACATGCCCTGCCCAACTCACCAGCCGATTCACACTCGAGACATAATCACTCACGTTCGCGGCACTGGCACGGGGCGTATCCTTCTCCAGGCAGGCACACGCTCTCTCCTGGCCACCCGTTGTCGCAGTGGCACAGCTGCACCTGCCCCACCGCGCACGGCTTGCGCACGATACTGTTCACGGGCGGCAGGGGCGGCGGGTCCATTGGCACCGGGCGGCACCGGCCGTCTCTTGTGAACATGACACAGAGCTGCGGGTTGTTCTTGAAACTGCAAGAGGGGGGAAGAGGGGGGAAGAGGGGGGAAGAGGGGGGGGAAGAAGGGGGAAGGGGGGGGAAGAGGGGGGGAAGAGGGGAGAAGTGGGGGAAAGTAGGGGGAAGGGGGGGGGGGGCGTGAGAGGAGGAAGGGCGGGGGGGGAGGTGTGGGGGTGAGGAGCCTTTGTTCTGTGGTGGTGTCCTGTGGAAATGCGAGTGAGCAAGCAATGGCACAGAAACAAAATGACTTACATTCTATCACAAACAGCTTAAGGCGCTCCTTAACCCCACTTATGTACTTTGATTTGATGCTCTCCATACAGGCTTTGTTTTGTTTTTGAGAATTCTCAAAAACAAAACACATCGATGCTCTCCATCCAGGCTTAGGCATTCACGTGTTCCAAGGGCGTGTTCAAATCAGAATGGTAAAATTTTCGTTTTTTTTTTTTTTTTTTTTTTTTTTTTTTTTTTTTCCAGTGCAGATGGTTTTGTTCAGGGCGTGCATGATACAGAGTTCTGCAGCACTTTTTACACGCCCTAAAACCCCACTCACGCATTCAGGTGCTTCTTAAACCCCACTCACACATTCAGGTGCTCCTTCCATTCGAGCCCCAGCGCACCATAGAACCGGTTGTACTGCATGCGCAGGTACGTGAGCTTGGGCAGAGAGGCTACAGCGGGGGGCAGTGTATAGCCAACCAGAGCCCGGGGGGGGGTTGGGAGACTGCCACAGAAAAACCCACTCACGCATTGAGGTGCTCTTTGAATTCCAACCCCAGCGCGCCATAGAACTGGTTGTACTGCATGCGCAGGTACGTGAGCTTGGGTAGAGTCGCTATAGCGGGGGGCACCTTGCCAGTGAGGTTGTTGTGATCCAACATGCTGGGGGTGGGGGTGTGGGGTGGGTAGACAGATAGGCAGGAGTTTGTTCTTAAGTTGACTAGGCCGAGAGGCTATAGCGGGGGGCACCTTGCCAGTGAGGTTGTTGTGATACAGCATGCTGGTGGGAGGAGGGAGGTTGGGAAGTCGGGGAGAAGGGAAGGAAGGAGGGAGAGAGGGGTCGAGGGGGGTGAGATGGGGAAGTGGGAGTGTGTGTTGAGGTGCCTCAGAGCCCCTGCCACTGCGTGAGGAGTCTACTTTTGAGGCGCCTCACGCCTCAAAAATAGACTCCTCACGCATGGGGAAGTGGGAGTGTGTGTTGAGGTGCCTCAGAGCCCTGCCACTGCCAGTGAGGCTGTTGAGTTTGAGCATGCTGGTAGGTGGCGGGGGGTAGAGGGATAGGCAGGAGTCTGCTTTTGAGATGCATGTGAAGGGAGCTTAGGCAGAGAGGCATTAGCGGGGACACCTTGCCAGCGAACGAGGGTGTTGCGATTTAGCAAACTAGACTGGAGGAAGGGGGTAAGGACGCGGGGCTGGAGGGGGAGAAAGGCCGGGGTGGGGAGAGATGGGGTGGAAAGCGAATGTGTAGAGGGGGCTGAAAAAACCCCTTGTGAGTGAGTGAGCCTGGCCAAATTGGCAATGCGTTACAGCAGCGCTGTGTGATTCAAACGGGTGTTTTTCATGCTGTGATTGTAGCAGGGTGTGACCATGTTGCACTAGTAACAGAGAGTTCTCGTGCTGTGATGGTAACAGTGCGCGCTCGTGCTGTGATTCTAGCAGAGCGTTCTCTTACAGAGTGGTGAGAGCAGTGCACGCCCCGATCCCTTCCGGCACTGTGTCGTTGAGATGGTTGAAGCTCATGGAGCTGACATGGGCGGGGGGAGGTGAATGGAGAGGGAAGGAAGGGAGGAGTGGGCAGAGGGTTGAGAGAGCAGAGCAGTGAGTGAATGGAGGGGAGAGAAGGCGGAACCTTCAGGCACCGTGTCGTTGAGATGGTTGAAGCTCATGGAGCTGCCACGGGCAGGAAAGGGAGGAGGGAGGGAGGGGTATAAAGAGCGTGCGAGTGAAAAGACAGGGGGGGGTAGCTGGCACCGGGTTGTCGAGATGGTTGAAACTCATGGAGTTGAGAAGGGAAGGAAAGGGAGGGGTGGGTGGAAAGAGCATGCGAGTGAAAGGAAGAAAGGTAAAAGGGAAAGAGCTTGTGAGTGAGTGAGAAAAGGGGGGAGCACACGGGATAGAAGCTGGCAGCAACAGGCTCTGTGCTAATGAGTGCTTTTGAGGCGCCTCAAAAGCACTCAAAAGCGCTTTTGAGGCGCCTCAAAAGAAGCTGGCAGCAGCAGGCACTGTGCTAATGAGATGGTTGAAACTCAAGGAGCTGAGACGGGCAGAGGGAAGGGAAGGGACGGAGAGAGAGCAGGAATGAGAGGGCGTGGGTGGAAAGAGTCTGGTTTTGAGGCGCCTCAAAACTAAACTCCTATCACGAAGGGAAGGGATGGAGAGAGAGAGCACGAATGAGAGGGCGTGGGTGGAAAGAGCATGTGAGGGAAAGGGGAGGGGGGGGGGGAAAGAGCACATGAGGGAAAAGGGAGGGGGGGGAAGAGCATGTGAGTGAAAGTAGGGGAGCAAAAGGGATAGCGGGCACCGTGCCATTGAGATGGTTGATGCTCATGGAGCTGACATGGGGAAACGGAGGGAAGGGATGAGAAGAGAAGAGATGGTGATTTCTGAATCGACTCAAAATCACCTTTTGAGTCGACTCAAGAATCAACTTTTGAGTCGACTCAAGAATCACCTATGGAGGTGAGATGGGGAAAAGGAAGCAAGGTATGAGAAGAGAAGAGAAGAGATGGAGATAGTGGGAGGCTCGGAGAGAGAAGGGCGGATAAAGAGGGGAGGGAGCGAGGTATGGAGAGAGGATGTGATAGAAAGAGGGGGTATGGCACGGGGGGTAGCTGGCTTTTGAGTCGACTCAAAAGGGGGTATGGCATGGCACGGGGGGTAGCTGGTGCGGTGGGTGGGGAAAGCGTGGTCAGGGGAGATGCAGTGACATTGAAGTGGCTGAAGCTCAGTGAGCTGAGAAGGGTGGGAGTGCGGGGCAGGTCCGAGGAAAGAAAGGGCCAGGAGGGTGGATGGAGTCACGGAGCTGAGCATGCAACTCTGAAACGAGGGGAGGGCAACTCTTAGCTAGCACGTTCTCGTTGAGCTCTAATCCAAACTCGACGTCGTTCTCCTTCTGTGTGTAATGAGTCGATTTTTGAGTCGACTCAAAAATCGACTCGATGTCGTTCTCCTTCTGATTCCCTCCTTCCCTCCTCCCCTGCCCCCCTCTCCCTGCAACACATGCGTGAGGAGTCTATTTTTGAGGCGCCTCAAAAATAGACTCTCATCCAAACTCGATTTCGTCTTTCTGTTTCTCTCCTTCCCTCCTTCCCTGCCCCCCTCTCTCTGCAACACCCCCCCTAGAGTGCACTGCACTCACAGGTGCTGCAGGTTGGTGAGCTGAGTGACGGAGTCTGGAATGGACCCTTCCAGGTTGTTCTCCTCCAGCGCTCTGACAAGGACGAGAGGAGAGGGACGGGCGACAAGGAAGAAGGCAAAGGGCCAATGCGGGGCGGCGGGGAGGGGAGGGGAGGGGAGGGGAGGCGCGGGAAGGGGAGATGCAGGGAGGCGAAGACGAGGTGTATTATGAGCTCAGCTCGTGCTGTGTGATAGAGGAAAGAATCAACTCCTACAAGCCATTTCGTCCAGGTGTTGATTACCCTCTAACGGAAGAATGTGTCTGCCATTTCCCCCTATGCCTTGTTATGGCAAACAAGGTCGTCGATAACCGCTCTATCACCCGCCGTCAGCCCTCCCTGCATCATCATCATCTGCTGCTGCTGCTGCTGTTAATCGACTCAAAGATCACTTCAAAGACACCATCTTCCTGCAGCTGGAAAAGTCATACAAAGGTGCCGATCCCTTCCAGGCGATTCAAGAATCGTCACAAGGTAACAGATGGATAACAGTTGGATAACAATGTTACCGACAATGCTGCCGTGCCGACATTCGCTGGGAATCCCGCCTTCCCTGCATCGCCCCCTTACAGTTTTGTGAGTCCGATGAGGTTGCCAATGTCTGCTGGAGTGCAACTCACCACACTAACCTTCAATCAAGGCCTAAACTGTTGCGAATAGTCCTGCATTTCCTAAACGCTGCAGGTAATCCCACCTTCCCTGCATCCCCCCCCCCCCCCCCTCTTACAGTTTTGTGAGTCCGACGAGGTTGCCAATGTCTGCTGGGATCTCGCCCTTGAGCTTGCACTCGCTCAGTGTGCTGCAGTAGGGAAGAGGGAGAGACAGGAGAGGGTGGGAGGAATGGGATATGGTGCAACAAGAACCGCCTCCTGAGCCTTTCACGCACTCCACATGTTGCAGTAGGGGCGAGAGATAGGCGGCAGGGCAAGCAAGCAGGGGGAGGGAGAGAAATGCAAGGTGTGATACTGTGATTGGGAAATCGTCTCTTGAGCTTCTAAGGTTGGCAGGCAAGCGAACTCACAGACCTTGCAGGGTGGTGAGAGGGGGAAGTGAGGTCGGTCGGGCGGGATTCGGGAAGGTGCTGAACTATAATTCTCATTGGTGCAGGGTATTTTTGAGAATTCTCAAAAATACCCTGCAAATTCAGGGTGTTCAACTATAATTCTCATTGGTGCCCGCCCAGATTGAGAGAGTTCAGGTTGGTTGGCCAAATGTCTGCAAGGTCAGTTTGTTTGTCTGGATTACTCTCAACTCAAACAAACTCTACTCAACTCAAATGTCTACGTGGCCCTGTAGAGTATTCAAGGCAGTGAGAGCCGGCGAAAAGGTGCTGTTAAAGTTCTCGTTGGTGCCCCCAGACTGAGGGAGTGCAAGTTGGTGAGAGCCTCAAGAGATGCTAGAGCCTACAGCACTCACAGGTCTTGCAGGGCGGTGAGGGCAGTGAGGGCTGGCGGGAAGATGCTGTTGAAGTTCTCGTTGGTGCCCAGGTTGAGGGAGTGCAGGTTGGTGAGCCCAGGATGGTAAGCTAGTGCCGCCGAACCAAAGAGTCAATCTGGTCAACAACAGCACTCACAGGTCTTGCAGGGCGGTGAGGGCAGCGAGGGCCGGCGGGAAGGTGCTGTTGAGGTTCTCGTTGGTGCCCAGGTTGAGAGAGCGCAGGCTACGTGACCGCAAACGTGTTTAGCGTTTTAAACGCATCGTTTAAACGCTAGCGTTTAAACGCTAAACGCTGCTGCTTGAGTTTCTAAACGCTAAGGTAAACGCACTCTCGGGCAGCCGGAAAAAAATTTCCGGGCAGGGTAAAAAAACCTGGGATAGGTAGGGGGAGGCAAGGGGATTATGGTTGACAACAATTTTCCTCCAAATTATATCACATAAAAAAAAATTGGCATGTCAAATCCACATGTCAACGACAACCACATGTACTACCTACTACCACCCTCTAATCAACAGCACCCTCCGTCTTCCTTCCTCCACCCTCCTACCCAAAAGCCCCCCATGCTTCTTAACCGCCGCCGCCACTCCCTCATCTCCTCCTACTCCTCCTCCTCCTCCTCCCCATACTCGTCCTCGAGCACGGGCTCATCTCCATACTCATCCTCCTCTAACTGCCCCTCCTCATCGACGTTGTATCCTTTTGGAATGGGAGCATCCGGGATGTTCCCCGCAAGAACCGCCCTAGTCTCCTCGCTGGTTTTGTGCCAGTTGCGCACAACGTTCCAGTTGTGCGCAACAAACACCAAGTCCCGGCACTTCTCGGGCCCGAGACGGTTGCGGCGTGCAGTGTGCACCGATTCCCACACTGCCCACCCGCGCTCGCAGCTGGATGCAGACACCGGCTGCGTGAGCACACGACACGCGAGCTCTGCCAGCTCGGGGTGGTCGGTCCCGTGCCAGGTCCACCAGTCCTCCATACTTAGACTCCCCTCCTTCACTTTCTGCCGCTGCATTATTGCGTCGGGTTTGCCGAAGGAACCCCTCAGCTTCAGGAATGCAGTCACTCCCTCCTGCAGTACCACTACCGCACTCTTCTCCTTTGCCTCCTTACGATCGATGGTGATGGTGCTGCTGTATCGGCCAATGAACTCCTTAAACAGGTCGGTGCACTCCTTGTCGGGGCCAAAGATCTTAGCAACCTGGTTGGCCGGGTTGAGGATCCGGCCAACAGCATGCAGTGGGCAAGCCATGCTGACGTCCCACCGATGCTGGATGATCTCCCCAATCCCCTCCTTATCCTCCGGCGTCAGCTGCAAGTCTTCCTTCTTCAACAGATCAGTCACGTCCACAGTGAGTTTGAGCATGAGCTCATACATCTGCCCCATCATCCCCTTGGCCGAGGAGTCAGTCGACCGCATCACAAGGTAAGGCAGTTTCAACAGCTTGACAAAGAACTCAGCTGCTGCCCACCAAGCCTGGTTAAGCACAATGCTCTGGATGGAATCAGCCGCTGCCTTCTGCTTCCCTACGGCCCACGCCTTCCACGTTTCGCCTGCCACCAACACAGTCAGCTTCCCGTGGAGGTCTACAAGCCTCGACACTGCAATGTACTGGGTTCCGAACCGGGTGCCCGCTGGCTTCAACAGCTGCAGCACCTTGCCCCTCAGCTCCCCTGGCTCGCGCAAGAAGTTCCTCGTCCAGTGGTGATTGCGGACGTAATTTATCACCTCGTTCGCACCCTCAACCACCCTCTTCGCCCACGCCTGCTTTCCCACGTCTTCCATGAGCAGGTCTAGGACATGAGTGGCGCACGGCACATGCTCAATGTGCGGCCACTCCTCCCTCAACACCTTGCAGGCCTTGCCGTAGTTACTCCCCCCATCCGTGCATAGTGCCACCACATTCACAGGCCCGATTTTCTGGATGATAGGGCGGAGGATGCCGGCAATGTACCCGCCTGTCTTCGTCTCCATGCGGCAGTCAATGCAGTCGGCAAACATGGCGCCGAAGTCATTGACTAACATGACGTTCGCTTGCGGCCTCCCGCACCGGTCTGTCATCATGTCTGAAGCCACGGTGACGCCATGCCTCTCCCAATTCTGTTTGAGTGCATCAAGGGCGAGATCGATGCGGGTGCGACACTCCTTCAACCCCGCTCCTCCAATGTACGTGCGTTTGGGCGGCACGTATGTTGTTCCCGCACGAGCGACCGCATGCACGGCATCGACGAAGAGTGGGTGGTCGGCATGACGTTCTGGGATGCGGAGGGCTGCAAACATGAGGCACAATGCCGCATCCGCCTCACGCTTAGCACATGCCGCGCCGTTGCTGAAATACGTAGTTATCTTGCCCCGCTTTCCCCCTCCCCCCACGGCCTCCACCGCATCCGCGACCTCCTTACGCTTCTGGGCCTTGACAGACGCCTTCCCTTCGTATAGTGCCTGCATTGCCTCCCTCACCTCCTTTGGCGCCGAGGGACATTCCTTGACCTCCCGCCGCCCCTGTCCTTCCCACTCCGCGAAATGCATAGCGCACCGGTTGGGAATGCCTACAAAAGACAGCCCGCAATAACGACATTCCACCCTAGCTGTGGCGACCCCGGCCTCCTTAACTCTAACTTTGTAATGCTTGTAAACATCATGATTAGACTCTGCCTCGTAAATATTTGACGCTGCAGACGCTGTAGGATTAGCGTCTGCAGCACCATTAGGGGGGGTCGACATGGGCGTGGGCCCTTAACTTAGCGCGAAATTAGGTGGCAAGGGTGAGTGGGCGTGGGAGATGAGAGAATGACGACTAAATCTGATCTACGGCTATGTCGCGCGGAACTCTAGGGTTCCCGTTTCTCATGGGGAAGAGATTGTGATGGAAGAAGGGGAGAAAGTGGTTAGGTTGGAGTGGCCGTAGATGAACAGGGTGCTGTGCGGTTGAGCGGGGCAAAAGAATTGGATGCGTTTTTTGGTCGCTAGGTTGGGATTTGCGACTTGGCGAATGTCTAGTTGAATTCGCCAGGTCGCAATGTCGCGAAAAAAATTTGGTCGATTTTTTCGTCGGGCTGCCCCTAAAATTTTACCCGAGCGTTTAGCGTTTTACCACGCGTTTAGCGTTTAGCGTTTAAACGCAGCGTTTAAACGCTAAACGCTGCCCCGCCAGAGCGTTTGCGGTCACGTAGAGCGCAGGTTGGTCAGCCGCAGGGCACTCTAGGCTAGAGCCGAACCAAGAGTCAATCCGTTCAACAGAACTCACAACTGTTTAAGGGTAGTCAAAAGAGTCCCACTCACAGGTCTTGCAGGGTGGTCAGCGCAGTGAGAGCCGGCGGGAAGGTGCTGTTGAAATTCTCGTTGGTGCCCAGGTTGAGCGAGAGCAGGTTGGTGAGCCTGGCTAGGCTGCCAGGTATGGTGCCGTTTAAGTCGTTGGCTGACAGGTCGCTGGAGGACCAGAGGGAAGAAGGGCGGGGGGAGAAAAGGAGAAGGGTTGGGTGGGTTGCTAAAGGCAAAGGTTGAGAGAGCGCAGGTTGGTGAGCCTGGCTAGGCTGCCAGGGATGGTGCCCTTCAGGTCGTTGGCTGACAGGTCGCTGGGGAAAGAGAGAGAAGAAGGGCGGGGAGGAAGGGGAGAAGGGTTGGGAGGGTTGAACGCAGAGGCGAAGGTTGAGAGCGCGCAGGTTGGTGAGCCGGGCTAGGCTGCCAGGGATGGTGCCGCTTAAGTCGTTGGCTGAAAGATCACTGGAAAGGACAAGAGGGATGGAGAGGAGGGGGCAGGGAGAGGGAGAAAGGGATGGGCAGGAAGGGGCAGAGGGAGGACGAGTGGGATATGTGGCCAGGTTGGTCCGCTGCCCGCAGCATGTAATACTTGGAGTGACGGCGCCGAGTGGGTTGAGAATTCTCAAAAACCAGCTCAACAGCACTGGCGCCGTTCAGGCTAATTGCTGACGGCGTATTTTCAGGAATGATCAGGCGCTAGAGATCTTGGGGCTCACAGGGCCAAATTATGCAAGGGACTCCAAGCAAGCACGACAGGCACCAAGAGTAGAACCCGCCAGGTGCACTCAAGGAATGATCAGGCGCTAGAGATCTTGGGGCTCACAGGGCTCGGGGCTGGCTGACATGTCAGCCAGATCTTGGGACTGGACAAAAATGCACATCTGGCTGACATGATCAATGCACTTTCGTCGTAATGGGGCTTACAGGAATGTGAGCTGCTGGCAGAACTTGATTCTTGTTGGAATGTTGCTGGATAGCATGTTGAATGACAGGTCCCTGGGAATAGATGGGAAAAGAGAAGAGGTGCGCTGGATTAGGGATTGGGGAAAAGCTGAGCTGAGGACAGGACGAGGAGTGAGTAGAGGGGTGAAAGAGGGGGGAAAATAGACGACGGAAGACAGACAGGCCGATTAGAAAGGTTCAATAACATAGTGCCTTGCATGTGCCAATTTCGTTTACTCACGTGCCACTCACGAGATTCACTTACAGGTGCTGTAGGCCCCGAAGATTCTCAATCGTCCTGGGGATCGAACCAAAGAAGCGGTTGTTTGATAGATCACTGAACGGGAGGGTCAAACCGTGTGAGAGTTGGGACAGGAAGTGGGGTGAGAGTCGGGGAGTGGAGAAGGGGGGGGAGGGAGAGCGAAGTTGGGCAGAAAATTCTAAGACAGGCACAAGTGTGGCCTTCAAAATGCAGCACTTCTCACTTCATGCAGAAGGGACATTGAGACCAGGGGAAGGAACAATCCAAGCGCGTGACAACAGGAATCCAACTCCAGGGCGTTTCCATGGAGAAAAGACAGTCCCTTCAACTGCAGCCACGCCACACTTCCCATGCACCAACTCACATCTTTTCTATCTTCAGGAGCTTTCCCAGCTTGGTTGACAGCGGGCCTGACAGACGCAGGTTGGAGAGCTCTCTGGAGGGGACAGCGGCAGGAGGGGGGAAAGTGGGGGGGGGAGGGGAGTCCAAGGGGTAAGAAACGGAGGAGCCTTGTGAGGTGCTCGGAAGCCGTCACAGCCTGGTTGAAAGCGGCCCTGACAGGCGCAGGCTGGAAAGCTCTCTAAAGGGGGCAAGATGAGGGGACAGAGGAGCGAGACGTGGAGAAAGGGAGGGGAAGGAGAAAGAGAATGGGAAGGAGAAAGTGGACGACATCGCGATCCGAAAAGGATATTTTTGGAACTGTCAGTCAGTCATTTTCTCAGTGGATGTAACGCCCGTCCACTTCCCCTCACTCCTCTCACTCCTCTCACTCACTTCCCCTCACCCTCCTCGGCTCCCTCCCCCCACTCACAGCGCTTTGAAGTAGATCTTTTCGGAGCTGTCTGCCGTGTGCTCCGTGCATGTGACGCCCCTCCACTTCCCCACGCACGGATGCTCCCCCTTTCAGTTCACATCGGGTCCTAGTCAATCACAGCGCTTTGACATAGATCTTTTCGGAACTGTCTGCCGAGTGCTGCTCCGTGCATGTGACGCCCCTCCGCTTCCCCATGCACGGATCCTCCCCCTTCCAGCTGTCCTTTTCACTCACAGCGCCCGTCCATCTTCTCAGAACTTTCTGCCTGCTGTGCGCTCTGTGGATGTAACGCCCGTCCACTAATCCTCACCCCTCTCACTCACTCCCCCTCACTCTTCCTGAATCACTCCCCTCTCACTCACTCCCCTGCACTCACAGTCTCACACCCCTGCACTCACAGTCTCACACCCCTGCACTCACAGTCTCACACCCCTCACTCACAGTCTCACACCCCTCACTCACAGTCTCACACCCCTCACTCACAGTCTCACACCCCTCACTCACAGTCTCACACCCCTCACTCACAGTCTCACACCCCTCACTCACAGTCTCACACCCCTCACTCACAGTCTCACACCCCTCACTCACAGCGCTTTGACGTAGATCTTTTCGGAGCTGTCTGCCGTGCGCTCCGTGCATGTAACGCCCCTCCATTGTCCCGCACACGGATCCTCCCCCTGCCACGTCTGGAGGGATGCCGGGCTGCCCCACGCCTTGCGCAATGCCACCAGCGCATCCACTGTGGAGAATAGGGTAGGGGGGAGTAGCGGGAGGGAGGGGAGAGGGGGCGGTGGTTAATCCTCCCCCTGCCACGTCTGGAGGGATGCTGGGCTGCCCAACGCCTTGCGCAACGCCACCAGCGCATCCACTGGTGGGGGGGAGGAGGGCGGGAGATAGGTAGGTGCACCGGATTTAGCAAAAGCCTCAAATCCCTGCCACGTCTGGAGGGCTGCCGGGCTGCCCCACGCCTTGCGCAGCACTATCAGCGTATCCGCTGTTGGGTGTGGGTCGATGGGTGTGTGAGAGGAAGGGGTGGGGCAGAGAGGAGAGGGGGAGGGGAGAGGGGGAGGGGAGAGGGGGGGGGGGGGGGGGGGGGGGGGATTCGTGTTGCCCCGTGGGGGGGGGGGGGGAGGGGAGCCTCAAACCACCGTGGGGCTGCCCCACGCCTTGCGCAATTCGATCAGCGCATCTGCTGTTGGGTGTGGGTAGGTGAGTGACTTTTGAGTCGACTCAAAAGTCACCTCATCTACTGTTGGGTGAGGGTGGGTGAGTGGGAGGGGGGGGTGGGGGAGGGAGGAGGGGGCGGAGAGGGGGCCAATTTAAACGGTGCCTCAAATCCGTGCCACGTATGGAGGGCTGCCGGGCTGCCTCACGCCTTGCGCAACGCTATCAGCGCATGCACTGGTGGGTGTGGATGGGTGGGTGTGTGTGTGAGAGGGGGTGGACCGGGGGTGGGATTGCTTTAGCAGGAGCCTCAAATCCCTGCGAGCGACGTCTAGAGGGCTCCTGGGCTGCCCCACGCCTTGCGCAGTGCTATCAGCGCATGCACTGTTGGGTGTGGGTGGATGGGTGGGTGTGTGAAAGGGGGTGGACGTGGGTGGGGCGGAAATTGGTTCAGCAGGCGCCTCAGGACCATGCCGCGTGTCTGATGATGCCCCGCCCCCCGCGCATCGCTATGAGCGCATCTTCTGCTATAAGTAGATTTAGGGGGAGGGAGGGGAAGGGGGGAAGGTGGGGGTGGAGGAGGCGCATCCAGCGCATTCAAGAATGACGTTTCGACTTGGATTGAAAGGTGAGTAAGCAACGCATAGTGAAAGGTTAGACGTGCGGGTGTGATGTGGTGTGTAACGGGACCAGAAACGGTAAGCATTCTACGCTAACCCTAAACGCGAAGCAATCTAAACCTAACCGGAAACGCAAAACGCACGCTAAGCTAACCCGAACCGCTAAGGAATATGCAGTAACCCGAATCGTCAAGCAATCTACGAGAAACCGAAACGGTAAGCATCTGGCGCTAACCCGGCCACGCCGCTCCTGTTGAAACTCCCCTCGCTGAACGGACGATCGTTCGCGCTGAATGGGGATACTCCGGTCTGAGAGGTGGCCGTACGGTCGAAATGCTATTGTCTTAGACTAGAGTAGACCTTTCAGGTAAAGTAACTTGCCATACAACCAGTAGGGTTCTTTTTCATCCGGATTGTATGGAGACATGTGTGCTCACCGTCCCATTTGTACACCGTTCGCGCGGCAACTTCAGTGGTCCACAGCCCTAGAATCTGCACCTGCAGATAGCTGCGCGCCGAGAAAAATGGCTCGAGTTTGGAGCACTCACCATCCCATTTGTGCACCGTTCGCGCGGCAACTTCGGAGGTCCACAACCCTAGAATCTGCAGCGACAGTAATAGCAGCAGCACGGCTGCAGGAGGGAGCTGCGCGCCGAGCCGGAAAGCCGGCGACGCTCCTTGGCGCAGGAACCACATTGGAGCTTAGCTTATAAAACCAATGTCTCTATAGACTGGGATTAGAATCGTGGTGATTTTTTCCCCTCCAGTTCAGGCTCGGGAGATGCCCGCCCGCGTCCTCGTATTCGATTGAGCTCCCACGCTTCGCGTCTTCGCAAGCGCGAAGTTGTGAAACGTCGTGCGCGCTCGTTGTATGAGTGAAGGCGGGAAGGAAGACCGTGGAGGCGAACAAGGCCAGTCGGCTGAATGAGGCGGTCTGGTGTCTAGTTCTCCCCTAGTGCTTCTAACCTAGGCTTTCAATCGCTACCCTGGTCCTTAGTGGTCCCACCTGTGTATGAAGCGTAGTCAGCTCACCAGCATCACTCACTGATAAGCTAGGGGCAAGGGACCAGATGCGTGTCTTGGTTGGAAATGCCGGGACCAGATCGAGGGCCACCACAGTCTTGAGCTCCTCAGAGTCTTCATCGGACGGTGTAAATACATCGCCCGATGGAGGTACTATAAGCGGAAGGACGGCCGCGGAGAAGGAGGCGGACAGGGGGAGGGGAGGGGAGAGGACGGATTCGCGACTGTTGAGGACGGATTCGCCTTCTTGCGACATTCGTAAACCCACCCAGTCTTGCACGAATTGGTCGATAGCGTTTCTCGAAATAATGACGCTTTTCGGGAAAGCCGCAAGCAGTCCCGTAATCTCCAGCGTTTTCGGAACAGTTGATGGCGGGGGAGGACCCGCGGAGATAATAGCGCGAACGAAGGTGACCGACAGACTCATAAATTTCAACATCTTGTAGCTTTTATTTGGTACATCCGTCTACACTACACATGCACGGGAAATTAATGTTCCACACTGGTGCTACAGTGAAATTAATCTTTATTTGAAACGTACTTGCATTGCAACTAACAAAGGGCATCATTATCCCATTGAAGTTGCAATGTTTCACATAGATTGAGCTTGAAATGGCACTTGACTTCAAGGACATTGGGATGGCCCCCCAATCGCATGATGGAGATGCCAAAATCGGGTACAACCATGCGAAGGGTGATTGGCTTGTCATGTTGTCGGCTTCTGTTCCATCATCCCCAAATCGCAGGTTTGTCGCAGCTCGGTCGATGGCGCTCCTGGTTTTCAGGTGCTCCGGTTGCACCTGAAAGTGCCTGACACGCGTCAAACCTGGTCTTCACGCGGGATGAAGTTGTCCCTTTGTGGTTTTCCCCTAGTTATATAATCTCATCCTACTCTACACCCAAACCGTCAGAAGTACAGTATTATGGGTCTTCGAAACCGTCGCTGTTTAGTGCGAACTTAGGATCCAGGAACCTGCGTTGACGCACAATTTCCTGAACCGGTGGAGATCGAGGAACTTTGGAGAGTAGAGTGCGTAACCACAGCGCTGATTTGTGTTCCACACACTACGCCCGACTAAGAGAAAAGCAAGTCAATCCACCCTTGCAGTAGGGAGTTATGCCCAAACACCACCTCCCCCGGGCCATCATCACCCAAACGCCACCTCCTCCCCTCCCTTGTCCCCGTCCCCCTCTCTTTCCCCAACCCGGCCCTTGAACTTTAGCCTGGCTAACAACCTGATGCATGTGTTGTTCCCCATCCTTCTCCACTTCGCCTCGTTACAGCAGCAGGGCACCGCGGGGGAGGTCACTCCTGATCCCAGGTTCCAACCGAGTCCTTCGGGTTCTTCTGCTTGTCGCGTGCCGCCGCAACATGGGTTCCGATTCAATCCGTCGTCCTTTTCTTCCCCCTTCCTCAATCGCGAGATCTCTTGCCCTCCCTCCCCCCCATCCCCGCCTGTACAAAGAGCTGTTCGGATCGGACGTTCTTCCTTTCTGTCCGCTGGACTGAATTCAGCTAGACCACACAAGCTAGTACTACAGCGTGCAGCGTTCTTATCTTTAAATACGGCTCCGCACCTCACGGCGTGTACGTCGCCGAGCCAATCATCCTCAGCACGGGTTAATATTAAGTGGCGTGACTTCCTGCTATCAATATTAGACAGCCTTGTGCTTCAGCCTCTAGCTCTCAAGCCGACATATAACTAGCGCTTAAAGTTCTTCATCGCAACACTTGTCTGCATTAGGGTTGGCTCCGAATCCTCAACATTCTCGACTGTACAGTACGGAGGATATAGATTCGCCATTTCCGTTAGCGTGGAAATCTCGTGACGCCGCTCTGCGATCGCCGTACGGGAGAGGCAGGATGGAGAATAAGTCCCGCGGCGTAACCGCGAGTCGCGCTCTCCGTTTGTTCGTGTCGCTCATCGTGTACGTCAGCGGCGTCGCCGGGCAGTTGCTGACAGACGATCAAGGTCGGTTACACTCTCCGGGCCGCCGTAGCTAGAATTTCACTACAGACTCCGAGAGGCAGCATAACGCGTCTCGAGGTTCCAGAAACTATAATTTCATTATATGTGCATCGACCGTTAACTTTTGGGTAGTGGTATGCATCCTAGCAGCTCGTAGCTCTGCTGCGAACGCTCCTGCGAAGCTGAGACCTGACACAGCAAGAAAGACGGGCATGAACTCACTCGATAAAGTCTCGTGTATTCGGCTTCGCGGATTTTCGCAGGTTGCTGGCAGGCACACCGTACGCCTACGGAGGCGGCCCCCGATATCAGATTTAGGAAGCGAGCAAGAACTCTGGAGCAAGCTCTCTTGCTTGTGGGTGACATTTCCGTGGCATGGTAGAAATAGCAGCCTTAGCGACAACCTTTTCCGCCATGCGCGGCCGTCACTCACCCCGTTTTAACCCCCCCCCCCCCCCCCCCCCCCCCCGCGCGCCCCCCCCCCCTCTCTTCCCGAAGTCGCAGAGACGGCGCGTTTATAGTACTGCTTTCCCCTTTTTCATTTAGCTAAAAAGGAGCTGCTGACAGCGTACAAGGCGGCAGCAGGGCTCACGGACTAGCCTGGAACATATCGGCTCAGAGGCACTGCTTTGACCATGCTACTGATACCGCCCCGGGCGGTATCCGGTTCTTGTCCGTCAGCCCCGGGCTGCCTTGACCATGCTACTGATACCGCCCCTGTCACACTGGCAATCCTACTCTTGCGTTCCCCTTCCAATCTCCTCGCAGTGAATCTGCCTCTGGCGTTCAAAGGCGGCGGCGGGGCTGACGGACAAGAACTGGAACCTAGTATCGGCTCCGAGGCACTTCCGTGATCGTGCTGCTAATACCCTCCTGTCACACTAACAAACGCTACCGCTGCGTTCTTTGCATCGCAGTGAATCTGCTTCTGGCGTTCAAGGCGGCGGCGGGGCTGACGGACAAGAACTGGAATATTTCGTCTCCGCGGAACTGCACCATGTGGAGCCGAATCAAGTGCAATGCGACGACGGGCGAAATCACGACCATGTGAGGGATACGGGTTTTTTTATTGGCTAGTACTTCAGATCAAGTGCGATGCGACGACTGGTGAAATCAAGCGCAGGGGTCACCAACGGCGCAGTTCCCGTTCGCCAGTGTTCAACTTTCACCAACGGCGCAAGGGTTTATTGCCATGTGGCTGGTTTTCTGTGTTGATAAGGTCTCGTTATTGTCCAACGGTTCTATCATCAACGTTTTTTGTTATCCTGCAGTGTATTGTACTTGTATTCCTGGCCTGGATCTCAATATCGGTTGCTTGCGAACGTCGTCTGCTTGTGCGCGATTCCTCGTATTGGTCCGCAGGTACATTGACGATGGGTCCATCGCAGCCCTTCCTGACATTGTAACGAAATTCACTGCTGTCACGTACCTGTAAGTTCGCTGTTGTAACATATTTGAAATTTGGCTACACCTTACAGTTTCTGTCTGTGTTGAAACTTCCTCCTTTCCAATACGCCCTTCCTCTCTCCCCTACTATAAACGCTTTTAGAGATTCCTGCGTTTCCTTAGCTTATATCGTCAGGTTGTCTATCACACCAAAAATCATCACAAACCCATCCAGTCGTGTTCGTCTCGAGCTGTCTCAATAATCCCTCCAAATGCCGATTCTTCACTTCATCCCACGGTCTTCCTCTACACCCTCCTTAGGAGCATCACTCGTTCAAAAGCTCCCTCAACTATCGAAGAGAAGCTGTCAGCCATCAAGACAATGACTCAGCTGCGATACCTGTGCGTGCGGCACTACAGCAATCCATGCATGCATGCGAGCACCGTCAATACACCACCTGCAATGCACTCTTCTCCCATTCCTTCCTCTTGACTTGCCTTAATTCCCCGCCGTCAAGACTATGACTCAGCTGCTGCGATACCTGTGCGTGCGACACGGCAACGATCCATGCATGCACCACCAACACACCAAACACATACCAGCACACCACACGCTATGCTGCTCTTATCCGCTTTCTTCCTCGTGCCAATCCAGCATCTCCATCCTCCCTTCCTCCCTTTCTCACTGTTTGCTTCCCTCTTGTGATTCGATTCTATTAGGAGCCTCGGATCCAACTGGTTCTACTCCACTATTCCCGAGTGGCTGGTCCAACTGCCCCAGCTCCGCTACCTGTAAGTGCAGAGACTTTTGGTTGTGCTGGCAGAATTACAAGGTAACTCTCTTCTTACTTCCCCATCCCCAGTTGGCTGGTACAGCTTCCCCAGCTCCGCTAGCTGTAACCACAGAAAGTACCTGCAGTGTTACGGGGTCAGTCACTGGGTTGCTGTACGCTTACAGGAATACACCTCCCCCCCCCCCCTCCCATCACGGCGCCACTCAGCTCCTTCGACGTCACCAGCAACCTTCTCTCCGGGACCTTCCCCCCCCCCTCGATCAAGACGCCCATCATGGCCTGCCTCTCCGCAGGCAACTGCCTGGTCATCCCGACTGATGCTAGCCCATCTAATTGTTGCCTTCCCTCTCATCTTCTTCCCATTTCTCTCCCGTTTCTCCCTCTCCCCTTCCCCCCCAGCCATCTGCCCTACAATTTCCTCACGGGCCCTATTCCCCCCATCACGGCGCCTCTCAACTCTTTTGACGTCACCAGCAACCTTCTCTCAGGGACCTTCCCCCCGCGCAAGTCGCCCATCAAAGCCTGCCTCTCCGCAGGCAACTGCCTGGACGACGCGTCCGCGTGTGCAGTGGGCGCGGGGCAGCAGAGGGCGGACGTGGGGGACGAGTACTGCGGGGCGGTGACCGGGGATATCTGCCGGCCGGCGCCTGAGGCGGGGCAGACGTGGAAGGACCAGGTGGCTCTACGATGCTCGTCCAGTGAGTTACAGCTGGTGGCTTGGTGGGTGGGCTACGGTTTGGTAAAGTGATTCGGTTGTGGAAGGATCAGGTGGCTCTGCGATGCTCGTCCAGTGAGTTACAGCTGGTGGCTTGGTGGGTGGGCTACGGTTTGGTGAAGTGATTCGGTTGTGGAAGGACCAGGTGGCTCTGCGATGCTCATCCAGTGAGTTACAGTTGCCGGGCTAGTGGATTGGGGGGTTGGCCTTGGGGCTTGCCTATGTACGTGGTCTAGTGGGGGATGAGTACTGCAGGGCGGTGATCGGGGATATCAGCCGGCCAGCTCCTGAAGTGGGGCAGACGTGGAAGGATCAGGTGGAGCTGCAATGCTCGTCCAGTGAGCTGGGGCTGGCGGGATAATCTGGGAGGGCTGGTTAACTGGTTAGCTGGTTAGCTGGTTAGCAGGTTAGCTGGTTAGCTGGTTAGCTGGTTAGCCGGTTAGCCGGTTAGCCGGTTAGCTGGTTACCCGGTTACCCGGTTAGGCGGTTACCCGATTAGCCAGTTAGCTGGTTAGCTGGTTAGCTGGTTAGCTGGGTGGAGCTTACACCTCAAAAAAATAGCAGCATCATTGCCCTGTTGCCTTCCCCATGTTCTCTGCCCCCTTCCCTGGCAGCGAGCTTCATAGAAGCAACGGATGCACTGGACGCCCCCGTGGCATGGCAGTACCTGAGCTGAGAGACGCCGCCCAATGAAATCAAAGACGTGCCAGTTGTAATTTTGAGGAGCCTCAGAAGCAGCATTCTTACGCCGTTGCTCCTCTAATTCCCCCTTCCTGCCGCATTTTCCCTGGCAGCGACCTTCATAGCAGCTACAGATGCTCTTGACGCCCCCATGGAAGCACCCGAAGATACGCCGACCGACGCGCCTGTTACGGACATGTCTGACAGCACATCTGATGGCACATCTGGTAGTGCAGATGGCTCGACAGGCAACACGGATGTTACAACACCACCGGAGAAGAAATTCACCCAGCCTGTGAAGCAGAACGGGCCCAAGGGTAAGAAGGGTGGTGGCAAGGGATGCTCGTGCAAGAAGAATGTGTGCAAGGCGAGCGAGGTGTGCGTCAACCTGTCTGTTGGCAAACGGTGCAACGTCAAGTGCATGAAGAACCTCTTCAAATTCAAGAAGATGTAGATTATTATCCGGAAGTAGAGGTTTCTTTTTACGAGAATGGGATGGGAATTTTTTAGGGGCAGGGTTATATTGAGAAACGTAATTTGTACCATACATATTTCGTTGTAAAAAAATTATACTGAAACCTATGTATTTTTCGGAACCATGATCTGGATAGCTTCTAGGTTGCTGTACACGCGTATTATCGCGTACGCAAATCTATACCCCACCACTACCTCATTTCCGGCAACGGTCATCTTTTTGTTCAGCTCATTTTTCCCCGCCAAACTGGTCGCCAGAATGAGCCTTCTGAACCGAGCCGCTTCGCTCTCACTCCCACAGAGCCTCACCTACTTCCCACGCGAATCGAGTGCGGCTGTCGCGTCGTCGGCCCGTTTCCCGCGTTCGGACTCGCTTCTTCTCCGTCCGCCGTATTCTGCAGTGCAATGCTGCCCCTTGGTTCCTAGGCGCATTTCCTCCCAGTCACTCTCCCGCTCTTCCCGTCGCCTCGCACGGTGCGATTCACAGCGCGACTCACGGCGCGATTCACGGTTCATGGCGGCAAGAAGCAGCATCAGCGGGGGTGGCGGAAGCGAAGCGGGCGAGGTCCAGGCAGAGGAGAGATCGGGATCGGACGGTTCACAGAGCCTCGCGACGCGGATCCTTCACTATAAGGGCGCGGACTTCGATCCGTATGGCGCCGTCAGCACGCCTATCTACCAGACGGCGACATTCCGGCAGGTTGGACTGAGACGGGTCGGTCTGGTACGGGTTGGACGGGGGGGAAATGGCTTTTAAAGGCGAGTCAAATATAAGGTCCTTCACTTTAAGGGCGCGGATGGCGACCCGCACGGTGCCGTGCCGTCAGCACGCCCATCTACTGGACGGCAACATTCAGACAGGTTGGACTGAGACGGGTCGGTCTGGTACAGGTTGAACGGGGGGGAAATGGCGCGGACGGCGACCCGCACGGTGCCGTCCGCGCACCTATCTACCGGACGGCAACATTCAGACAGGCAGAGTTGGGGGGAAAGGGGAGGGGAGAGGGGAGGGGGGGAGGGATTTTTAGAGGCCAGTCGAATGTTGGATCCTTCACTAAGAGGTCGCGAACTTCGATCCTTATGGCGCTGTCAGCACACCTACCTATCAGACAGTGCCATTCAGCCAGTCGTGTTGGAGTGTGTGTGTGCGGAAGGGGGGGGAAGGGGGGAGGGGGAGGGATTCTTAGAAGCTCAGGACATTTTGAAACGCTGGTTTTTCGTTTTTGTTTTTGTTTTTTATGTTTTGTTTCTGTTTTTTTTTGTTTTTTTTTTTCGCCTCAAAAGTAGAGTTTGGAATAGTGTCAGACGCTGGATATGGAAACCTCTTTAAAACCAGAAGCCTCGAAGATGAGGAGAATGAGAATGAGGTGATTGCAATCTTGGTGCCAGCACACATCCGTATACTCCCGCTTTTCATGTCTTAGTGTTTCACTCCATATTCCAACTAAAAAAAAGAAGGTTTTTTTATACGTCCCAAAAGATGTTAGCAAGCAATGTTGGGACCCACATACATCAATATTCATATTTAAATGCCCACTCTTCATGTACTCGTTATGTCAGGTCTCTGCAACGGAGAACAACGCGTATGACTACACTCGCAGTGGTAACCCGACACGGGATGCCTTCGAGAAGTGAGTGTATACAGAGTGTGAATTTTCTTCTCTTGCAGTGTGGATACAGAGTGTAGCAAGAGTGTAGAGAGTGTGGATCTTCTTCTTTTGCTCGGAATAGCACTTCCCATTTCTTTTTGTAATTCCCTTTTCCCCGTTCCCCAGGCTCTTCCCCCTTGGCCCCTTCCCCAGGCTCTTCCGAATGACACCTATATACTCTATGTTCCAGACAACACCTCTTCTCTATATTCCGAATAACCCCTATTCACTTTGTTCCAAACTCGGAACAACCCCTATTCACTCTGTTCCAAACTCCAAACAACCCCTATTCATTTTGTTCCAAACTCGGAACAACCCCTATTCACTTTGTTCCAAACAACCCCCTCCCCCCTGCTCACTGTGCCTTTTTCCTGCTGTCTTTTCTCGTCTCCAGGCTCCTAGCAGAGGTCGAGGGAGCCCACCGTGCCTTTGCCTTTAGCACGGGGATGGCAGCACTTGCTGCAGCTACCAGACTGGTTACCACTGGTGAGACTGGTTACTGCTGGTGGAATTTTCTTCCCGTTCCCACCTCACTCTTGGGTTCTTCCCGCCTTGTGGGAGACATGACTATAGAGGAAGCAAGGAAGCAAGGTATAATGTCAAGGGTTCTGCTGTCTGAGGTGACTTTTGAGTCGACTCAAAAGTCACCCCTATAGAGGAAGCAAGGAATAATGTCAAGGGTTCTGCTTTCTGAGGCCCACAACTGCTTTGTTTCCCTCCCGTTCAGGCCACACGCTCTTCGTTCTCTTGTGTGGCAGGTGACGGTATTTTTGAGAATTCTCAAAAATCTATCTTCAGGCCGCACCCTCTTCGTTCTCATGTGTGGCTGGAGACATGGACCGGCTGCTGAGTCGATTTTTGAGTCGACTAAAAAATCGACTCATTACACACGGACTATCTTCAGGCCGCACCCTGGATGGAGACATGGACCGGCTGCTATCAAGAGTGGGTGGGTTGGACGATACCAGTCATGCTTTTGGTGCTTCCTTCCCCCCCGCTTCCTTCCCCCCTACGGTGTTTCCTCCCTGCAGGCTCATCTATTGTGGCGGGTGACGATACCTATGGGGGCACTGATCGTCTGCTCTCAAGAACGGGATTAAACGAGCCCCTTCCTCCCCCTCCGCCCCTTGCGTGCCTCCCTTCAACTCCCCCTCGCAGGCTCGTCTATAGTGGTAGGTGACGATATCTATGGGGACACTGATTGGCCGCTGTCAAGAATAGTAGGATTTCAGTTATCCTATTCTCCGCCTCACTCCGATCCCCCGTGTCTTCTCCCTACAGGCTCGTCCATCGTGGCGGTTGACGATATCTATGGTCTGCTTTTGAGTCGACTCAAAAGCTCCTCTCCCCCCCGTGTGTCCTCCCTACAGGCTCATCCGTCGTGGCGGGTGACGATATCTATGGTCTGCTTTTGAGTCGACTCAAATCAAAAGCTCCTCTCCCCCCCGTGTGTCCTCCCTACAGGCTCATCCGTCGTGGCGGGTCATGATATCTATGGTCTGCTTTTGAGTGGACTCAAAAGCTCCTCTCCCCCCTGTGTGTCCTCCCTACAGGCTCATCCGTCGTGGCGGGTGACGATATCTATGGTCTGCTTTTGAGTCGACTCAAAAGCTCCTCTCCCCCCCGTGTGTCCTCCCTACAGGCTCGTCCGTTGTGGCGGGTGATGATATATATGGTCTGCTTTTGAGTCGACTCAAAAGCTCCTCTCCCCCCTGTGTGTCCTCCCTACAGGCTCATCCGTCGTGGCGGGTGACGATATCTATGGTCTGCTTTTGAGTCGACTCAAATCAAAAGCTCCTCTCCCCCCCGTGTGTCCTCCCTACAGGCTCATCCGTCGTGGCGGGTCATGATATCTATGGTCTGCTTTTGAGTCGACTCAAAAGCTCCTCTCCCCCCTGTGTGTCCTCCCTACAGGCTCATCCGTCGTGGCGGGTGACGATATCTATGGTCTGCTTTTGAGTCGACTCAAAAGCTCCTCTCCCCCCCGTGTGTCCTCCCTACAGGCTCGTCCGTCGTGGCGGGTGATGATATATATGGTCTGCTTTTGAGTCGACTCAAAAGCTCCTCTCCCCCCTGTGTGTCCTCCCTACAGGCTCATCCGTCGTGGCGGGTGACGATATCTATGGTCTGCTTTTGAGTCGACTCAAAAGCTCCTCTCCCCCCCGTGTGTCCTCCCTACAGGCTCGTCCGTCGTGGCGGGTGATGATATATATGGTCTGCTTTTGAGTCGACACAAAAGCTCCTCTCCCCCCCGTGTGTCCTCCCTACAGGCTCGTCCATCGTGGCGGGTGACGATATCTATGGGGGCACAGACCGGCTGCTTTCAAGAATCGTGCCTCGCGCAGGAGTTGCTGTCAGGTGGGTATTCTGCGTTTTCAGGTTGGCCCTCTGTTGGTGTCAGGTGGGCTTTCTAAGTTTTCAGGTGGGCCCTCTGTTGGTGTCAAGTGCTCCCTCTGTTTGAACTCCCGTGGAAGATTTCAGAGGCAGAACCTGATCAGTGATCAGCCCCACCAACGCCTCCCATGGAGTCATTTTTGAGAAATTGAAGGCAGTGAAGTGAAGGCGTCAGCTAAGGAAGGCGAGAAGCAAGCAATCATGGAGAGCCCCACCAATCAAGCCTCAAGATTCTACCACTCCCCTTCCCCCCCTTCGCCCAGTCCCCCCTCTCACCTCCTCTCTCTCGTGCCAGGCATGTTGACACAACGGACCTAGAGGCAGTGAGGGCGGAAGTGCAGAAGGGCACGAAGCTAGTGGTCATGGAGAGCCCCACCAACCCTCACTCGTGACTCTGACTCCCCTTCTCGTCCTCTCCTTCCGTCCGTCCGATCCTCTTGCAGGCGAGTTGATCCGACAGCCCTAGAGCCAGTGAGGGCTGCTGTCACTGAGGGCACGAAGCTAGTGATCATGGATCGCCCCACCAATGTTTCCTTGTGGTGATTCTCCTTTTTCCTTTCCCTTTCCTCACCCTCCCTCGTCTCCCCCCAGGCGTGTGGACACAACGGACCTAGAGGCAGTGAGGGCGGCTGTCACGGAGGGCACGAAGCTAGTGATAATGGAGAGCCCGACCAATCCTCGGATGATGATCAGTGATATAGGGGTGCGTGCAGTGTACCAATCCGATTTGTGGGTATTCTCTTGGGTTCTTCTGTTCACCTGTGCTATCTATCCAAGCTCGTACAGCTGGGAAGACTGGCCCCCCTCCTCCCTCCCGTTGCCCTTCCTCTAGCAGATATCGCTCTCACAGCAGGTGATGCTGTTGACATGATGCTGTTTTCAACAGGTGACTTTTGAGTCGACTTAAAAGTCAGCTCGTTACAATATTATGTCAGCTCATGGCACCCAAGTGGTGTTCTGTAGGTGATGCTGTTGAGATGATGCTGTTGTCAACAGGTATGATTGAGAATCCTCAAAACACACAGCAGGGGACATGATGCTGTTGTCAACTGGCGCGCCGGTGCGCACCTACTGAGTTGACAACAGCATCATGTCGGCCGTGCTGTCGAAGCCGCTGCATCTGATCAAATTTCTCCCTCTCCCCCCCCCCCCCCCCCCCCTACCCTCTCCCTTGTTACTTCCCCTCATTCACAGGCCATTGCAGAGATTGCCCATTCCGTGGGTGCACTACTATTGGTTGACAACAGCATCATGTCGCCGGTGCTCTCGAAGCCGCTGCAGTTGGGAGCAGACATTGTGATGCACAGTGCGACCAAGTTCATCAGCGGGCACAGCGACGTTATGGCTGGGGTGCTGGCTGTTAACAACCCGGAGTGAGTCTGTCTGTAGTGGGGGTTATATGAACATGAATGAATGCTGCAGCTGGAAGGAGCAGACATTGTGATGCACAGCGCGACCAATTTCATCAGCGGGCACAGTGACATGACGGCAGGGGTGCTGGCTGTCAATGCCCCAGACTCCAGAGTGAGTGCTTTCCATGCCGACGTCTGCGTCTGTAAGAGCGCACATCAGTCACACACACACACACGCACGCACTCACACATGCAAACACGCACGCACGCACGCATGCGCACGTGCACGCACACACACACCCACACACACACCCACACACACACACACACACACACACACACACACACACACACACACACACACACACACACACACACACACACACACACACCAGTGTATCGCACTGCAGCTGGGAGCTGACACTGTGATGCACATTGGGGCCAAGTTCATCAGTGGGTGGGGGGCACAGCAACGTGATGGATGGGGTGCTCACTGTCAATGCCCCAGACTCCAGAGTGAGTGCTTTCCATGCCGACGTTCGAGTCTGTACGTGCATGTGTTCACATTCATGCGTCTATCCGTGTCTCATGCTGCTGCTGGGAGCGGACAGACATTGTGACGCACAGCGGCACCCCTTTGTTGCCCCCTTCCCTTCCCCCCTTTTTCCCACTCCTCCCCCTTATCCCTTCTCTTCCCTTCCCTCCGTTCACGCCAAGCCTGGCTTGCGAGATCTACTTTGTGCAGAACGCCGAGGGCTCTGGGCTGAGCCCATGTAGAGATCTTCCCTGTCCCTTTGTTACCCCCTTCCCCACCCCCCCTCCCCGTTACCCGCCCTTCCCACCACCCTCCTTTTCCCCTTCCTTCCCCCTGTTCACCCCCAGCCTGCCTCACGAGATCTACTCTGTGCAGAACGCAGAGGGCGCCCATACAGAGATCTTTCCAACCCCTACTTACCCCCTTCCCCCAACCCCCCTTCCCCCCTCCCTCCCCCCCACCTTTCCTTCCCACCCCCCTTCCTTCCCCCGTTCATCCCCAGCTTGGCTCGCGAGATCTATTTCGTGCAGAACGCGGAGGGCTCTGGTCTGAGCCCGTTTGACTGCTGGGTGTGCCTGCGAGGAATCAAGACCATGCCGCTACGACTGGAGCGGCAGCAGGTACGGGTGTACATGTGTGCGTGCGTGTGCGTGTAAGTGTGTATGGGTGCGCGAGCACGCGCGTGCGTGCGTGTGTGCACGCGCGTGTGCGTGTGTGTATGTGTGTGTGTGGTGTGTGTGGTGTGTGTGCGTGTGCGCGCATGTGTATGTGTGTGTGTGTGTGTGTGTGTGTTTGTGTGACCAAGCCCTCTTGGCCACTGGGTGTGTCTGCGAGGAATGGAGATGCTGCTGCTGAGACTGGAGAGTCGCCCATGACGATGACACTAACCTGACTGCTAGCGTCGTTAGCCATGATAGAGATGAGCAGCAGGGTAGTGTAAACAGAACTTCTAACAAAATTTTGACAGTAAAAACACAAGATGCCGCTGAGACTAGAGAGTCAGCCCATAACGTGACTGCTGGGCCAATGCACACAAGGTTGCAGAGCTCTCGGTTCCGGGCCAGAATGAAGCCACCCACAAATGTAGAGGTTGCCTCTCACGACGGCCTCCCAGCTCTTCGTGTCGTCTCAAGAGCGTTTGGCGCTTTCGTGTTCCTTGGCACAGGCAAATGCTAAGAAAATAGCCGAGTTCCTCTCGCCAGCCACCCTCGAGTGCAGAGGGTGTTCTACGCCGGTGTGCCAGCATGGCTTTGGTGCTTTCTAACCCATGATCCTGTGCTTTCTTGTTCCTTTGAACAGGCGATCGCTCAGAAAAATGCTGATTTCCTGGTCAGCCACCCTCGATTGGAGAGGGTGCTCTATGCCGGTCTGCCAGGTGACTCTCAGGCAGAATCAGGCGTCATCTTCCCCCAATTGCCTGCTGCTTCTTTGCAGGCCAATGCACAGAAGATAGCCGAGTTCCTCGCCAGCCACGCTCGAGTGGAGAGGGTGTTCTACGCCGGTCTGCCCTCGCATGCCAACCGCGACCTGCACTTCTCTCAGGTGAGTTCCTAGCCGATGCCATTCTCCCACACCCAGTGAGGGAGAGTGCCGCACGTCTCCCAATCCACACACACGATGAGTGAGGGTGCTCTGTTCTGTTCTATGCCGGTCTGCCCTCGCATGCCAACCGCGACCTGCACTTCTCTCAGGTGCTGCTCTCAGGTACTTCATCAGGCGCGTTTCCTGAGGTCCTTCTCATGTATACTTCAGGTGCTTTTTCTCAATTGGTGTCTCAGGTATCCTTCGCAGGTGCGACGCTCAGATTCCTCTCTCACATGCAACTCTGAGTTGTGTTACTCACACGACTCTAGGTTGAATTTAGGTGATTCGCCTGAGTGGACTCCCTTTTCGTACGAGCCTTCTCGTCTCCCCCCTTCATCCTTTTTTATCAATTTCCATCAGCCCAAGGGTGCAGGGTCGGTTCTCAGTCCACCACTGTCAAGTCGACAGGGTTTTTCCTGCTCTTTTCTTTGGTTTGTTTGTTGCACCATCCTTCTCGTTCTGGTGTTCATTCCTCTTCTCAGGCCAAGGGTGCGGGGTCGGTGCTCAGTTTCAACACAGGCAACATCAACGCGTCGAAGCACATTGTTGAGACAATGAAGCTTGCCAACATTGCCGTCAGCTTCGGTAAGAGGAGACATGTCGGTATGAGAACGCACTACTTCGTGGCGCGTCAAGCACGTGATGAGTGCGTCTAAGCACATTGTTGAGACAATGAAGCTTGCCAACATTTCTGTCAGCTTCGGTGAGAGGGGACCATGTTGGGTGAGAGAAAACGCTTTTTCTGTGGCGTGTCAAGCACATAAGCAGTTCATCAAAGCACATCGTTGAGTTGAGACGATGAAACTCGAGCTGAGAGCACATCAACATTGCTGTCAGCTTCGGTGAGATCAGAGACCGAAGTTTCAAGTACATTGTCCGAGGCGGTCGGCAACCAATCTCAAGGCACATAGTCAATGTAAGGAGTCTATTTTTTGAGGCGCCTAAAAAATAAACTCCCTAGTCAACGAAGCACATCTTTGAGACGATGAAGCTGGCCAACATTGCCGTCAGCTTCGGTGAGAGGAGGCAGTTTTTGGTGTGGATGATACTGAATGAGTCTGTCACATATATTTCTGCCTCTTACCTATGTTTGTGTTGCTTAGTGTTTCAACGCTGCGAGGCAACCCAACTGTGTGAACCGTGTTGCGCTGTGTGCCTGTATTGGATGCATGACTGCATGGTGACTGCATTCCTACGTGACTTGACTACGGCATGCATGTCCCCACTGTGATTTCATTGCATGCCATGGCTGTACTGCATGGTGGTGTGACTATTCCGAGGGGCTGACAGGCAGTGTGGCCACATCCATCAGCCTGCCGTGCTTCATGTCGCATGCCAGCATACCGGCTGAAGTGCGCAAGGAGAGGGGCCTGGTCGAAGACCTCATTCGCCTCTCGGTGAGTGTGCATCCCCCTCTCCTGCACCCCCTTCATTCTAAGCTGTCGTTCGTGCTCTCTCCTCTCTTGAACTGCATATGTAATCACCCCACGTGTGTTTTGGAAATGCAATTTGTTTCATTATGTGCTATAGGTGGGCATCGAGGACGTGGATGACCTCATTGCTGATTTGGGGAATGCCATAGACACAGCTCCATTTTCATAAGTTAATATGGAATTTCGAACACATGGGAGTAGGTAGCTACTCGTTTTTACTTCGGCATAAAATGCATTATGGAATCTTTGTAAGATGTGAATTTGAGATCTAGGCTAATCCATGTACAGTAGCGCAACACAACTTGCAGCAACACGTAATCCTCATGCAAGCCTATCCCTTCGCTGGGTTGACGTCAGAATGGTGTGAGCGGATGGTTTGACGAATCTTCCATTTTTCCATTTCGTTTCGCGCCAGGCACGGCTCGGGCTGTGGTTCGATGTCCCTTCACCACAGCTGATTTGCGGGCTGTAAGCAGCGCCCAGTAAAATAGGATAATGAAGCTAATATTATCCAGCTGCTGGCGTGGGATCTTAACCGCTGCTACTTAGATTGCACGGCCACCCAAATTTCCTTCGATAGGCTGAGGAAGTCCACCAAACTACACTTGAAAGAAGGAGCAGTAAATGCAAATTACACTAATAAGACGTAATTGTACTGAGAAGGCAAATTCCTGGAACCATCAAAAACTTTGCACGGGCTAGCTGCTGGCAGATTCTGCTGGCAGCTGTTTCAGGCATTCAAAACATAAGGGAGACACAACACAAAAAGGCATGGAACGTCAATCCCAAGGCAAGGATTTTCGCACCTTCCCATACCCCTCCACTACTCCCCAGACCGCCTTACCGCACTTGACCACACCAGGACAGAGCAGCTTCTGTTTCACTTGATCACACGAGACAGCACCCTCCAGCAGCAGGCACACACAAAGCTAACCCACAGGAGAAACAGCGAGACAGCTTATAAACTCATTCGGAGAGAGGGAATCACTAGGTTCACGAATTTGCTTTCCGTCGACAGGACACTGAAGTGGGTCTAGCATGTCAGGGATGGCCTGCGTCGTTGCTTCTTTTTCTCAGATTTCATTCAGGAAGGGTATTTTTTGGGGCGGATCAGTAGAGTAATCTGCCTTGTGTTGCCGAAACCACGCTCTCTGACAGACCTAGCGGTAGGAGGACGTAAGGCCCTCGTGACGCAGTGGTAGTTTCCATTTCCGTTTTTTTTTTTTTTTTTTTTTTTTTTCGGAGAACCGGTTTTTTAGCATGCGATACCTTCCGCACCGTCAGGTTCATCGTCGTCCGACGAGTCGTCTTTTATGGAGGATCTTATCGAAGCGATCTGGCCACATCTATTCCCGTCCTGGTCCGAAGCATTAACCGCGTTAATAGCCGCCTCGTTAGTAGCCTTCCTCCTCTATCTCACCCAATCCAAAGACGATGCGGAATCTTCCTCCCGAAACGCTCCGGCCGCGTCTGCCGGGAAAACCGGCGTGAATGGCGGGGGGGAGGATGAGAGCTGGGAGGAGGCCAGCCGACGTGTCAGGGAGCGGCAAGCCCGCGCGTTACTCGCTGCGCCAGATCCCCTCACCGCCGCTCTCGCCATCCCCGTGCGCCAGCTGGCAGCCGTTGATTCGAGGAGAGTGGCCGCGATTCCCGTGAACGCGCAGCCGCTGCTAGGGCTGAATTCTAAGGAGGTAGTTAAGAAGGGGATCGGTTCGAGAGCACGGCCTAGACAGGATGTGATGCAGTTAGCAGTGGCGACGCCGGGGGTAGGGGGAGCGGATGGGGGAGGGAAAGGGGGAGTGGAGGGAGGAGGGAGGAAAGGAGGGGGGGAGGGGAGGGCTGTGAGCGGCTTAGCTGCGTCGACTAAGGCTGCTGCTGGTGCTGTTGCTGCTGCGGGTGGGAATATTCAAGAAGAAACGCTTATACCTGTGGTGAGTCAGCTCATAGCGAGTACTCGTCTTTCTCCAACCCACGCTATCCTGTCTTCCCCCTCACTTTCTGCGCTAATTAAGACGGCTTACTACCAGTATTAGCTTTCTGCAATCCTCAACTCCACCCAACGTCAAGCTGTGAGCACATAATTTATTTGCTTCCCGCTGAAACACCCTATCCCCGCTATGGTCTCCCCCACAGGCCATCATCCCCAACCAGTCCCTTTCATGCGCGGACGCCCTCCCCCCTGCGCCAGTCCCCCTGGGCGGAGCAGTCTCTGATGCTCCCGCTTCCGCAACTGCTGGCGCGGATGGGGAGGGGGAAAGGAGCGCCCTAGGGCACATTCGCGGAGGTGAATCCCTGGACAACTTTCCTTTACTGAGTAAAGTTACCGCTGGTGGTGGTGGTGGTGCTGCTGCTGCTGCTGCTGCTGCTGCTGGTGCTGCTGGTGCTGCTGGTGCTGCTGGTGCTAATTCTGGTGCTGGTGGCGCTGCTGCTGGGAGCGTTCTTGCTGCTGCTTCAGGCGCTGCTGCTTTTGCTGGTGACAGAACCAACGGTCCAGATTCGACCGGTGGTGGAACTCCTGACACAAAACCAGAGAAGAAGGAACCGCAGTGGGAGGGGATCCGACGGTCAGCATCAGACACAGCAGCGATTTCAGCCCTGTTAACGGCTGGTGGGGCTGCGTTTACTGCTGGAAGAACAGGGGGAGGCGCAGGGGGGGGCGTAGGGGGGGGAGCAGGGGGGGGAGCAGGCGGAGGGGGGAGTGGGGCAATTAGCACAAAGGCGGAACCAGTTGCAGGAAGGCCAATATCTCCTATGGCGCCTCAACCCATGATCTATGAAGTGAAAGTGAGTTGAGCGTCCGATCTCTTCTGAGCCGACTCAAAACTCAAGAGTCATCTCGGAAGGCCAATATCTCCTATGGCGCCTCAACCCATGATCTATGAAGTGAAAGTGAGTTGAGCGTCCGATCCGATCTCTTCCTTCCAGCCCTTGCGTCTCCATCTCCCTGCTCTTTCCTCTCCGTCCTTTCCCCCCTCCCTCTCCTCCCCGCCCTCCCTCCTTTCCCTCTCTCCCTCTCGCCTCACCCGCCTCGTTCTCTCCTCCAGTCCTCTCCACCTTCCATTTCCGGCACTCCTTCCCTTCCACTCTTCCTTATCTCCTCCCCCCCGACCTCCAGTTTTGAGGCGCCTCAAAACTACCCTCCTTTCCCTCTCTCCCACTCGCCTCACCCGCCTCCTTCTCTCCTCCAGTCCTCTCCACCTTCCATTTCCGGCACTCCTTCCTTTCCACTCTTCTTTATCTCCTCTCCCCCCGACCTCCCCTTCCCTGTGCAGCCAACTCTAGCTTCCCAAGGATCCGTTATTGCAATGCAAGCCTCTGTGAGTCCGTGGTAATAGCGGATCAACCATTTGATTCCTCCATCCGCAATCCCTCACCTCACCCCCTCCCCCTCCCCCAGGTTGATCTTCTGGCGGCGAAGAACCTGCCTGCTGCTAACATTAGCGGCACTGCGGATCCCTATGCCATTGTTTCTTGCGGCACGGAAAGACGATTCAGGTGCGATGTGTGTGTGTGTGGGAGGGATGGGGGAGGGAGGGTTTGTGTGTGTGTGTGTGTGTGTGTGTGTGTGATGCATGCTTGGAAGATTCTCGTTCCAATCTCCCTGGTTCCCAAAAGTCATGCTGTTTTGACCGACTCTGCCCACACCAGTTCGGTCATCCCACCCACCCCATGTGGGCTGAGGAGCTTCGTTTCTGTGCACTGTCCTCCTCCTATCTACTTTATGACGCCTCTTTCCCCTCCCATCCCTCTCCCAATGCTGCACCGACCGACCCCCTCTACGGTCTACCCCTCAACACCGCATAAACCTGTTCCATCATCCCAGGCTCCCATCCCCCCCCTCTCTCGTCCCCCCGCCCTCCTTCCTCCTTCCAAACGCTGCACTCGCACCAGTTCCAAGCCCTCCTTCCTCCTTCCCGTTCCCCTCCCAACGCTGCACTCGCACCAGTTCCGTCATCCCCAGCTGCCACAACCCCAAGTGGGCAGAGGAAGTGCGCTTCTGTGCACGGTCGGTCTTATACACTCTCTCCCCCCCTCTCATCCCTTTTCTTATGCTGCACCACCGACCGTCTTGTGTGTTCCCTGTGGTATATGCACCCCTCCAAACTCCCTCCCCTCCCCGTCCCAATGCCGCCCCTGACTGACTCCCTCTCTCCCCCACACCAGCTCCGTCATCCCCAGCTCCCGCAACCCCATGTGGGCGGAGGAGTCTCGTTGCTGTGCACTGTCTTATACACTCCCCTTCTCCCCTCCCGTCTCCCTCCCATCCCTGTCCCAATGCTGCCCTGACCCCCCCTGTTCCCCACACCAGCTCCGTCATCCCCAGCTCTCGCAACCCCATGTGGGCGGAGGAGTTTCGCTTCTTCTCCCCCTGTCTCCCCGCCTTGGTGGGTCCTCTGCATTCGCCTGCATTTTTTTTTTTCTCTCCTTTTAGGCACAAGAATAGCGAGTCCTCTGCACTCGCTCGAGTTTATCCTCGACCTGTGTTCTCGGCACTTGGAAATCCTCAGCCTGGGTAAGGGACCTCCTTTCAGGCGTTTAGATGTGCAGTGAACGAGTTAGGGAAGGACACAAGGAGGACCCAGATGTGCTCCTGTTGGACATGGTGCACGCGTTGCTCTTTTCAGTTGACAAAAAAATCCCCAACCTGGGCAAGGGACCTTCTTTTAGGCGTTTGGAGAGCCCCCCCCCCCAGATCCAGATGTGTTCCTGTTGAACGTGCAGTGCACGTGTTGCATATGTTGGGGAAGGACACAAGGAGTGCGCTCTTGAGTCGACTCAGAAGCAGACACAAGGAGTACGCAGATGTGTTCCTGTTGGACGTGGTGCACGTGTTGTGTTGCATGTGTTTGTTGTGACTAAATGCGTATGTGATTGTATTGCAGATATCGGTGCACATGTACGATTGGGACATCATATCAAAGAATGCAGAGCTCGGTGCCGCGTCCCTGCTGGTGGAAGGGGAGGCTCTGCCTTTCACGGCTTGGTACCCCCTGGACAAGGGCCTGGGGCAGGTGAGCGCGTCTAGGGTTAGGCTCTGCCTCTCACTGCTTATCATCTCTTTAAGTCTGCTGCTGGAGGGAGAGGCGCTGCCTTTCACGGCTTGGTACCCCCTGGACAAGGGCCTGGGGCAGGTGAGCGCGTCTAGGGTTAGGCTCTGCCTCTCACTGCTTATCATCTCTTTAAGTCTGCTGCTGGAGGGAGAGGCGCTGCCTTTCACGGCTTGGTACCCCCTGGACAAGGGCCTGGGGCAGGTGAGCGCGTCTAGGGTTAGGCTCTGCCTCTCACTGCTTATCATCTCTTTAAGTCTGCTGCTGGAGGGAGAGGCGCTGCCTTTCACGGCTTGGTACCCCCTGGACAAGGGCCTGGGGCAGGTGCGTTGCTTATGCGGATTTCAGGTGACTTTCGTCTGGGTCTAGGGTTTCAAAACTACTTTGGTGGAAGGAGAGGCCCCCATTTCACGGGGTGGTACCCTCTCGACAAGGGCTTGGGGCAGGTGAGTGAATGTTACTAGAAGCTCATTTTGACACTGATTGTTGAGTGTATTGATGGAATGGTAGGTTCTCAGTTCCACGGCTTAGTCGACTGACCCTATGCACCACCAGTGGGCAATGTCTTGAAACAGGTGTGTAGATTTGTGTGATTGGTGGATAAGAGGGTGGAGTCGTTTTTGAGAATTCTGAAATATGACTCCGCTCTTAGTGGAGATAGAGGTGACTCTTTAACGAGGATTTTTGGTGCGTTTTTTTCTTTTTCTTTTTTTGGAACTTTTCTATTGGTGATGTCGCTTCTTGACGGGGGAAAATGGTCCTCTTGTTAAACCATGGCCTATGTCTGTTGCCCCCTCCTCCCCCACTTTCCAATCTCAGGTATGCCTGCAACTGCAGGTCACAGCCGTACCAAGGAATATAATGGACAGGTTTGTCTCCTGCCTTGTCTTTGTATTGCCTTGCATGGCCTTGCCTTCGTCTTCTCTCGTATGTTAGCATGTCCGCTCGTTATTACCGCGGTATCCCCCTCTACAATGCTACAGCCTGAATAGGTGTATTTTTTAGAATTCCAAAAAACACCCTACAGCCTGAAAAGGCTTATTTTTGAGAATTCTCAAGAACACCCTACAGCCTGAATAGGCGTATGACGATTCTGTTGTATGACGATTCTGTTGTGTGACGATTCTGTTGTGTGACGATTCTGTTGTGTGACGATTCTGTTGTGTGACGATTCTGTTGTATGACGATTATGTTCTGTTGTATGACGATTCTGTTGTGTGACGATTCTGTTGTGTGACGAGTCTGCATTTGGCGGAATGAATAGGCGTTGTCTATCCTTCATTCTCTTGCAGTTCGCCCTTGTGTCCGGCATCCCTGTTCTGCTGTCTCATGTTACCGATGCAGGTTTTATCGATGCAGGCTTACCGATGCAGGTTTACCGATGCAGGTTTTACCGATGCAGGTTTTACCGATGCAGGTTTTACCTATGCAGGTTTTGCCGATGCAGGTTTTACCGATGCAGGTTTACCGACGCCAGCACTGCAGCAAAAGGAGCAGTCATGTCATTGTCCACTTCCCCAGCAACTCCCTCCCCCCCCCCCCCCTCTCTCTCCCCTCTCTCCTCTCTTCTCCACCCCACCCCCCCCCAACCAACCGTGTGATTGTCTTTTGCAGCACCGCAGCCAAAGGGGCAGCCATGGCGTCGTCCCGCTTGCGGCGGCTGTCCCAGCAGCCGATGGGTGCCGGTGTAGGGGCAGGAGACAAGCCGGATAAGCAAGGAGGCGAAGGCACGGAGGGGGAGAGGCCGGAGCAGCAGCAAGCAGGGGGGGGCACAGAGGTGCGGGAGAAGCCAGGTCCCCTGCAGATGACTTTCGGGCTCCCGCCAGACGAGGTATGTGCGTGCTGGGGGGAGAGGGAGTCAGTAATTGGGGTGTGGCGGGGGTGGGGTGGGGTGGGGTGGGGTGGGGGGTTTGGCCGCAGAGTGAGGCCGGAGCAGCAGCAAGCAGGGGGGAGCACAGAGGCGCGGGAGAAGCCTTGACCACTGCAGACGACTTTTGGGCTGCCGTGAGATGAGGTGCGTGAGTTGGGGGGGAGGGGGGGGGGGGGGGGTGAGGAAGGGGGGACAGCGGGGCTGTATGTACGTGTGTGGGTGTGGAGGGAGAGTGGCCACTGGTGTGGAGGGAGAGCGGCCGCTGGTGTGGAGGGAGAGCGGCCGGAGCAGCAGCAATCAGGAAGGGGCACAGAGGTCCGGGAGAAGCCCGGTTCGCTGCAGACGACTTTCTTGCTGCCGCCAGACGAGACGAGGTGTGTGTGTACACATTGGGCCTGTTATCCGGCACTCCTCCTTGCGTGTTCTGGAGAGGCCTTTCTTCTACCACGGCCGCATGTTTCTCTCCGGTTCACACCTGTAGTGCCAGGGCCCCCTCCCCTCCCCCGCCCAACCCTCCCGCTCCAACCCTCTCCTCCAGGTCATTCGGCACTCCTTCTCGTGTGCACTGGAGCACTCGTTTATCTACCACTGCCCATGTTCCTCTCCGGCTCGCACCCGTGCATCCACTCCCCCAACACAGCCACCCGCTTTCCCCCCCCCCCCCCCCTCCCTTTCCTCCCTCCCCCTCCCCCCCTCTTTATCCGCCACCAGGTTATCCGCCACTCCTTCTCGTGTGCACTGGAGCGCTCGTTTCTCTACCACGGCCGCATGTTCCTCTCCGGCTCGCACCTGTGCTTCCACTCCAACGTCTTTTCCAAGGAGCTGTCCGTGTGCATTCCGTACCAAGACATAGAGGAGGTGAGGGCACGGAGGGGCAGAGGGCTGGGGAGTGTTCAGTGCAGTGTGTGCTGTACTGTACATTTCCGGGTGTTCCTCTCCCACTCACACGTGTGCTTCCACGCCAACGTTTTCTCCAAGGAGCTGTCCGTGTGCATTCCGTACCAAGGCATAGGAGAGGTGAGGTACAACGGTGCAGTGTGCAACGTGCAACGTGTAAGCAATGAGCAGGTTATCAGATCATATGCCTATTGTACGGAGAACGCTTTTGAGGCGCCTTAATCAAAAGCGTTTAGCAGATTATATGCCTGTTGTGCGGAGAACGCTTTTGAGGCGCCTTAATCAAAAGCGGTTAGCAGATTATATGGCTATTGTACGGAGAAATTGGAGGTGAGCTAGCCCTGAGCCAGCGAGATCCCCTCAGCATTTTTTTTCCTAATTACATTAATGCACTCCCATCCCAACTGCCCATTCCTGATGCAACCCCTGTGAGGTTTGTGGTGGCATACACACACTCGCTGACCAATCCTCGCACTCCCTGCCAGTTTTGCCCAATCCTGCGTCCATCCCCATTCTCGAACCACTTCCATTCTCAACCATTTCGCATTCCCATTCCCAGTTTTGAGGCGCCTCAAAACTAGACTCCTATCACGCGGTTTTGAGGCGCCTCAAAACCATCCCCATTCCCGAACCACTTCCAATCCCAACCTTTTCGCATTCCCGTTCGCTGACCGTGCCAAGTTTAACGCAGTGCACAGTCCCTGACGCCGACCAACCGTCACGCGCCCCAAGTCTGCCCATTCCTGTGCCCATTCCTGTGCCCATTCCTGTGCCCATTCCTGTGCCCATTCCTGTGCCCATTCCTGTGCCCATTCCTGTGCCCATTCCTGTGCCCATTCCTGTGCCCATTCCTGTGCCCATTCCTGTGCCCATTCCTGTGCCCATTCCTGTGCCCATTCCTGTGCCCATTCCTGTGCCCATTCCTGTGCCCATTCCTGTGCCCATTCCTGTGCCCATTCCGGCTGTGCCCATTCCTGTGCCCATTCCTGTGCCCATTCCTGTGCCCATTCCTGTTCCTGTGCCCATTCCTGTGCCCATTCCTGTATCCTGTGCCCATTCCTGTGCCCATTCCTCCATCCTGTGCCCATTCCTGTTCCCATTCCTGTGCCCATTCCTGTTCCCATTCCTGTTCCCATTCCTGTGCCCATTCCTGTTCCCATTCCTGTGCCCATTCCTGTTCCCATTCCTGTTCCCATTCCTGTGCCCATTCCTGTGCCCATTCCTGTGCCCATTCCTGTGCCCATTCCTGTGCCCATTCCTGTTCCCATTCCTGTGCCCATTCCTGTTCCCATTCCTGTTCCCATTCCTGTGCCCATTCCTGTGCCCATTCCTGTGCCCATTCCTGTGCCCATTCCTGTGCCCATTCCTGTGCCCATTCCTGTGCCCATTCCTGTGCCCATTCCTGTGCCCATTCCTGTGCCCATTCCTGTGCCCATTCCTGTGCCCATTCCTGTGCCCTATTCCTGTGCCCATTCCTGTTCCCATTCCTGTGCCCATTCCTGTTCCCATTCCTGTTCCCATTCCTGTTCCCATTCCTGTTCCCATTCCTGTGCCCATTCCTGTTCCCATTCCTGTGCCCATTCCTGTGCCCATTCCTGTGCCCATTCCTGTGCCCATTCCTGTGCCCATTCCTGTGCCCATTCCTGTGCCCATTCCTGTGCCCATTCCTGTGCCCATTCCTGTGCCCATTCCTGTGCCCATTCCTGTGCCCATTCCTGTGCCCATTCCTGTGCCCATTCCTGTGCCCATTCCTGTGCCCATTCCTGTGCCCATTCCTGTGCCCATTCCTGTGCCCATTCCTGTGCCCATTCCTGTGCCCATTCCTGTGCCCATTCCTGTGCCCATTCCTGTGCCCATTCCTGTGCCCATTCCTGTGCCCATTCCTGTGCCCATTCCTGTGCCCATTCCTGTGCCCATTCCTGTGCCCATTCCTGTGCCTATTCCTGTGCCCATTCCTGTTCCCATTCCTGTGCCCATTCCTGTTCCCATTCCTGTTCCCATTCCTGTTCCCATTCCTGTTCCCATTCCTGTGCCCATTCCTGTTCCCATTCCTGTGCCCATTCCTGTGCCCATTCCTGTGCCCATTCCTGTGCCCATTCCTGTGCCCATTCCTGTGCCCATTCCTGTGCCCATTCCTGTGCCCATTCCTGTGCCCATTCCTGTGCCCATTCCTGTGCCCATTCCTGTGCCCATTCCTGTGCCCATTCCTGTGCCCATTCCTGTGCCCATTCCTGTGCCCATTCCTGTGCCCATTCCTGTGCCTATTCCTGTGCCCATTCCTGTTCCCATTCCTGTGCCCATTCCTGTTCCCATTCCTGTCCCATTCCTGTTCCCATTCCTGTTCCCATTCCTGTGCCCATTCCTGTTCCCATTCCTGTGCCCATTCCTGTTCCCATTCCTGTGCCCATTCCTGTGCCCATTCCTGTGCCCATTCCTGTGCCCATTCCTGTGCCCATTCCTGTGCCCATTCCTGTGCCCATTCCTGTGCCCATTCCTGTGCCCATTCCTGTGCCCATTCCTGTGCCCATTCCTGTGCCCATTCCTGTGCCCATTCCTGTGCCCATTTCCTGTGCCCATTCCTGTGCCCATTCCTGTGCCCATTCCTGTGCCTATTCCTGTGCCCATTCCTGTCCCATTCCTGTGCCCATTCCTGTGCCCATTCCTGTGCCCATTCCCTGTGCCCATTCCTGTGCCCATTCCTGTGCCCATTCCTGTGCCCATTCCTGTGCCCATTCCTGTGCCCATTCCTGTGCCCATTCCTGTGCCTATTCCTGTGCCCATTCCTGTTCCCATTCCTGTGCCCATTCCTGTTCCCATTCCTGTTCCCATTCCTGTCCCATTCCTGTTCCCATTCCTGTGCCCATTCCTGTTCCCATTCCTGTGCCCATTCCTGTGCCCATTCCTGTGCCCATTCCTGTGCCCATTCCTGTGCCCATTCCTGTGCCCATTCCTGTGCCCATTCCTGTGCCCATTCCTGTGCCCATTCCTGTGCCCATTCCTGTGCCCATTCCTGTGCCCATTCCTGTGCCCATTCCTGTGCCCATTCCTGTGCCCATTCCTGTGCCCATTCCTGTTCCCATTCCTGTTCCCATTCCTGTTCCCATTCCTGTTCCCATTCCTGTTCCCATTCCTGTTCCCATTCCTGTTCCCATTCCTGTTCCCATTCCTGTGCCCATTCCTGTTCCCATTCCTGTGCCCATTCCTGTGCCCATTCCTGTGCCCATTCCTGTGCCCATTCCTGTGCCCATTCCTGTGCCCATTCCTGTGCCCATTCCTGTGCCCATTCCTGTGCCCATTCCTGTGCCCATTCCTGTGCCTATTCCTGTGCCCATTCCTGTTCCCATTCCTGTTCCCATTCCTGTTCCCATTCCTGTTCCCATTCCTGTGCCCATTCCTGTTCCCATTCCTGTGCCCATTCCTGTGCCCATTCCTGTGCCCATTCCTGTGCCCATTCCTGTGCCCATTCCTGTGCCCATTCCTGTGCCCATTCCTGTGCCCATTCCTGTGCCCATTCCTGTGCCCATTCCTGTGCCCATTCCTGTGCCCATTCCTGTGCCCATTCCTGTTCCCATTCCTGTTCCCATTCCCATTCCCGAACCTCACCACGCCAGGTTCGTCGCAGCACGCATGCGCTGATCAACCCAGCCATCACGGTGGTGCTGCATCTGGGAACAGGGGGCCACGGGGTGCCTCCCCTTCCTTCTCCTGATGGTGAGTCACGATCCGAGGGATCTCACTTACGTTCTGATGGTGAGTGACGATCCGAGGGATCTCACTTACGTTCTGATGGTGAGTGACGATCCGAGGGATCTCACTTACGTCCTGATGGTGAGCCCCACGTTGGTTGGAATAGCATGCATCGTTCCATCCATCAATATGTATGCATGCATCGTTCCATCCATCAACATGCATGCATGCATCCTTCCATCCATCAACATGCATGCATGCATCCTTCCATCCATCAACATGCATGCATGCATGCATCGTTCCATCCATCAACATGCATGCACTCATCACAGCAGCTATCACGGTGTTGCTTCTATCAGCGTCTTCTCTCTTGTACGCTTAACTAGTTCCACGCCGCATTTTCATTTTCACGTTCATTTGGCAACCGAGAGCCTCGTCCTGTCTGGTGTTTCAACAGGGTGAAGCTGCACCATACTGGAAGCAAGCCTATGCCATGTCCTTGTTGGGTTCTGACTCCGCACTCCCCCCTCCCATCCCGTTAAATCTCCCTCGCATCCCCTCTCACCCCCCTCAAAGTCCCCTCACATCTTCCTCAACTCCTGCTCTAATCCCCTTCCTATCCCTCTCTCAGGTCGAGTGAAGTACAAGTTCGCATCGTTCTGGAACAGAGGCCACGCCATGCGCCTGCTACAGGAAGCAATCGCTGAGTTCTGGAAGATGGAGGAGGCTGCTGCTCTGGTACGCATTCTGTACTCTCTATAGGGTCTCCTGTTGCTTCATATAGAAGCGTGTGGCTGCTGCTGCTGGAGGCAGCTGCTGACTTCAGGAAGATGGAGGAGGCTGCCGCTCTGGTATGTGCCCCTCTGTACTCGTTATACACTCTTTTTCTGCTTTGCTTAGAAGTAAGCAACTGCTGCAGGAGGCAATCACTGAGTTCTGGAAGATGGAGGACGCTGCCGCTCTGGCACGCATTCTGTACTCGGTATAAGGTCGCCTGCTGCTATAAATAGAGGCATGTTGCTGCTGTAAGACGCAGTCACTGAGAGCTGGAAGATGAAGGAGGCTGCCGCTCTGGTATGGTATGGTATGTAGTCATATGTTGGTCCCCTAGGTAAGCCGTTCCTCGTTTTTGCATTGTCATGGGCCAGCAGCTTCTTGCTCGATGTAGGCTGAAGTCTGAGCAGACGCACAGGCGCAGCTCTTTCTCTGTGTGTGATTTGGCTCGCGCAGCTGCTTTTGGACGAGGTGTCTTTTGAGTCGGCTGAAGGGTTTCCTCTCCTTTGTGCTCGCTATAGGCTGCTGAAGTTTGAGCAGACGCACAGGCGCAGCTCTTTTTGTGCTTTGGCTCGCGCAGCTGTATCTCAGCAGGTCATTACAGGGAGAGAAAGAGTGCATTAACTGTATTACCGGGAGAGAAAGTGGATTAAGAAGAGTGTATTACGGGGGGGAGAAAGTGCATTAAGAGTGTATTACAGGTAGAGAAAATGCATTAAGAGTGTATTACAGGGAGAGAAAGTGGATTAAGAAGAGTGTATTACAGGGGGAGAAAGTGCATTAAGAGTGTATTACAGGAAGAAAAAGAGTGCATTAAGAGTATTACAGGGAGAGAAAGTGGATTAAGAAGAGTGTATTACAGGGGGAGAAAGTGCATTAAGAGTGTATTACAGGGAGAGAGAGTGCATTAAGAGTGTATTACAGGGAGAGAAAGTGCATTAAGAGTGTATTACAAGGAGAGAAAGTGGATTAAGAAGAGTGTATTACAGGGGGAGAAAGTGCATTAAGAGTGTATTTCAGGAAGAGAAAGAGTGCATTAAGAGTATCACAGGGAGAGAAAGTGGATTAAGAAGAGTATATTATGGGTGGAGAAAGCGATTTTAGAGTGTATTACAGGGAGAGGAAGTGCATTAAGAGTGTATTACAGGGAGAGGAAGTGCATTAAGAGTGTATTACAGGGAGAGAAACTGCATTACGAGTGTATTACAGGGAGAGAAAGTGCATTGAGAGTGTAATACAGGGAGAGAAAGTGCATTAAGGCGAGAGAAAGAGTGGGCTGCGAAGGCCTTACTTCCAGCAGCACAGAACACGGTGAATTCAAGAACACCGTGTTATCAAAGTGAATTCAAGGTGGTGAACACGGTGTGTGAAATCGATGTGAACTCGATGTGAACTCATAGATTGAGCTCTGCATGGTGACGTTGTAGAGAAATGCTGTGCAGGGGTTTGACTCACTGCTGGCTTGGGCCCGGCTTCGGGTTTGGCTCTGCGGGACAGCAGAAACCTAGCCGCTTCAACCCCCCATCCGTCCCTCATGTCTGCAGCGGACAACAGAGGTGCTGTATTGAAGTGAGGAGTCTATTTTTGAGGCGCCTCAAAAATAGACTCCTCATGCAGGGTTTGGCTCTGCGGGATAGCATAAACCTAGCCGCTTCAACCAACCCCCATCCGTTCCTCATCTCTGCAGCGGACAACAGAGGTGCCGTATTGAAGTGGCCGCACTGTTTTCTAGGGAGACGTTAGCTAGGATGAGAATGATCCAGTTGAGTATTTGCACCATAAATGAGCAATATGGAAGCATACAAGAAGCAAGAAATCACATGTATAAACTAATAAACAAATAAACGAATGAATATATGTATATGCACGTTTATACATATATCATATACACTATTGCAGTGCTGGCTGAATCCCACTTTTGGTGCCTCAATATTGACCCGTCACATCTGCTTAGCTTAGCTGTGTTGAAAGTGGGGAAAATACCCATTCTCACAGGGCTGCTTGTTTCAATTCTTCAAACCCTCCATTCTCTCATGCCCCGATCCTATTGCCAAACCCTTGTTACAGACTCACAGTACACAACAGGAAGAGGAGCAGGATTGGCCACGGGCCCACGGGCCAGCAGCATAAAGGATGGGCGGTGGAGGGGCTTAGCCTTTACGTTGAATGTCGTCATCCCTCAAACCCTCGGTTTTCTCATGCCCATATATATGCTATCCCACATGGCACGAGGAGGAGCAGGATCGGGTACGAGCCAGCAGCATGCAGGACGGGCGGTGGAAGGGGTTGGTTATCTTGTTCACTATACTCAGCCCCCAACCTTTCGCAATTCCCCACCTAAACCCTTCCTCATGTCAGGAGGAGGAGGAGCAGGATTGGCTACGAGCCAGCAGCATGAAGGACGGAGCAGTGGGGCGGTGGGCTGTTATGCTTCCTATCCCCTCTGCCTACACACTTCCCCTCCTGTCCTCTTTTTTTTTTTTTTTTTTTTTTTTTTTTAATGTTTGTCTCCCAATTCCCATGCCAGGAGGAGGAGCAGGACCGGCTACGAGCCAACAGCATGAAGGACGGGGCATTGGAGGGGGTTTCATCACGAGGGGCAGCGGAGGTAGCAGAGGAGGAGAAGCAGCCGTTCCTTGACCCCAGTGTGCTGGAGTCGCTACTGCAGGTGAGCGGGCGTTACAAGATACGCCATGTGGTTACCATATTGACAGTCTGTGCCTCCATGAAGCATCAAGCAGGGGAGTGGGGGGAGAGGGGGGGGGGGTGTGTCGTCAAGGGGAGCAGCAGAGACAGCAGAGGAGGAGAAGCAGCTGTTCCTTGATCTCAGCGTGCTGGAGTCGCTGCTGCAGGTGAGGGTTGCATGCAAATTATACACGGTGTGGTGGTTACCACCATGCTACTCTCTGTTTAGAAGCACCTTATAAGGCAGTGGAGGGACCTGTTTTTGAGGCGCCTCAAAGGCATCTAAAATAGACTCCTCACGCATGCTTCAGCCTCTTCTACTCCGATGTCTCTGACTGTCCGTGAGGAGCCTGTTTTTGAGGCGCCTCAAAGGCGTTTGAAATAGACTCCTCACGCATGCTTCAGCCTTTTCTGCTCCGACGTCTCTGACTGTCTTCCCTGCTCCTTCCCCTTCCCTCCTCCCCCTTTCCTCCCATGTGTTTTGTTTTTGAGAATTCTAAAAAACAAAACACATGTACTCCGACGTCTCTGACTGTCTTCCCTGCTCCTTCCCCTTCCCTCCTCCCGCTTTCCTCCCATCCTACCCAATCTGGCCTCCTCCTTCCCTCCCTCCCCCCGTTCCCTCCGTCCCTCCCACCAGTTCGAGGTGCCCTGCACAGCCGATTCGTTCTTCAGCCTCCTCTACTCAGACTCGTCTGACTTTGTTGTTGTGTACCGAGCCAAGCGGAAGGACACGGAGCTCAAGGTGAGGCTCGGGCCACGGGAAGAGGGGGCCGTGAGAAGAGGGGGCCGTGAGAAGAGGGGGCCATGAGAAGGAAGGGGTTGTGAGAAGAAAGGGCCCGTGAGCAGGCTATGAGCACAGGCTATGTCTTCCCCAAGCTTTGCATTCACTTGATTTTTGCTTCTTCTTTCTTTTGCCTTGCTGTCAGACTCACATGATTCTTGTGCCATACTTGTCCTTAGATGATTTTTGAGTCGACTCAAGAATCTTCGACTGCCATACTTGTCCTTTGCAGGTTGGGGAGTGGAAGGAGACGGAGCAGTACGGTGGAAAGATGAGAGAGGTGAGTGGCTGATGGGGACGGGAGGTGCAAGAATAGGCCCCGGGCCACGAAATCCCTTTGCATGTGAGATATGTGGTGCCACGAAAGCCCTTTGCAGGTTGGGGAGTGGAAGGAGATGGAGGAAAGATGAGAGTGGTGAGTGGCTGATGGGGATGGGAGGTACAGGAATGGGTTCGGGGATGTGACATGTGAGGTGCCTCTAAAGCTGTTGTGGGAGGTGAGTGAGAGGTGAGTTAAAGGTGAGTGAGAGGTGAGTTAAAGGTGAGTGAGAGGTGAGTTAAAGGTGAGTGAGAGGTGAGTGAGGGTGAGTGAGAGGTGAGTGAGAGGCCAGTGAGAGGTGAGTGAGAGGCCAGTGAGAGTGAGAGGTGAGTGAGAGGTGGTTCAAGTAGTAAGAAGTAAAGAAACTGCTTCTTGACAGGTGAAGATCAGATGTATGGTCTTGCACCAGATGCATGCCTTTTACAGTAAAGAAGGAATGGAGAGGTGCTACATGGAGTTTTAGGAGTTGGAGAGAGGAAAAGAAACAACTGATTTTGCAGGGTGTTTTTGAGAATTCTCAAAAACAACCTGCAATTCTCAAAAACACCCTGCAATTCTCAAAAACACCCTGCAAAATTTAGGAGATGGAGAGAGGAGAAGAAACAACTGAACTTGCAAATTGCAATTGAAATGAGATGGATGAATGCGAATTGCATATTGGGGCGATAATTCCGTGAGGAGCTGGATGGTGTAAGAGAAGAAAGTAAGTTCCTCATGCAAGACACGATGTGGAATTTGAAAGCACTCAAAGTTTGCTAGAAAATATGTGCACTTTGAGGGGACGACTCTGTGAGGAGCTGGACGGCATCACTCAAAGAAGAAAGCCTGTGTAATGAGTCGATTTTTTAGCGGATTTTTGAGTCGATTTTTGAGTCGACTCATTACACACTGGACAGCATCACTCAAAGAAGAAAAATCTCTCAATGGAAGAATAGATGACCGCTTATGTGCCCACCCTTCACTGCCATGAGTCATGACGGAGTGGCAGCACATGGGCCAACGCATATGCGTCGGTCTTTCTTACCTCCGTCCCTTCTCCTCCTCCCCCCCTCCCCCTTCCTCCCCTTTCTTTGCATCCCTATCTCACAGGTGACCTATCGCTCTCTCTGTGACTCGCCCATGTGCCCACCCTCCACTGCCATGACTGAGTGGCAACACATGGACTTCTCTGGCCCAGACCACAAACAGTTGGTAGGTGTACTTGTCGAGAATTCTCTCACGCCTCCCCCTTCTCCCACCACCACCTGCATGTTTGTTGACCGGCATATTCCACTTGGCTTTTCTACGTCACATCGCGTGATGTCTGGTTCTTGGAGTTAATGAAACAGGTTATTTTTTAGAATTCTAAAAAATCTGCAGGGTATTTTGCAGGGTATTTTTTAGAATTCTAAAAAATACCCTGCAAGTTCTTGGAGTTAATGAAACAGGTTCATTACGTGCCGTGCTCCCTATTGAGTCGACTCAAAAGCTTATGCACCCATGCTTCTTGCAAGTGACTATTTCAAACCCTGGTTTTGCTACAGCACTAGCTGGCGTTTATCAACACGACTACAGCTCACGACGATCCGCGCCTTTTTCTAATTCCCTATGTGTTGCCTACGTGTTGCCTATGTGTTGCCTATGTGTTGCCTACGTGTTGCCTATGTGTTGCCTATGTGTTGCCTATGTGTTGCCTATGTGTTGCCTATGTGTTGCCTATGTGTTGCCTATGTGTTCCCTATGTGTTGCCTATGTGTTGCCTATGTGTTGCCTATGTGTTGCCTATGTGTTGCCTATGTGTTGCCTATGTGTTGCCTATGTGTTGCCTATGTGTCTCAAACCCCCCCTACCCAGGTGATAGAGTCAATCAATCAGGCACATGATGTGCCCTTTGGGTCCTACTTTGAGGTAAATCCATTGTTGTGGGTTTTTAAATCGACTAAGAAATGGTGCGCGAGGGAATGTCACGCGCCTTGTCCTCTGTCATTGTGTCTCTCTGTGTGATCGATCGCACACTTCCCACACCCACGTCTTGACATCCAGTGTCATTCAGTTTTGAGATGTCTCAACTCAAAGCGTTGTTTTCGCTGTCGTTGCGCTGCATGATCACACACTTACCACACCCATGTCTTGAAATTCCATCTCATCCCTTGCATGCCATGCCATGCCATGCCATGCCATCCCATGTAGACATGGCCTCTAAACCGAGCCGAGCCGGCTATTTTTTGCCTCTGGCTCGCCTGGAGCCGAACCGGTACGAGGCTCGGCTGAGCTCGGCTCGGCTCGGCTCGGCTCGACGCACACACATGACTCGAGCCGGGATCGAGCCGGCTCGATCCAGCTTGACTGGCAGTCTTATGAAATTAAGGAACTGTTACTACCAATAACGTGGGGAGGGATGGCTCTCGAGCCGTCAAAAGCCCCTAAAACTCACCGGGGGTTCACCAGACGGCCCTTAGACCACACCAGCCGCCCACCTATCCTGTACCAAACGAGCCGAGCCGAGCCGAGCCGAGCCGGCTCGTTTTCGAGCCGGACCCTGGCTCGACCCTGTTTGGCCAAGCCGAGCCGGCAATTTTTTTAGCCCCGCTCGACCTGGCTCGGGCCGGCTCGGCTCGCCAGCTCCCTGGATCGACCCTGGCTCGAACTTGGTTTGGGCTAGGCTTGGGCGGGCTCGGCTTGTGCCCATGTCTGATCGCATGTCAATGCATGTTCTCTCTTAGTCGACTAAGGAATGTGGATTTCCCCATTTTTGCGTGCTGTGTTGCATGTGTGCGGGTTTTTGTTGTTGTTCCTTTTTTTTCAATTTCCTGCTGTGGTTCTCAGGTGCATGCGCAGTGGACGGTCAGAACGACAACCGACAATCCTGACAGCCCATCATGCAACGCGGAGCTCAAAGCCGGTGGGTTTTCGTGCTGAGCTGTTAGCACGTTACTGTGCAACTGAGAGCCATCTGCAATGCCTGAGCCATGTGCAACGCCTCAGGTGCATGCGCCATGGACCGTCGCCAGGACAACATTATGCAATGTGGTGCAGAGCTCAAAGCAGGTCATTCGGTGGGCTGAGCTGAGCTCTCAGCAGACTAGTGTGCTTTTTGAGAATTCTCAAAGGTCATTCGGTGTGCTGAGCTGAGCTCTCAGCGGATTAGTGTGCAGCTGAGAGCCATGCACCGTCAGGACGACATCATGCAATGCGGAGCTCAAAGCAGGTCATTCGGCGTGCTTTGGTGTTTGTTAGCAAACAGGAAGCTGGTCTTTGTGTTTGAGCCCTGAACCGTCTGTTGCGTGGTGTATTTTGCATAGTGCATGCTGCATACTGCCTGATGCAGGGTGCATGTTGCATGTTGTATGTTGCATGGTGTATGTTGCACGATGTATGTTGCACGGTGTATGTTGCATGGGGCATGATGCATGGTGCATATTGCATGGTGTATGGTGCATGGTGCATGATCCATGCATGGTGCATGGTCCATCCATGGTGCATGATCCATCCATGGTGCATGATCCATCCATGGTGCATGATCCATCCATGGTGCATGATGGTGGTACATTGTGGAGAATCTATAATGCATGTCACCCGTCCAGTCCGGAGCACTTCAAGAAGTGGTCTTGATGCAAGGGAAGCTTCGGCAGGGAGTGGGGGAGGACTAGACTTGCATTGACTTCTTTTGACCTCTTTTTCAATGCCAATGCCTGTCTGTGCATCCTTCCAGGCGTGCATTTCAAGAAGTGGTGCATGATGCAAGGGAAGATTCGGCAGGGAGCGCAGGCGGAGGTGCGTGCGGTGCAGTGCTCTTCTGTGTTCGTTGTGCTGGTGATAATAGTTTATGTTTAAGACATCTTAGAACCAGACTGCTCCTCTGTGTTCGTTGTGCTCATTGTGGTGGCTGCCGCCCTGTTTTTGTTGAATGCACCGATTGGTTGTTGCTGCTTCTGCTTTTGAGTCGACTCAGATTCACTGATTGGTTGTTGCTGATTGCACCTCTCTGTTTCCATTTCCCTCCCCTCTTGCCGCCCGCCCCCTCCCTTCCCTCCCTCCCCTCCCTCCCCTCCATGCATCCCTCCATCCGTCCCCTTGTGCAGATGAAGAGGAACAGCCAAGCGATGATGGAGATGGCAATGACTGACATGGAGGATCCGAAGCAGAGTGAAAAACTCACAGCTTTCCTCCATCCCGTACCTCACCTCCCTCCCCTCCCTCCCTTCCCTCCCCTCCATGCATCCCTCTCTCCGTCCCCTCGTGCAGATGAAGAGGAACAGCCAAGCGATGATGGAGATGGCAATGACTTACATAGCAGAGTGGAAACTGAGTGGTAACCAGACAGCCGACTGTAACGCTGCTGGGAGCTGTGTTGGCAATAGCAGTATTCCGAATAGCAATGGAGGGGATGAGGGAGATGGGAGGAAGGGTGAGGGAGCGGGGAGGGAAAGAGTGGAAAATGTGATTGTTATGAGTGGTGACAGTAGAGGAAAAGCAGCAGCAGACTCTGCACCAGGAGGATAGCACGTTGGGTTGGGTGCATTGTGTGATCCAAGGTGTTGTGAAAATGTTATGTGCAGGTTTGAGTTGTCTGTTTTGCTCCTTGTAAATAGTGATTTGAAAGCATTGATGTTTCTAATTCAAAGGAATTAATATAATGAGGTTGTAGTGCATTTTTTAGCCTCTTTTTGTGTAAGGTAAGGATTTGGTGGTGACCAGCAGAGACACAATACCTTTCGTCGCAATCACTTTCTAGCGAATCCATTTGCCCTAGCCCAGGACCCTACTGAGAGCCCTACTAACATCCCCACGCCCTAGAACCTATTTAGTCCTAAACATGGAGCCTAGACGTTAGCATGTCGCAGCGGCGTATACTCTGCAATCGACAGAGCGTCAAGCATTGACGGTTTTTGAGGCGCCTCAAAAATCGTCTCAAGTATTGACGGGATACGTCATCAGTAGCGTCGCAGCGGTAGGAAATGCGCGATGGCTTTTAGTCACGAATTCGACACACGCGAAGGTTTGGTACGGGTTTCAAAAACATACTCAGAATTCTTATAGTAGATTCCGAATCACCAGCGATCGGGAGGAGCCCCCGATTGCGCAGCATCACAGTAACTAGCAAGCGATAGTGCAACCGCCACGCCTGGAGCAAGCGATAGTGCAACCGCCACGCCTGGAGGTCCTCATAACTCGCTTGGAAAAGAATCTTCGCGATGCCGACGCCATTCGCGCGAGAGCTGGCGTGCGGAATCGTGAAGGACCACTTCGGCGACCAAGTAGAGGTGCGCCCAGGTGGTGTTATCAGGTGGAAGTAGGCGGAGGTTACTAAACGGCTCCATAGTGTAGAATCGTGAAGGACCCTTCCCCTCCTCTTCCCCTCCTCTTCCCCTCCTCTTCCCCTCCTCTTCCCCTCCTCTTCCCCTCCCCTTCCCCTCCTCTTTCCCTCCTCTTCCCCTCCTTCCACGCTACTAGAGAAGAATCCATTGGGCCTATCGCTCCAGGACCTTTTTGAGAATTCTAAAAATCACGCTCCAGGGCCTGGCGCTCCAGGATCTGGCCCTGCCACACCTCCCTCCCTCCCATTCCCCATCTTCCACTCCCGTACTCCTCCCCTTACCCGGCCCCCCTCTCTCCCCCTTGATCAGACGGTGTGTCGCACGCTACTCGAGAAGGGCCAGCTGGGCCTGTCGCTTCAAGACCTAGCCCGCCACACCTCCCTCCCTCCCCCATCGCTGCGCTCCGCCCTCTTGGTGTTGGTGCAGCACAACTGCGCCCAGGCGTTCCGCCAGCAAACCGACGGTGAGGCAGGAGGAGGGTTCAGGGTATAAGCCTTGGCTTCCTCCCTCCCCCTTTGCTCCGCTCTGCTCTCTTGCGTTGGTGTGCTGCAACTGTGCCCAGGCGTTTCGACAGCCAGCAGACGGTAAGAGTTTTGCTGCTCTGTATTTAGGGCTCTCTTGCTTGGGACCACCTCCCTCTCCCTTCGCTCCGCTCCGCTCTCTTGCTCTCCGATCTCTTTGAAGCTGGTTCTGCTTTTCTGAAAGGCTGGTGTTGGTGTAGTAGTAGGCTCGCTTCCTTCTCTTTTCTAATACCTGTTGGTGTTTAACCCTCTCAAAGCCAACTCCCCCCAGCATGTGTGTGCTCAGGCATTTTTCAACCCTCTCAAAGTCAACTCCCCCTTTGTGCCCCCCCTCCCCCCCGCCCCCCCCGCTTTCCCGCCCACCCCCTCCTCCCCAGACACTGCCCCCCTTGCCCGGATGCCCTCTCTCTACATTGCCCTGCAAGACTCCAACTTTGCCTCACCTGCGCTCCCAAACGATTCTTCAGCCTGTTTCCCCCGACCAGACCCGACCCGACCCGACCCGACCCAACCCGACCCGACCTGACCCGACCCGACCCGACCCGACCCGACCAGACCCGACCCGACCCGACCCGACCCGACCCGACCCGACCCGACCCGACCCGACCAGACCCGACCAGACCCGACCAGACCAGACCCGACCAGACCAGACCAGACCAGACCAGACCAGACCAGACCAGACCAGACCAGACCAGACCAGACCAGACCAGACCAGACCAGACCAGACCAGACCAGACCAGACCAGACCAGACTAGACCAGACTAGACCAGACCCCCCTCCATCCCTCTCCCCCCCCACCCCCAGACACGGGCCCCCTTGCCCGCACACCCGCTCTGTACATCGCCCTGCAGGACTCCATCTTGCCTCGCCTGCGCTTCCCCATGTTATTCTCCCCCCCCTCCCTCCCACCCCCCCTCCCTCCCTGCCACCCCTTCTTTCCTTCCCAGACGCCAGCCCCCTTCCCCCCACACCCACTCTCGACATCGCCCTGCAAGACTCCATTCTTTCTCGCATGCGCTTCGAAGTGATTCTTCTAGCCATCTCCCCAAACACCCCCCCACCCCACCTCCCCCCCCTCTCTCCTCTCCGCCCCTCCATCCCTCTCCCCCCCCACCCCCAGACACCGGCCCTCTTGTGCGCACGCCCACGCTCTACATCGCCCTGCAGGACTCCATTCTGCCTCGCCTGCGCTTCCCCAAGTTCATGGATCAGACCAACGAGCTGCTGGGGGAAGAGGTGGGTGGGTGGGTGGGTGGGTGGGTGGGTGGGTGGACAAGGTGTTGGTTGGTGGCAGTAAGCCTTTGGAAGAAAGAGGATCCATTCTGCCCCAGATGCGATTGGAGCACGGGCTGCACGGCTCTATCTTGCTAATGCCAGAATCGTCCACCTATTTTGCCCGTTGCCTGTTATCACTCTACCTGTTCCGCCTCTACCTGTTCCGCCTCTACCTGTTTTCTCTCGTTCCTCTGCTCCCTCCTACATCTACTCTTCCGTCCCTCGTGCACTCCAGGCAGAAGCAGTTGTGGAAACGTTTCTAGAGCACGGTCCAGAGACCATGAGCTGTCTGCGTGGCCTCCTGTCCCCTCATCAACGCATGCAGCAATCACAGTTGTATTTTGAGTCGACTCAAAATATTCCCGTATTAATCTCTCCCTTCCTTCTCCCCCCCCACCCTCCATCACGCCTTTCGTCAAGCAGAAGCAGTGGTGGAGGCCTTACTAGAGCACGGTCGCACGTCCCTCCACCAGCTGGATCCATTGACCCTTAAAACCCCTTCCCTTCCTCTCTTCCCTTCTCCATTCTCCCCTCCATGTCTCTTCTTCTCAGGCAGAAGCAGTGGTAGAGGCTTTACTGGAGCACGGCCGTCTGTCCCTTCACCAGCTGGTGCAGCGAGCAATAGCGAAAGCTGGCTCTGCTGACCCGTCTGCTGCCAAGAGTGAGTAACTAATTGGTGATGAGACGAACCTAAGGGTGTGTAAGTTACTGATTAGGCACTTACACACCCTAAGGCGCTTAAGAGTCAGTACTTGTTGGATAGGGTCCCTTCGCCAAGCAAGAGTGCTTAGGTTTTATGATTGGAGGTCTGAAATAAGTCACTTATTGTGCAAGAGACAGTTACCCGCTTGGTGCTTGTTTGACAAGAGCTCGAGTGAAAGTAACTCATTGTGTATGTAACCCGCTTGTGAGAGCCCAAGAGACACCTACATCACTAAATAGTTGCTGTGAAGGCCCATCGTCTTATGCAATGCAACAACCTATACCCGAGTCCTGACTTGTATCAGCCGGCCCTTCTGCCCTCCGTTCTTAAACTTTTCTGTGGTGCCATCATCAGCTGTTTTTTCTTTTCATGTTTGTGTGCCGCGCAGTACTGTTGATGGCGCAGTACTGTTGATGGCGCAGTACTGTCTGCTCAGAACATGAAATGAAAAAGCTTTTGAGTCGACTCAAAAGCAGACTCATTCCACACGGACTCAAAAGCAGACTCATTACACACGGACTCAAAAGCAGACTCATTACACACGGACTCAAAAGCAGACTCATTACACACGGACTCAAAAGCAGACTCATTACACACGGACTCAAAAGCAGACTCATTACACACGGACTCAAAAGCAGACTCATTACACACGGACTCAAAAGCAGACTCATTACACACGGACTCAAAAGCAGACTCATTACACACGGACTCAAAAGCAGACTCATTACACACGGACTCAAAAGCAGACTCATTACACACGGACTCAAAAGCAGACTCATTACACACGGACTCAAAAGCAGACTCATTACACACGGACTCAAAAGCAGACTCATTACACACGGACTCAAAAGCAGACTCATTACACACGGACTCAAAAGCAGACTCATTCACACGGACTCAAAAGCAGACTCATTACACACCGGACTTCCAAAAAGCAGACTCATTACACACGGACTCAAAAGCAGACTCATTACACCACGGACTCAAAAGCAGACTCATTACACACGGACTCAAAAGCAGACTCATTACACACGGACTCAAAAGCAGACTCATTACACACGGACTCAAAAGCAGACTCATTAACACACGGACTCCAAAAGCAGACTCATTACCACACGGACTCAAAAGCAGACTCATTACACACGGACTCAAAAGCAGACTCATTACACACACGGACTCAAAAAGCAGACTCATACACACGGACTCAAAAGCAGACTCATTTACACACGGACTCAAAAGCAGACTCATTACACACGGACTCAAAAGCAGACTCATTACACACGGGACTCAAAAGCAGACTCATTACACACGGACTCAAAAGCAGACTCATTACACACGGACTCAAAAGCAGACTCATTACACACGGACTCAAAAGCAGACTCATTACACACGGACTCAAAAGCAGACTCATTACACACGGACTCAAAAGCAGACTCATTACACACGGACTCAAAAGCAGACTCATTACCACACGGACTCAAAAGCAGACTCATTACACACGGACTCAAAAAGCAGACTCATTACACACGGACTCCAGACTCATAAAGCAGACTCCAGACCTCATTACACACGGACTCAAAAGCAGACTCATTACACACGGACTCAAAAAGCAGACTCATTACACACGGACTCAAAAAGCAGACTCATTACACACGGACTCAAAAGCAGACTCATTACACACGGACTCAAAAGCAGACTCATTACACACGGACTCAAAAGCAGACTCATTACACACGGACTCAAAAGCAGACTCATTCACGGAAAAGCAGACTCATTACACACGGACTCAAAAGCAGACTCATTACACACGGACTCAAAAGCAGACTCATTACACACGGACTCAAAAAGCAGACTCATTACACACGGACTCAAAAGCAGACTCATTCCACGATCAAAACAGACTCTACACACGGACTCAAAAGCAGACTCATTACACACGGACTCAAAAGCAGACTCATTACACACGGACTCAAAAGCAGACTCATTACACACGGACTCAAAAGCAGACTCATTACACACGGAACTCAAAAGCAGACTCCATTACACACGGACTCAAAAGCAGACTCATTACACACGGACTCAAAAGCAGACTCATACACACGGACTCAAAAGCAGACTCATTACACACGGACTCAAAGCAGACTCATTACACACGGACTCAAAAGCAGACTCATACACACGGACTAAAAAGACTCATTACACACGGACTCAAAAGCAGACTCATTACACACGGACTCAAAAGCAGACTCATTACACACGGACTCAAAAGCAGACTCATTACACACGGACTCAAAAGCAGACCTCATTACAACACACGGACTCAAAAGCAGACTCATAACACACGGACTCAAAAGCAGACTCATTACACACGGACTCAAAAGCAGACTCATTACACACGGACTCAAAAGAGACTCTTACCCGACTCAAAGCAGACTCATTACACACGGACTCAAAAGCAGACTCATTACACACGGACTCAAAAGCAGACTCATTACACACGGACTCAAAAGCAGAACTCATAACACACGGACTCAAAAGCAGACTCATTACACACGGACTCAAAAGCAGACTCATTACACACGGACTCAAAAGCAGACTCATTACACACACGGACTCAAAGCAAGAACTCATTACACACGGACTCAAAAGCAGACTCATAACACACGGACTCAAAAGCAGACTCATTACCACACGGACTCAAAAGCAGACTCATTACACACGGACTCAAAAGCAGACTCATTACCACACGGACTCAAAAGCAGACTCATTACACACGGACTCAAAAGCAGACTCATTACACACGGACTCAAAAGCAGACTCATTACACACGGACTCAAAAGCAGACTCATTACACACGGACTCAAAAGCAGACTCATTACACACGGACTCAAAAGCAGACTCATTACACACGGACTCAAAAGCAGACTCATTACACACGGACTCAAAAGCAGACTCATTACACACGGACTCAAAAGCAGACTCATTACACACGGACTCAAAAGCAGACTCATTACACACGGATCAAAAGCAGACTCATTACACACGGACTCAAAAGCAGACTCATTACACACGGACTCAAAAGCAGACTCATTACACACGGACTCAAAAGCAGACTCATTACACACGGACTCAAAAGCAGACTCATTACACACGGACTCAAAAGCAGACTCATTACACACGGACTCAAAAGCAGACTCATTACACACGGACTCAAAAGCAGACTCATTACACACGGACTCAAAAGCAGACTCATTACACACGGACTCAAAAGCAGACTCATTACACACGGACTCAAAAGCAGACTCATTACACACGGACTCAAAAGCAGACTCATTACACACGGACTCAAAAGCAGACTCATTACACACGGACTCAAAAGCAGACTCATTACACACGGACTCAAAGCAGACTCATTACACACGGACTCAAAAGCAGACTCATTACACACGGACTCAAAAGCAGACTTACACACGGACTCGAAAGCAGACTCATTACACACGGACTCAAAAGCAGACTCATTACACACGGACTCAAAAGCAGACTCATTACACACGGACTCAAAAGCAGACTCATTACACACGGACTCAAAAGCAGACTCATTACACACGGACTCAAAAGCAGACTCATTACACACGGACTCAAAAAGCAGACTCATTACCACGGACTCAAAAGCAGACTCATTACACACGGACTCAAAAGCAGACTCATTACACACGGACTCAAAAGCAGACTCATTACACACGGACTCAAAAGCAGACTCATTACACACGGACTCAAAAGCAGACTCATTACACACGGACTCAAAAGCAGACTCATTACACACGGACTCAAAAGCAGACTCATTACACACGGACTCAAAAGCAGACTCATTACACACGGACTCAAAAGCAGACTCATTACACACGGACTCAAAAGCAGACTCATTACACACGGACTCAAAAGCAGACTCATTACACACGGACTCAAAAGCAGACTCATTACACACGGACTCAAAAGCAGACTCATTACACACGGACTCAAAAGCAGACTCATTACACACGGACTCAAAAGCAGACTCATTACACACGGACTCAAAAGCAGACTCATTACACACGGACTCAAAAGCAGACTCATTACACACGGACTCAAAAGCAGACTCATTACACACGGACTCAAAAGCAGACTCATTACACACGGACTCAAAAGCAGACTCATTACACACGGACTCAAAAGCAGACTCATTACACACGGACTCAAAAGCAGACTCATTACACACGGACTCAAAAGCAGACTCATTACACACGGACTCAAAAGCAGACTCATTACACACGGACTCAAAAGCAGACTCATTACACACGGACTCAAAAGCAGACTCATTACACACGGACTCAAAAGCAGACTCATTCCACACGGACTCAAAAGCAGACTCATTACACACGGACTCAAAAGCAGACTCATTACACACGGACTCAAAAGCAGACTCATTACACACGGACTCAAAAGCAGACTCATAACACACGGACTCGAAAGCAGACTCATTCCACACGGACTCAAAAGCAGACTCATTACACACGGACTCAAAAGCAGACTCATTACACACGGACTCAAAAGCAGACTCATTACACACGGACTCAAAAGCAGACTCATTACACACGGACTCAAAAGCAGACTCATTACACACGGACTCAAAAGCAGACTCATTACACACGGACTCAAAAGCAGACTCATTACACACGGACTCAAAAGCAGACTCATTACACACGGACTCAAAAGCAGACTCATTACACACGGACTCAAAAGCAGACTCATTACACACGGACTCAAAAGCAGACTCATTACACACGGACTCAAAAGCAGACTCATTACACACGGACTCAAAAGCAGACTCATTACACACGGACTCAAAAGCAGACTCATTACACACGGACTCAAAAGCAGACTCATTACACACGGACTCAAAAGCAGACTCATTACACACG